AATAAAATAAAATAAAATAAAATAAAATAAAATAAAATAAAATAAAATAAAATAAAATAAAATAAAATAAAATAAAATAAAATAAAATAAAATAAAATAAAATAAAATAAAATAAAATAAAATAAAATAAAATAAAATAAAATAAAATAAAAATAAGAATAAAAATAAAAATAAAAAGAATCGTGGAATTCTGGTGTCTTGCTGATGAATCAGACACTCTGAAATGGCTTCACTGGTGCTCTCGACATGATGATACTGTCAGTGTCATCTTCTGCATCGCGTGTGAGCGATGCTCCAAAGGTGGGCTCGTTCTTCAAATCTGCGGATGTGTCTTCCGAAATTGGAGGTCGGCCAGGGCCGCCGAGTTCCCAGCTGCCGACACGTTCATGTCTAGCACCATTCCTGGCGATGGAGACATCATTATCTGATTTCATCTTCTCTGCGCCCTTGAAACCCCCCAGGCTGGATTGCTGGCCTGTTTTCGGACGCGTGAATCTGAACCCACCGAACCATGCAAGTAGCACAGCTCCAAGGACAATAGCCGCAATGGCTGCAACGGCGCCTATGACGCCGGCGACTGCGGGCGATAAGCTCGAAGTCCTGCGTCCACGCTGTGTAGTCGTTGTACCACTAGCTGAGTTGCGATTCACCCCGTTGCAAAACAGAGCGACTGCATCGCAGGTGTCGCACCACGTGGACATATCGTTTATGGAGAACTGGCGAATGCTCGTCGTGAAGTCCCTGTACTTGATGCGATCTTCGGAAAGCCCGTTCCCAAAAAGTGGATATTTGTACAGTGGGGCATCCTCATCCGTGCTATTGCGGTAGAGAAATCGGACCCAGAGATCATCAGTATCCGGGAAATCTGTGGCGTCTGTTTCCGAGAACAGCTCGAAGACCACTATAACTCAACAATCAGCACCGAGGCAGTGAGGAGGACCCCAGCTGACAGCAGACTGCCACAGCGGGATTTGCATCTAGGCATAGCCTTAAAGAATTGGGAGTGGAAGACTCACTTGCGGCGCCAGCCAGGGGTATCTCCTGGAATAAGCCGGATGACTGGCCATGTGACAAGCCCGAAAGAGAAAAGAAGGCGAGCATGGGCTGGTACGACCCAAACATCAACGTGAGCTTGTTACCATGCCCCCGAGACGATATATGACTTTGAAACTGGGTCACGACTTTCGCAGATAGAGTGCGCCCCGCGATTGCCCTGATGCTATCACCCTCTGTATTGCCGGAGATAGAAAGGTCTCCGTTCTTGGCAAACTGCTGAATACTAGCCATCTCCGCGAGCCACGTAATGTCGCTCATGTTAAGCCTTTGTTGTATTGTCTCATTATGCGTATATTGGTACAATGCATAGTCGTATATGTCGTCGGCGTAGGCGAAGCTGGCCATTGACACGGGGAGAGTTCCATCGAAGACCGTGGTCAACAGTTCTTGATAGTGCCGTGGTGTCGCATTGTATAGTTCATCGATACGAGGGTCACCTCGGATGCTCCCCGTAGCCTTGTAGTATTCCGTGCATGACACATGTCCCTGGAGCCTAGGAAGAATCAGTTTTTCTTATGTCCAAAGCTCTAGCTGGGGGTTAGGATGACGTACCAAACCGATTCCGGATCAGATATAGATACTGTGTGGATATTGGGGTACATGTAACCGTCCAGAGGGAAGTCGATTAACGACCCATTAGCGAGTATAGCGGCCTCCTGACCACCATTGCCAGCGGAAAAGGCTTGCGACGTTGGTGGGTAAAGCCCTTGCATGAATGCCAGGGCCCCCGCGGTAGCATAGCTGTCTTTGCTACTGTAGATCGACAATTCGCTGTTATCGATGGCTATCCTCTCAATCCCAGCAATCGGTGCAGTTGTGCTCTCGCCGCTGGTGTTAGAGGCGGTGGTACTGGGATTGGCAAGCCATCGTCTTCTCAGTACTGAGCCCTGAGTGAGCATCTGCTGGGCGCCTAACGGGGTGAGACTACTATCGCTAGTCGACGGTCCGATCGAAGGCGTGCGTTCGCCATTTAGAACGAATGCAAATGCTGACCAAACAGTTTCCTCGGCTCGTACTGAAGCACCACTGAGAAGGACAAAAAGCAAATGGGCTTTCAGGTTCACGGAAGGCATGGCGCAGATCAATCGAGGGGTTGGCGTTCATCCACAAGGCCCCTAGGAATTTGCCTATACAGATTCGAGGTACACGAGGGCTTCTAGGAGAGTCAAGAAGAGATAACTAGGAAGCAACCTTGACTGAGGGGTTCGACGAGTAGAGGGAAGAGAAGAAGCAAAAAGGAGGGATATTGGACTTTGCGCCCGCAATCCTGATAAGGCTCGAACAAAAAGAGCACCCCGGCCTCTGAGCACTATACAGACAGGCCACGCCGTTGGTCGCTTCCATGCCAACCGCAACACCTCAGGGTTCATCTGGGACCATGCCTCTCGCCAGCCTTAGCCAAGGCTTCGCTGCCCGTCAGCCTGCCGTTTCCACCGCCATCGTGAACCTACCCATGTCATGACGAGCGAACCAGGAAGTCAATCAAAGTAAGCTTCTTGCCCGCAAAAGGCGGGGCATATGCGGGTGAGAGATAGAGCTGAGAGCTATCCGTTATCTTGAGCTCCTCATCCCTGCGTGTTACCACGCGACAGACACTCTGTAAGGTTCGCCCAGCCTCGCTAGCCAGGAGGGGCAGGGATCGACCAATAGCCCGCGGGCACATGCTCAGGACACACACATTAGGACCCCGCCAATACAGCCTTCCAAGCAATCGCTTTTGGTGCTTCGAAGTCCGAGGTGTCTTTCGAGGGGTAAGATAAGGGTGTTGGTCTCCTGGTGGCTGGTAGCTGTAGTTCGAGAGTTGCCTGGATTAGAAAACTTGGCGGGCGAGCGGTCCTGTACATCGTCCTAGCTTGCTTCGGTAAATACATCAGGTAGGTCTACCAGGTAGTAGCTAGCGTCTGTCAATACTATTGAGAAACAACTGCACCTGCTAGATTCTTTTTCGGGGGTCAATGTCACATGGTCTCGATGCCCAAATCATCAGCACCCTTCACTTATTCCCGCCCGAGTTTGCCAACATGACAAGTTCAGTAGAAATTCAAAGTAGCGATACAGTAGACACACTCTAATAGATACTAAGATACAGGCACAATACGTCTTCTACTGACATCTTGGTATCGAACGAAGTGGGGATCTTGAAGCATAGGACGGCGTTCATTGTGTGTTGTGCGTGAAAGATTCACAACGCCGAATCTCAAACAGGCTAGGGAATGAACTGGTTCCCCCGAAGCTTTCGCGAAACATGCATTGGGGAAAAGCTAGATTGCGTATCATGAATCACAGGTGCAAACTCAACGAGAGTGCAATGATTTCATGCCCAAGTCTGGCATCTGGATCTTCGTTATTTCATGATTGCACGTGATTCTCAGACTTTGAACAATGTCTGTTCCATCGACCTTGACAGCGAATTTCTGCGGCGAACATACGTGCACATGTAGATGCGACAGCGATCATGACTGAGTGATCGTCGCATGTCAAACGGCTCTCGATTATGAGTCGCTCTGTCCAAGTTGTAGACTATAAGCAGCCATTGAAGGCGGTGGAGATGCCCTACAGTGGCTAGACGTCGCTGGTACCCATGCGCAACATGCAATGAATTAGTTACAGTTGATGCATAGCCCCGGCTATCATCAACATTGATCACTTGCGTAGAATTGTGACTAGACTTTTAAAGCACCGCCTGATATGATCTCATACGACCAGCTTCGTATTGCTTATTAACCAACACTTACGGCCTCTAAAAAACGAAAGACGCGAGAGATGGAACAACCAGTATTTAGTAGTTGCTAGGCATGGAGATGGCTGCGGAAGTTCGTGACGTACTTGAATAGTGAAGCAAACATCCTTCTATGAGCTATATTTCGATGAACACAATTACCATCCTGCGGGCACCTATCTTGTATGCTAATTGGCAAATGGATGTCGTGGCGCCGGGAATATAGACTTGTTTGGTCCCTCACGAACACCATATCTCAACTCGCCTGACGACAAACCTGTAAACCCAGCAAAAAATGGCAAAATACGTCACATAGAGTTTTTGGCTATATCACTGCATCTTCCGATTACGTTTCGGCGATATCGTGTACCCATTTGGTTGTGAATCTATAGCCGCGTGTTTACAGTGTCTCTGGTTCATTGATGTGCTTGTAGCAATTGTCTGAAATTCAAGCGCTCCAGCTAACAATGAAATTTGGTAGCAATAACGTAAGAGTACAAACTGAAAAAAAAAATCCGGGGTAGAACACCCTTCGACGCGAGTGGAGTGATTGCATGGCGTCGAACTGTCAACATTCCATCATTTAACCGCCTTCCGCCCAATCATTGGCCTCAGCCGTTACCCCGGATCGGGTAAATGAGCGGTACATGCAACTTCCCAAAATGCTCTATTAAGCTGAATGGCTACAGGTCTTGAGCTCGGTTTGCGTCTCGGGTGTCCACTCAATGCAGGTGGCGATAGAATGAACCTGCCTAAGACGGCACATGTTCCATAGCTTAAATGCCCGATGTCTCAGGTATACAGCATTTAGCCCAGAACTATATGAAGGCAATGGGACCCGGGAAATTTTTAGTCTTTGGCTAACACCTTGAATGTGAGATTGTTTCTACAGACGGTCATGCTCTTATTATTTGTCGTCCGACCTCGGCAATAAGGGGAGCCACCTGGACCATGGAAATCTTCATGGTATTTTGGTTCCTGCTTCTACCTCCTGGTTTTGCGAGGTTCTTCCGGCCGCAAAGTCGACCCCAAAGAGGTGATTCCAATACCTTGAGGGTTGGGAAAGCTTGCACTGGAAAGGGGCAGCCTGGATATATCAAGACAACACTTCAGAGAGCAACTGTCACGGCAAGCAACCAGTCAATCGTCCCGAGGTGGGCACGAGAACCTCTCAAAGAGTTTCAAGAGGGCGTGGTCTACCTGATGGACAGTATGTTGAACTAATATATCTGCCCAGTCCTTGCTAAGATTGACGCAGTTGACATCGGCACGCCAAAGCAAACAATCACCGTGATCGTCGATACTGGCTCTTGGGAGTTGTACCTGAACCCCAATTGCACGCGTGCAGCGGATCCGACATTCTGTGTCGAGTCAGGTCATTACCGTCCGACAAGTTCAAGCACGTCGAAAAACCTGACTACGCGTTACTACGTCTCCTTTGGCACCGGGGGCTATGTGGGAGGATACTTTAGTGATACTCTATGGTTTGGCAATGACTGTACGAACTCATTTTCACTAGACGAGAACAAAAGTGGAAATCGTTCTGATCCTGTGATAGTCTGGCCGGTGAGCGGTCTACAGTTCGGCGTCTCCGATGACAGTGACTATGTCTGGGCTGGTATACTAGGACTGGGATACGGAAAAAGATTCAACACGAAGTATTCGACACTGCTAGACTTACTGGTCTCATATGGCTATATCAATGTTCCGATGTTCAGTCTGGATGTGGGTAGCCAAGGCAATGGAACAGGTATAGCACTCAGTGGGCACAGGAATGCTACTAGTGCTAACATTTTGCTTACAGGTGAAATCATTGTCGGAGGGGTTGATACGCACAAGTTCAAGGGTTGGCTGGAGCCACTTGAGCTCTACCCTCCCCCGGACAAACAGCTTTCCATGTGGAAGCAAGCACAGTAGGTCTTGACGTTGCATCATTCCACTCTTGAAGCTAAGCGAATCCATGTTGCAGGTACTGGGTCAACCTCACGTCATTTGGTTACACCGCACCGGGGGCAGCCATGACGACAATCACGAACAGCAACTTCTCTCGAATCATGATGGTTGACACCGGATCCACGTACTCCTACATCGACGCCGACCTGGTCTCACTTTTGGCCAAGCAGTTCAGTGCGACAATTGACGAGCAAGGGGTTTACTACGTTCCTTGCAAATACCGTGAAATGGACGGCTTCGTCCACTTCGGCTTCAACCACGGTAACATGGTCATCAATGCCAAGTACCGCGATTTCATCATAAGTTTTGGTAGCAGATGCGCTCTCGGTGTCCAGCCTGCCGATGCTGGTGTCAACACGTGGGTGCTCGGGGACACGTTCATACGATCCGCCTACAGTGAGTTCGCATGCTTCTCTGAAAATTTAGACCATCTAATCCCGTGTCTAGTCGTTTTTGACCAAGTCTACGATGCTGTCTGGGTAGCGAACTATCAGCCCTGCGGTAGTCCCAGTGTGGTGGACCTCACAGCAAACGCCGGCAATCAGCTGTGGACTGAAATATACGGTGGATGCTAATGATGTAGGGGGGTTCGGTCAGAGAGCAACTGAGGATACAAGACTAAGCCATACACCACCAGCCAAGGGTGACTCGATATTAGCGCTTCTTGCAGGCGCACGAGCTCGAATAACAAAGTACGGATAACTGATACGACCAATCAGCCTCGAGGAATACTCCCTCTATACGTCAGGTCGTCTTATATCGTTGCTCAATGGCCCTTGGCGCGTCCATATGTTCATCCCTATCTTCCAACCACTGGTGACCGGCAGACCAGCATGGAGGTTCCGCTGGTCCCCGGTGCCATCCTCATGCAGGTTCTGCCAGAAAACGGCATTGCCAACCACTGGTTTGAAGGTCACACCATTCTCGTACGGCTCGTCGCAGTCGATGAACTCACACCATTTCTGGTTGTACGGAGCATCTAGCATGGGGAAGTTGGTGCCTCCGCCCGTGATGTTTTCGGCAGCCACATAGGCGAAGAAGGAGCTCAGCCTGTTCCCACCGAGCGCCGAAGTGGCGTGGATGGGATTTGTAAACCAGTCCGTATGGAAGTGATAGCGCTCTCCTCTGCCATACTTGACGAGTTGAACAGGCTCCAGGTGGTTTCGAGGGACGTCAAATCCCTGGAAGAGCAAAGCGCGTTCCTCTATGCAGCGAACGATATCGTCGCGTGGCACGTTCGTGGATTGGGACGTTCGCGTCTTTCGCTGGCCCTCGGCGCCGGTCCCGTCGGCCACGGCCGAGTGTGAAAATGTACCCTTGCTTCAGAAGCACAGTTAGCGAAGGTCTGCTCAGCAGGAGAGCCATCTGGTCGATGAGAGTCTCACGTCAATTCAGTAAGATGCGTGCGCTCCTCAAGGGTGAGGAAATCGGACAAGTAGATCACAAGAGGCGATTTGGATAGGATGTGGGAGCTATAAGAGGGATGATGGCAGTTGTCGCTCAACACCATGGGTTTCTGTGCCGGATCGTCATCGTGACTATGAGCATAGGCCGCCGTAGCCGCGATTGCAGCCACGATCGAACCTCCAAGTCGGACCATCGTAACGTGTAGAGCTGCTGAATCTAATTGTTGGCCGATATCTACATAACGAGAGTGATACCACGAGATCCAAACCAGGCAGCCATTCGAGCTTGCAATGGGTGCTCGAGACAGATCAACCGGCCTTCGCACGCCCAGCGGGGGGGTTGCAACAGATGAAACTCCAACGGTCTGCGGAGGGGGGCCATGATGCTCCAAGATAGCTCCCAAGCGGCGGCTAATCTTGGGTCAGTGGGCTTCCCGAGACGTTCTAGCGCTTCGGCGTCGACCCATTTTAGTGCATTGCTTGTCTGATCCTACCCCTGACAAGAACCCTCGGCCGGCGGCAGCAAGTCGTGACCCTTGTCCAGCAGGGGTAGCTGAACTTATTTGACCCCGCGAGGTCGCAGCTAATCCAGGGCAGCGTGGCATCATAAATCTCCAGCGTCAACGACAAAAGATGAAGGTAAAGGTTATGAGAGAGCTGTGTCTCCTGGCCGCTGCTGTCTCTGTGGCCGGCTGGGATCACCTGAACGAACATGAGTTCTTGAGGACCGTCGGAGGACACAACCAGGCTCTGATCGCGTGTAAGTGTGAATTTTACCGCTGCGGTTGGATTGAGCCATGCTAACTCGCGTGCAGTTGTGGAGGTAGGTTTCCAATTGCCCCTTGGCTCTATCCAACCAGCAGCGACATTGACCAGGCCTCGATTATATAGCCTTCCACGTAAGCAACGTGTGCCCTTCGGCCAGGTGCACCGAGTCTCACATGATGTCTCTTCAGGACCGCAAGCCAAGCTCTCGAACCCGAATGGAGCTCGATCTCGGTATCGGAAAAGACCTTGGGCAGCGTGGACTGTACATCGCAAATCCAGCTATGCAAGGACTATGATATCATCTCGTACCCAAGTATAAGATATTTTGACGGGCACGGCAAGATGACCCCGTACCGAGGACCAAGGACCGGCCCCTTGTATGCTTTGATCGCTCCGTGCAGTTCTAGCGCCCGTGCTTACATTTCCTTTAGCATTGTCTCTTTCCTGAGGCGTGCATCTAGACCAACAGTGACGCTTCTAGATGAAAGGAAGATAACTGCATTCCAATCGATAGATGATGCCGTGGTTGTGGCTCATCTCAATGCTCGAGATACACACATACAAGAAGCCTTCAAATCGCTAGCATCGCGCTTCAAGGATCGAGCTTCCTTCGGATCGCTAGAAACCACCGAGCAGACCACGATCGTGTGCTACAACAACCGCGACAATGAGCAGTCTACAACGTCCGACCTTGCTGCGATCGACTCGCTGCCGTCATTTGTCAGCGCTTGTATGACACCCTTGATCGGGGAGTTCTCAAGGCGGAATGAAGTCAAGTACTTTCAGGTGAGTACAACAAAACAATAGCAGATACGCCAGTGCAACTGACAACAACCCATGTAGTCCGGCAAATCGCTAGTCTATTTTTTCGCGGAGACACGGGAGGAACGCGAGGCCTACGTCAACGTGATAAAACCGATTGCCAAGAAGTACAAAGAGTTTCTGTCCTTTGTCACTGTCGATGCAGACGAATACAGATCAATGACCTCGCCTCTGGGACTACCGTCAGGGTTGTTTCCAGCTTTGGCTGTCCAGAACCCCACGCGAGGCCAAGTGTTTCCATTTACTGAAGAGCACATTACAGTGGAGGCTGTCGACAACTTCGTAATGGACATTGCAGGTGGCAAAGTAAAGCCTTGGACTTCGCTGCCTGTGCCAGACCGGTCAAGCCATGCCCACGATGAGCTCTAAGCCAAAGCCATGTATGGAAACATCTGCTTGCATTGTGTATTACAGCGTCTATAGCCATTTATTTTCTGCCCACACGTGATAGTATAAGACCGTTGTCGATCTGATTCACCTCCAAGAGCGTGAGTGCTAAACTCATGGCAGGCTCATGAAGAGCTCCAGCAACTTGGGATAGATGGGAGTCCTGTCCAAGAGGTTAGCTGACACTTCCCATCGATGGCTTTTCAACTCACCCAAGGCCAGACACTGGATCCCACCCAGTACGGGCCGAGAACCCGGGAGTGCCACACCCCCGGTTAGTGCCAGTCGTTATGTCCTTGAAGACCTCCGGGTGGTCATACTACGGCGCTATCAGCAATCTGTACTGCAACTTGCAGTGTCATGATATGGCTTCCAACTTACCAGGACTTGGTGCACGAATCCTACCGGGGCCTTTCCGACTGCCAGTCTCTCTTCGTTGATGAGAGTCAAGATTCCCCCAAAAAGTGGACACGATGCCGACGTGCCACCGATCCTGGCTAGTTGCCCACCTGTTGCCACCACGAAGTTGTCGCCGTTTGCAGCAACGTCCGGGTACGCACGCCCCAATTTGTTGAACCTTCCAATGCCGGCCTTTGCGCTACTGAAGTTGAGACCGCCGCCTTCATATCCGCTGAAGCTCAGATAGGCGTTTTGTAGGTAGCTCGAGACGTGCTTCTCCTGCCATGCAGGTCGTTCGAAAATGTTCGAGAAGCCACCACCAGAGGGGAATCGAGTGGTGGCCACCTCACTTCCGTTCTCGATACTTCGGCCCTGCGGCAGATAGGTGGACCCTACAGACAGGATGTAAGGACAGGAGGACAGGAACTGGGGATGAAAGACGGTATGGTTCGGTCCAACGCAGCCATTTGGAAATGGGTCCGACTGGAAACTTGCCACTCCGTCGTCCCCCGAGGCGATGAGGACAGTGGTTCCCTGCAAGCCCAGTTTCATGATCTCGGCGCATTGTCTCTGTTGATACGAGTATGGGAGGTCCGTTTCGCCGCCGCTGTAGGAGATGGTGATCACATTTGTGCGGTTGTATACACCACACATCAGCTCGCCTTGATATCCATCGGGATTGGGGTTGGGATAAGGTGGGTCCAGGCATTCCGTTCTGTTGCAGTTCCCAGTCTCATTGAACGCGGTCGATGTACAGTAGCTTCCGTCAATTGCATTCCAGAGGTCTAGTGGGCAAAGTCAGTTGTAAGATTTCGAAAAAGACGTGTTGGTCGGCCTACTGTTGAAGAAGCCCCTGAACGGAGTGTTGTTGGTAGTTTGATTATACTGGTATACTTCGTCATCCACCTGGTAAAGAACAGCATCCTGGGGCCAGATGAGACCGTAGGCCATTTGAAAGTCTAGATTAGCCTCTGTGCCGGCATCTCTGACATCGTCGACTGGCCCGATGCCACCGTTCACGGATCGAAGCTCTGGATGCGTCCCGTTCGGAATATCACTGGACGCGTCAGTTTCCGTTGCGGGGCTTTGTCGCAGAACACTTACTCGGTAAACCCCCAAAAGAAGGTATCGAGGTCTTGCTGGGTGTAATGCTGTCCAAGGGACTGGAATATACCAATCTTGTTCTCAGGATGCGCTTTGGTGCCTTTAGGGATCTGGTACAGCTCTAGTCCGGGTCAGTATGTGCAAAAGGGAACGGGGACATAAGGCCAGGCTACTTCTTATACAATCAGGTGTCATGTATCTGTCACATCCTCCGTTAAGTTGGTAAGGTTCGTTGGCGGGCCCCTTAGCTCCCGTGCGCCCAACCGTCTCTACCGGCAAGGCGAACCGTGAAGGTCCTTCCCGACCAGAGCCCGTGTTTGTGCTCCTCTTCAGCTTTGGTGACTCTTGCAAGTCTCCAAGGCCCATAAGCCGGATACCAGGAGTAATATAGTCTATGTGGTCTTGAATATGTTTTGGGACATGGTATCTGGTCCCCGGTCAGCGTTGTCCCTGACGAGGGACGTGTCTGCTCACTCTTCGCAAGCAATACTCTGGACACCGCTGTCACTATGTTCGTAGATATGATAATCGGCCATGATCAAATCCTCCACGTGGCCTACCGGGGCATCGAACTGTACCCATTGCCTGTTGAGCGACTTGGAAATTCTGGATGCCGGTATGCCCGACTTGACAAGCCAGCTCTTCACGGCGTCGAAGCTATCTTCGAGTGGCGCGAACAGGTCGATTACTTCCGAGGCGGTAAGATGCTTTCCATAGTTTGCGGAACTCGGGTTAGAGCTGAATTGGAGATCACAATTAGCCACTGTCGTATCGGACTGCATCATGTAGTCCTACATGTCCATCAACAGGTCATGGCCCTGTTGAAGATTCCTCTGCTTCAGACCAATGCGCATTGGAAGCACCGCGTCAGAACGAGGCCTCTCTATCTTGCCCCATCGTCTAGCATGCTCCAAAGTCTGTCTTTCATGTTCAATGTGCGTCTCTGGGATTGTGCGTTTTGCTCGTACGGGACTGCTCTCTAGATTCTCCACATCGTGACCAAGTAAAGGAGAAGCTGATACTTTCAGTACTGCTAGGCCAAGCAGATAAATCAGGGAGTATAGCTTCATGTTAAGAGGAGACGCTCAACTGGAGCGCGAGATGTGTTTCATACGCACATAATCCTCGTCTCGAGTTTATATGCTCTACATATAAATGGATACGACTGCGGGGGTGTCGATGGTGTGCTTTCCATTTGCCCACACCCCAGAACTCAAGGACGAGGCATACCAGTTTCCTCAGATAATAACCAGTCCGCCAAGACAGATAAAGACATCTAGCCGCATAGCGGCCCATGAGCGGTTAAATGACCATCCGCAGTAAGATGCGAGAGATGACCCAAAGCTAGACCTGGTGGCGGCATATCGGATTAGGTATCGCTATGGCAAGTGCTGTAGTCGGCAAACCGAAGGAACTATCTTTGGCAGGGTTGAACACAGACATATAGTGCAATTAAAGGTAGGAATGTAGCTTCGAGTGGGAGCAGCCTCATTGGGTAGTTCAATGATCTACCGACGCATAAGATATATAGCCGGTTACCGGCAAGCCCCTGGAGGCTAGCCGCATCCATCCCGTGGATGGTTCCCGAATATGAGCCAGAAGCTGCTCTGTGGAGGATAAAATTATCCAAAGTCCCAAGAATTTATATCGCTGTTTGAACGCATGTTACGTTACTGGCAGACATTGTCACCGTGTCGAAGCATATAGCCGCTGGACACTGCATGCTTAGGTATGCACGAATACCACAGAGCACTTCCTTCTCAAACAGATCTACATAAGGCGATCAGGCCTGCGAGAATGCTGCTTGCGTCCGTTCGAAGATTTGGTCTCTAGGTACCAATGGCATTCGTATGTTGCTCGAGATGAGCCACATCACAACATCACAGGTACCGACAGCATCTTTAGGTAAAACGACACGCAACAGGGTCCACAGCACCGAACCATGCAAGAGCTGGTAGCGTTACAAGAGCTGATTCGTCAAAGTCTGTCTAACGTGCTAGGTTGATTTGACTTGCGAGCGATGAGAGCTGATATCATGGAGTTGCTTGATGGAGTTGGAGGCTAAGGCGTATGTCATGTCATATGTCATATAATGAGCCAGGAGTGGGGCGTTGCTGCGTCAACTTGGTCCAGATCCTGTCAGAGCTCCAAGCGATAGGCGGCAAATCCAGTCACATACTAACCGCGAGGCCTACGACGACGATTGGAACATCGAGTTGGTTCAATTATGAGTTCCAGTCAAGCAGCAACATTTAGATCAGAATAGAGGTCAAGGTCGAGGACAGAGGTATGTATAGACGCATTGACTGTGTCTCATTGACAATATAGGGGAGCTGGCTAAAGCCTAACAGAAAACTGATGTACTACTTCCTCGCAGCCCCTCTCGCTTCTAATATCGTTCTCTAGCTTCACTGTCGCAACGGTCTAGTTGGCACCTGTCCAGACAGTTGGCCCTGGAATAGGGTAACTTGTGAAGCTTCTGTAGAGGTCGAACAGGATTCCCGAATCAGTGCGCTTATACAGGCTCGTGGCGGCAGTACCCGTGGGCGGGTTGACAGAGCCACTGCCCCCAACCTTGATGTTGAGGCACTGCGGGTAATTTTGGGCCCCGTTGTCGTTACCCGCACTATGCAACGCAATGATCTCGTGCCGGATCACATAGTTGCCCGCCTTGAGCTTGGCGGGAATGGTAGTCGAGGAGGTAAAGTTGTTTTTAATGAGTGTATCGGTTACCCATGTGCCAGCGTTATAACCCCCCTCGCTGAACTTGGTCCAGGAGAGACTCGCAGCGCTTTTGGTCGTACAGTCACCTGTGTTTACCGGTGTCAGGATCTCTTCAAGAGCAAAGAGAGGGCCATAGCCATTTTTGAGATGAAGGGGGCACAGAGAGAAAGAGAGAAGGGTCCGAACCATTGCAGGGTGCGATGTAGTTGATGATTGGGCCCTTGTGGGTATCCGGCCAAGTGTTCCAGAAGAATGTCAAAGAATCTCCGGCATTGGCGTTGATGTAAAGCTGCCCGGCAGTCGCGTTTTTGTGACAAGCAATGTTGCTTGTTTGGTACGAGTCGGGTGCGACGAAGCCATTATCTTGGTTCAGTGCATTCCATCCTGTGGTCGGCGCGGCTGCTCCGCTCGGTAGGTAGTACCACACCGGGTCAGCTCCAGGAAACCAGCCAGCGTTGTTGACCTTTACTCCGCTAACATAACCATGAGCGGCAGCCAGGTCTAGCAAGGAGGCACCGAGGGTGAAGATAAGAGTGGAGGAATGCATGATGTAATGAAAGGGTCTTGCCGCTGCGATACTGCTGCAGGTAGAGGGCATTAGAGTCAATATGGATGCCGAACCCCAAACGCCTCGTCTTTATATAGTCTATGGATAGTATAGGCCAGCACAGGCCGGATGTCTGGCCCGTACAAACAAATAAATGTTACAAGGAAGCATCGCGCGATGTTGACCTGTGATTACTCTAGCTCCTCGCATGTAGGATGCCGAGCACATCGAGTCAAGGGTTGGTGGTCGTCAGAAATCGACAGCATGTGCCACGGTATTGGCCAAGCCAGCGGAGCTGGTGCACTACCTAGTACGAACGTTGGGCAACAGGGAGCCTAGGCCTTGGCTCATGCTCCGGAGCCGTTACCGTATAACTTGAAGTAGAGCACCAGACGCTAGTTCCTCTAACCTTTCGAGACATGGTTTCGGAGCCGGAGTATTTAACTGACGGAAACAGGAAACGGGGACTGGGCCAAAGGTCTAATGTGGACGGAGAATTTGCGGCATTGCGGATGGTGGCGGTTCCGGTCTACTAAAAGGGGATGCGGTGCGACGGGATAGAGAGCATGGCGCCAAGCAATTCGTCAATACCTCGCAAGCCTTTCGAGTTTCCAAGAAATCGTTTACCATGGATCAGCACGTCATGGAGTTGTCTCTGATTGGCTCCGGCGACTTTCAATGCATCTCGAATTCCGCGAAGTCGGAAGCCCGAGTCATGGCTGCAAGTTCATGGGCAGGATAGCATACGGGACGCATCGACCACGAAGGCCGATACTTATCGGATACAGGGACGAACAACCGGTAGTTCTGCAGCACGGTAGTGGCAAATGCGGATCTAGGACAATGGACGAAGTATACGATCCCCAGTAGCCTTCAAAGCTGGATTGTTGGTATTGCTTCTGTCACTTTCCACCACTGTGACGCAAGCCCCACGTGGAGTGGGAATGTATGGATTCGCAATTATATACGACGCCGTTTCGCGTGTATCGCTAGTGCTGGCGCTCATTTGCGAACGGTTTCGTTCTATCTACCACAAAACACTGGGAGGCTAGCCGCTGCCTCGTCCTGCGACATACAGGACATCGTGTTTTCTATCGTGCAGGGAGCCAAGAGTGGGTAACGCGTGTCTTTCATCTGAATCCGGCTGCACGAGCTTCGTAAATGATGAATGACTGAAGGAAGCGGGCGGCGTCTTGGGGCTCTTCCGTCCGATTCCGCCGGTGCCGAGATGCGAGTTTAATCCATCCATGATGGGCGACCTCACTCAGCCCATCAACTCACACCCCTCCCGGACGACACCGACCACAGCACCTGTTTGGATAGCCTCGCTTGCGCCACCTGCCATGCGATACTCGATCTCAGCCAGACCATCGAGCCAGCGAATCATGGCCTCGGGTTTCACATCCATGGAGACCAGTGTCTCGGACAAGGCCGTGATGATGTCGGCCAAAGCCAGCCCGTTGGCAACCTTCAGGGTGTTGATGGTCGAGAGGCAACTGGTCACGTCGCTCGTGGTGAGTAGCGTCTGGGCAATTTTCTCGATAGCGTCAGGCGGCGGCGCGGCGATGCAGTTGTAGATGGTCTGGATGGTGATGGGCTCTCGCACAATATCCTTCTCCGGCGTTTTGGGTCCATTCTTGGGCTGAAGCGGCGTACCTATCATACTCAAGTCAGTCGAACGGCACACGTGCGGATGAAGAAGGGCGGGGTGGTGCAGGTGGTGGTGGTGGTGGTGAGGCCCTACTAGATGCATGGCATGCTTGAAGAACGTTCAATGCTCTTCGCATGTCGCCCTTGCTCAGCTTGACCAGCGCGCTGGTGGCCTCGGCAGAAATCTTAATGTCCTCCTCTAGGACGACTTTGTCCACTAGTACTCTGATGTCGTTTTCCTTCAGCGGGCTGAACCTGAATCGGGTGCACCTCGAGAGCAGCGCCGGGGACAGCTTGTGTGTGTAGTTGGCGATGACGCAGAAGCGCGTGTTGGCCGTGTATTTCTCCATGATGCGCCTCAGTGCCATCTGGGCCGTGTTCGTCATGGCGTCGGCCTCGTCCAGGATGATCAGCTTGTAGCTTGCCATGCCGCTGCGCTGGGCCGACGCGCCGATGGTGAAGATCTGCTTGGTCGAGGCAAAGGTCTTGATCTGCTCGCGCACCACGTCGATGCCTCTGTCGTCCGAAGCATTGAGCTCGAGGACCATCTGGCGCATATTCTGCTCGCCGTAGATGCGCCGGGCCAGGGCCAATATGGTCGAGGTCTTGCCCGTCCCGGGCGGACCGTAGAGCAGCCTGGTTCTGCTGTCAGCCTCTCAAGTGCGTGTGGCTAGCTTCAGAGCCCCCCCTCCCACCCCCTTCCCGGAACCAACCCGGGCCATCCGGGCCATCCGGGCGAGCGAAAGAGCCGGTCGACTCACAGATGTGGCAGTCGATTAGAATCGACAAACTTGTTGATGGTGGCTAGAATGTCATGGTGGCCCGAGACATCGGCGAGCGACACGGGCCGGTACTTCTCGACCCACGGCAGGGTATCCTCGGCCTCGACGGGGAGGTTGGCGGCACTGCGTTTGCCCTTGGCCGTGTTGTCGGAAGAGAAGGTGATGTCTTTGGACGGGGCGGGCCCGTCGACGTCCATCTCATCTTCGAAGTCGGACATGGCGGCGGAGGATCTGGAGGCACAGAGCCGCGTAACTGACTAGACAAAAGGCGCGGGCGGACTAGATCGGAAGTGAAACAGACTCCCAGGGAGGATTGCGTCGGGCGCAGGAGATCAAATCGGCTTTCTTGTAGACGTTGTCGTAGGTGAAGCGGGCAGTATGCAAGCGTGCCGTGTGTACGTGTGTGGGTGTGTGGTGTATGGCTCCGGCTTCAGCAGACGCGTCGTGGGCTGCGAAACGCGTTAAGTGATTTTCTAGCGGCCCTGCTTTGGGGGCGGCTTAGCGGGGCCATCTGGCTGAGGAGCGCTAAAGCCACCCTAGGGCCACACTCTTCAACACCCGCTGCATACCTATGTACTGTGTCAGTAGGTACAGTGATGCCAGGGGACCCCCCTCCCCCGGTCACCCCCGGCATCGTGGGCTGCATGGAACAATGGGACGCATGCACCAAGTATCCAATGTATGTAAGTTACGGAGTTACTGGACCAAGAAGGTACGTGGACGGGCATAGACGGGCCTCCGTATCTCAGCACCCAATGCTTATCTCCAAAACCCTCCCATTCCGTGAGTAAGCCTCGCGCCCTCCTTCTTCCTCGCAATGTCCGGTTGATTTTCCGGCTCATCATGTCCGCCAGTCGGACCGCGATGACTCTGTGTTTTTATCTACGCCCAGCCCCATTTCGGGTAAGCTGAGAAGCTGAGTATTGTCTTCTTGTATCTGCCTTGGCGATCGGCTTTGGGCGTGACGGTTTGGACCAGGTCCGATCGGCACATCGTCACCGTAGGATTCCTTGAGCAGCCGGCCGTCTAGAGCTACCCATAGCCGAGATGGCCGAAGACTCAGGGGACACATCGAACGAGGATACGTCCGACACGCCTTCATTTATCGTCTTAGGCGGCCGGTCTCTTACATCCGCCTCCACCCCAGAGTCCGGCATCTTTGTTCCTGCCATGTCAGAGGAGATGGATATGGATGGTGATCTTCTGCTGCAAGTAGGGACACCCATAGGAGCCCCAGACCCAAACTACGTCGCAACTGCTGTCTTCAGGGTCTGCTCGAGGACTTTGTCCCGTGCCTCGCCCGCGTGGAAGCGGATGCTGTACGGTGGCTTCAAGGAATCCAGTGGCCGTCGGGAATCCAGAGAATGGAAGGTAGACCTGCCAGCCGACGACCCGGCCTCGTTGGCGCTGCTCCTGAATATCATGCACGGCAGGTTCGACAAGGTTCCCCTCAGTCTCTCCGAGGAAGAGTTGTACGAGGTCTCAGTACTCTCTGACAAGTACAACCTTGCACACTTCCTCCGGCCGTGGGCGCCCGGCTGGGCCAAGTACGCCTTCACCGCTCTGAAAACCCAGAAAGATGGGCAGGACGCCGACCCTTTTGAATCTTGGCGTGTTGAAGCCCTGCTGTGGGCCGCTTGGGAGATGGGCGACGACGCCGCCTTTCGTACAGCTGCGAGGAAACTAGCTTTAAGGGCTTCCGTCAACGATGAGGGAGAGCTGGTCGACGGGGACCTGCAGACGGACGGGATGAGCCCTTTATTCGAAAGCCAGATGGAACCACCTTCGATGGCAGGTACGCACCCTGCTTAGTTGGCCGTCCTTAATGGGCTCACAGCTAATATGCCGCAGAGAAGATCAAGTTCACCCGTGCGAGGATGTTGACCGCCTTGAAAGACATATATGGCAAGTTCTGGGACGGTCTCATGGCGGATCAAAGAGGTGCTCCCATCTGTTGTGTCTCGCACCGCGACCATGAACGAGCGCTTTGCCATTCCACCCTGTTAGGGTCGATGCTCCGGTCCCTCAACAGCAATGGACTGTTGCCTTTTCCCTCGGCCGAAGACTTCTCCGGCAACGTGTCTGCTCTGCTCAAGACGTTCAAGAATGTTGCGCTGCTCTCTCTCCCGCAGCACAGGAGTTCCTGCGGCCTGGCGTCAACGTGGCAGTGGGCCATTGACAACGCCATCAAGGACATCGTTGTTGAGTTGGATGACTCGCAAGTTCGTCATTTGCAGGCCCAACGCAAGAAAACAGGCCTATAACAGACACCCCTAAATAAGGGATTAGGCCATGATCTCCGTATATGTGAACCTGGTCCTGCGTCCAATCCGCAATGATTCGGTCTAATTCACACTAATCCCAAAGAATTAAAGGTCTCTTTCGATGACTTACAGTCGCGCCGCTGCTATGACGTTCAAATAAGATATAAATCCACCGCTCCTGCCCAGTCATCTCAAAGCCAAAAGTACCCGCTCATTCCTTATACTTCTCATCCTTGTGAGCCCAGGCGTCTTAATTATGGCTCCCGTTACTGCCCCACCCGTGATGACAAAGGGAGAGACTTCGTATACTGAATCCCGCCCCGCCTGCTGACCATGTTAAGTAAAACGATCAGATGTGGTGGTGATTCCAGCTGTTCGCCCATGCCATAGCCAACGGCCTCCAACAAAGCAAGACAGGGGAATGCATCGCTGGCGCGAGATCCATTCCACTACCTGTTTCGGCTCCAACTAAGCGTATAGTGGTGAGTTTGGTATGTACCCAAGCAGGCTGTCATGTGCTGTTTTGAAGATTTGAGGGCTTGCTGGAGCTAGGTGCCGTCAAATGGAAGATTGATACTTGGCCGGACCCATCCGTGGTCCCCTTCTCTGAAAGAGTCGGACAGGCTTGAAACGAGACAAAAGTGCGGACAGCCCAAACGGCTTTCGCGCAAACTCGCCCAAAACGGGCCTGATGGATGGGCGCGGCGGACGACGGACTGTTCCGCCTTCGGGTCGGGCTGATTCTAAGACCCGTTCATGACTCCACAACCATCCCGGGGTCTTGGTGCTATTGAGCCCCTGGATGCCATGGAGCGAATTGGGCACCATAAGTGGGACTGCGCACGTAAAGATATTTCTGTTCAGGGAGGGGTAGGATCGAATAACTTCTGGCGAATCTCAAACATTTACAATTCGATTCTGTACTCGCCGCTCACGAAGCCCATAGTCGAGACAACATGGTACAAGTGTTTTTGTAAGGACCCGTCGCAACTATGTGCAGTCTGGTCTAGGTCGACTCTAACGGCATACAGTGTTGGCGCCACGGGCCATATTGGCGGTGCTGTCTTGGACCAGCTTCTCCAGAAGAACCCAGATGTGGCAGTAAAGGCTCTCGTCCGCGACGAGCAAAAGGCCTCACGACTTGCCGCAAAGTACCCAAGAGTGCAGACGGTCATCGGCGACACCAAGAATGTTGACGTTCTTGATTCAGTCAGCCGAGAGGCCGACATTGTGATCAATACGTCACCAGATATCACTCACGACGACGGCATCAATGCCATTCTGGGAAGCTTGAAGAGCCGCAACGGACTCAAGTCATACTATATCCACACCTCGGGCGCGTCACTTATCTGGGACGAGCCTGCGGGATCGAAGGACGCTCGATGGTGGGACGACATCAAGGATGTCAAGGATATCATTGCCTTGAAGGGAGAGGCCTTCACACACGCTGTGACTGATAAAATCGTTCGGGATGCTGCTAGCGATGTCAACGTCGCTATCGTTTCTCCTGGTTTTGTTGGTGGCATGAGCCCATCCATCGAGCACCCAACCCCTATCACAACACCGGCCTTGTTCCTGACGGCCCGCGCCTTCAAGTCTGGCTGGCAGATTGCCCAAGGAGAGAATACGCATGCTTGGATCCATGTTGCAGATCTTGCACGCATGTACCTGCTGCTCGTGAACGACGCGATCGATAACTTGACGGGGCAAACCTCCGTTGCAGCGCCGTTCGACATCTGGGGCCCCGAAGCGTACTATTTTGGTACAGGAGAAGACATCTCCTTTGCAAAGTTCATGGCACACCTTGCTCCTGTCTTGAAGGACACTGGCGTGATCAAGAACACCGAGATCAAGTCGGTCAGCGTAACCGAGGCCGCGCGAGCAAGCATTGCGGGAGAGGATTACGACCCGGACGCGCCGCCGCCAGCGCTAGATAGTTGGGCCATGCACATTGCCATCATGTATGGCATCAACATGAGACTCGGCGCGTCCAGAATGCAGAAGTTAGGGTGGAAGCCAGAGAGAGGGTCTGTGATTGAAACCTTCGCAGAGGTCGTCAGCGAATACCTGCAACTCGAGAAAGCCAAGGAGAACTAAAGACAATGTCTTGACTTTTACGCAAAACCATGCAAGATTACAGTTCGATTCTTTATTAGATGCGCAATTTATACCCAGAGGTTAGCTATAGCAATGGACAACGAACTTCTATCCATATAATAACAACTAGTATTGAGCTCGTGTGGTGTGGCTTGCCCTGTGGCGTGGTGTGGCTTTGCGTTTTATTTCCTATATAGCTATCTTTACCGCGTGTGGATTCCAATAAGACAACGCTCCTTTCACCCCCATATTTGGACCCTGCGTTCTGGCGACCGACAACCCCCATCGTGCACGTTATAGGAGGAATTATCACTCTGCTTAGCCAGGTCCCATTAGACAAAGTACGTTGGATTCGTCGGGAGAGACGTTGAAAACTACTTTGGCTGCTGTGGACGTTCTGGGACAGCACTGTCCTGGAGCACCACTCCAGTTCAGTATACAACTATATCAAGCTCAAGAAGGCTTTCTACCTGACAAGTGAGAAATCCGCGCACAGCGGGATCACCTAGACGCATTCCTTCCATCCATCCATTTTCGCCCAGGTTTGGCAATGCGATCAATTGTAAAGTCCGTGCGGATCATCCGGCTGGTTGTTTTGATTCCCGGCATCTAGCACATTAACGGCTTGCGGGTCGACGTCCGGCAGGGGAGAAACCGGGCGGACACGTACACGCGACATTGCCACCAGGCTCAGTGGCAAGCCCGGACCGTACCAGTCGTGAACCATGCCATCAAATGCATACGAATCACGTAACATGTTCGGAATTATTCCCAGCGCGTGATAGAGCAGCCGCACCCGCTGCTCTAGGCGTCGCAGTGCGTTCTCCCCCAAAGTAGACCTGCCTCGGAAGTCCAACATATTCATGTCCATCTGCCTTACCAAAGGCATTACTCTTTGCCCAGCCATTGCCATGTCGCCTGTTGCACGTCCCTCATTGACGGCATTTGTAAGTATGTTCAGGATTTGCTAGTAGAGAGAGAAGTTAGGATATATTCTTTTTTCTCTGTTGAGGATAGGGAATGGGCTTGTTGGGGCACCTAACCTGGAATGGGGGCTAAAGACGGAAGGTAAAATAGACGGAAAGGGATGAAAGTATGGGGGCCAAGTTTTGCATAATTCTCTTTAACATACGGACATCGTTTGTAGACATACCTGATATCGATTCCCTAGATGTTGGCCAAGGACATAAGGCGCAACGACCGGGTCGGGTAATGGCCATGTATTAGGGTTGGTGGGGTCACCTGCAAGACGCTGTATCTGCGGCCGCGGTACTGCCACGTCCCATAAATGACGCTGATGCTGGAGCCTATTCAATAAATTACCTGGCAGAAGCCCTCCTGCGCCGCCGGGAGGGCCAGCAGCAGGTGAATTTACGTTGTTGATATGGACCTGGGGGCCAGCAGCAGCTGGGATCGCGTTGGGAAGCGAAGCTCCACCGTTCCAGTCTGGCGACTCTGCCTTGATGCTAGGGTCGTTGCTCTGGGAAGGTGATGGTGCTGCACCGACTCTCGGCGGAGGCACTGCAGCGTGGACAACACTGGGGGAACGCCTTAAGTCTGCCCCGTCGGTTCTGTTAGTCGTGATCTAAATATCATGTCAGCCTCGTACACCCCCAAAGTAAACTGACTTAGCTCGATGCCAGTCCCTGCAGTCTATCGAGAACAGCATGAATTCCATAACGAGTGATGGACCTGAGTATACGTACACCTCCGATTTCAATTCCGGCCAGCATCGCTATCCTCCACGCAGGATCGGCCTGAACTTCGGCATCGAAGACTCGATTGTTTGGGTCAGTATTTCGAAGTAGGGCCTCGCGTCGGAGAAGCTGGTTCTGCATAATGGTATTGTTGAAGTGGCCTCTGATGTTTGGGTCAGAACACAGCATGCAATCTTTACCTTGGCTAATTTGGAACTCACCGTAGTTGAACCTGTGTGTAATCATGCCCCAGTGCTCGCATTTCATTCTCGATGACTCGCCAGGCTCCATTTCCAACGCGTCCCCATGATTGATTATTTGTGATATGGAGCTCTCCGTGCGTGCATACCAGTGTGATCAGATCTTGGTCTTCTTGCTGTGTGAAACGAACCCGCTGAGCCATTTTATTTTTATATAGTGTGTTGATGATTATTAAGTGTGTCTGTGGCGAGTTGCAAGATGTGAGTAGGACACCATGCAACTTCTGGCGCGCTTTACATTTATACGCTACTATGCTATAGTCATTCGCAACTGTAGATGATAGCTTTCACAGCCTAGGTCTATAAAGAAAATTTTAGCGTAGGCCGTTTCCGGTCTCAGTCGAACGTCGCCCTTGTGGCCGGGAAGCAAAAGAACAATGCCATCCATCACCTCTCTCGGGGTTGCTTGTCAGCCTCACGAAACACTTTTGGTTTTTTTCAAAGCTGGCTATTGACGGCTCTTTGCATAAACAGACCAAAGGCAGTGCTTTGAAGGCTGGGAATGGGTGAAAGCAACATTGTTGTTCCGCAGATTGGAATCAAAGCTCGTGTCAAGCTGCTGAACATTTTCTATAGAGCTGTGGGGCCAAACAGAATCCAGGAATCCTAGGCTCTGAATGACTCGTGAGCTTCAATGTAGCACGCGTGTGGAACACTTGATGTACTGTCCATGTTCTGAGTTCTTTCGAGCAGTCACTTAACTAGTATAGCCTATACTGCCCCGCCGATTTAGAGTTTTAGCTCCGGGCCTGCAAAACTTTCGAAAATGTGGGGCCAGCTGAAATAATGCCACCCTGACCAGCAATCTATAAGGTGCTTTGCCACCCACAGCTTTCTAACTTAGCTGGTCTGATGTGTCGCCAATCCGATGGCCCACGAAAATCTCTTGCCCCCTTTACCGCTTGAAATCTGGATCCGTGTTCTTAGCTCCATAACAGTTTCGCAATTGCTGCCCCAAGCATGGCTCAACTGTCGCCTCGTCTCGCGCGGGTTTCGGGTTGCTACGGAAACAGCTTTTGTTGACACCTACTTGCCGCAAATGAAGCTTTGCGTCGAGCTTACAGAGCTCCTGGAACTGACTTTTTTCGGCGTCTCACCAGACCGTACACTGGCACGTTTCACGCATGTCTTGAGAGCAGGCTCCGGGCAGAGCTTCCCACTGCGCATGCCGCTTCACCTGCAGCGGCGGTTAGAGCAAGAAACGGAAAGAATTTGGCAACGAGAACATGAAAGATATGTGAAGTCCATTCAGGAAGGTGCGCCCTCGCTGCTTTACACGTGTTGGGTTGAGGGGTTTGTGGAGGATCCACCATTTCTTGGCCTCGAAGTCGATGTCGCCAGGCGGATGTTATCATTCCGTTGGCAGCCGACGCTTAGCACCATGTTTGGAGAAATTGAGCATCGGAGGCAGTTACTCAGCCAAGTCGAACGCGGCGAGGGAAGACTTTCGACGACCGACAGGATGCGCGAAATAGAAATGCAGGTGCGCAAGCAGCGGCCTCGAAACCAGGCATGGAACCAACGATTTGACCCAGAGAGGAGACAGGACTGGCAGCTCAACGCACTCATGGGCTACCGCACTTTGCTTTGTGATGAGGAGAGTCAATAGAGCAACCCTAGATCTTCAAACAGTGCTTCCAAATTGGATCGTGATAGCTGGACTGGTCTGATTTCTAGGATGTACATGTTCCTCCACTTGTCTTACTTCTTCTTGGAGATGTATCATATCACATTCTAGCTTCCGTAGGCATATGCGAGACTAAAGGACTGAACGGGATACACGTGTTCGAAAAATCACCAATCCTCAACGTCACGGAGTCCCACAACGCAGCGAGCACTGTCCTTTTCCCAACCCATGGCGACCGAGAGTGCATTACAGCATAATTCTAGTCCAGAGTCAGAGCAGCGTGGCTAAATTGTGTGATCAAACGTACATCTAATAGGACAATGTCCCCCTTCTGCCACTTGACCGGAACCTGTAACGATTCTGCCAGTGATAGCGCTAGGTCAAGATATTGGTTCTCAATCTTCGAACCATCCCCGTACAGCGGAGGTGGATGATATGAGTCATCATCGCCGCGGTAGGGTGGTTCAGTGGCTCCGTGAAATTTGCTTCGACCCCAGGCGCTGGTTAAGTTGCCAAACCAAGTAGTTAGCCCGGTCTCTTCGTGCCTTCGAATAACTAGAAAGGTAAGCACAAGATCGAGTAAGAGTGTCCAGACACATACTGGGTACAATGTGCGTCACACTCAAGGAACCATCTTCATGCCATTCGAAGTGGTCGCTATGCCTTCTAACTTCGTCTTCGATTTTTTCCCTCCTTGTTTCTTGATCATCGCCGGGCTGGACGTGTTGGCCGTACGCCCCTAAAACGCTGGTTCCAGTGTTCGATGCGACCTCTTCCAGTCCATACCTGTACACGTATTTCACCCCTTTTTCCAGGAGCGCCTGAACAAATTCGGGTGCTTGTTCGTTCAAAGCGGCTGCTAAACCCAAACTGGAGATGACCGGTGTTTCGCCTCCTACGATAACTCGTCAGCATATAGGTAAGTCAAGTTGCCATATTCGCCTTACCAGAGCTCGGGACGTCGAGACAGGAGAATGTCAGCCAAGCAGGGTTGATCGTAGACCACCCATACTCGTTGTGGGGCCATATAGGCAGCTCGGGCGGTCTTATCGTGGTTAATATCACGAGCGTATTGGACTAGGGCTACCCACCCTTCATTCGCAGTCTTCACGTTCCTGGCAAGTACCGTACGTAATGGAGGACGTCCGACTTCTTCATGGGCAGGAAAGCCAAATGCATGCGCAATCTCACTGTAGTCTTGCGGTGTTGCAATCGGCAGGCCTCGGATCAACACTGCGCCGCCATGATTCCGTACTTGTTCGAATAATGCGCCGGATTCTGATAGCTGTCGCAACAACGCGATTGACTCTTGCAGTGTAGGCTGCCATCCTTCCACAGGCTTCAGTGCCAATGGAAAGGTTGCACGTTGACGAAGTCCGAACTTCGCTGCGTCTTGCTGACCTTCGAAGGCAAAAGACTCGAACGCAGGTTCCGCCATACCATTTAGAAATTGCCACTGATGGGCTTGAAGTTCCGGCTTTTCACTTCAATGGTCGACCTGGGGCAGATAAATGGATCAGAATGGTTCACTACAACAAAAGGGGTATTTGATATCTGCGTGTCGTCTTTATTCTTGCCAGCCTTTATTCCACTGTCATGTGATGCTTCGTCGTCAGGGTCCGGCCTCGGAACACATTTCGATATCTGATATAGGTGTCCCCGCACAGAACGCAGGTATGTCATCTTTCCGTATAGCACGATCGGGAAAGTCCCGAATATCGTCAGAGATCCTTTCAATGTCGTGACTGCGTCTATCCCCACATTCCCCGAAGCGATTGGACGCGTTAGGCAATGTGGATCTTGAACTTCACCAGGAATCTGTTCGTAAGCCTAGTAGCTTCATAGAGCAGTCCCCATCGTCCAACGATGCGTTGACCATTTTCAGGATGACACAAACCGGCGCGTTGTGTTGAATGATAACATGTTTCAACTGTGGCTTTGCTTCGGACCTGCAACGTATGCCCCTAATTAGGCACTGATTAAACGGAGCTATTTACTCTTGTTGACCCAGAAAGCAAAGCTGCGTATAGGCTACGGCCTTCAGTGACCATTTGATACCAGTACTACATGATTTGACGAGAGGAACTCGAGAGGCCCTGATTAGCGTGCGATCCAGTCCCCGACTGTGTGGGACTATTAGCTTCCAATCCTTGCCTGCCGGTCGAGCCTTGGCGACAAGCACGCAATGCCTCAAGTTCCCGAAATACAGCGGCTTAGTGTTCGGATCCATAGCTCCTAGCTTCTAGCACGCCATTATGTGTAGTTGTTGCCGGTGCTGATACCTCGCACCAAACTGTATAGGCGTCTTTCACAGTAGAAAAGACGCCCGGAGAACAAACTCAGGCCAAAAAAAGACTGTTATGTTTCGAGCATTGGCTTCAACAATTGATCGTGTGCACTTCTTATGACGCAAACCATGGCTTCCAACGAGACAACAGTAGCTCAGAAACGCGTTCATGATGAGTCACCAGGAGTTGAGCCCACTGCGGGCAAGTACTCATGGTTTCATGGAGTGTTCTTCAATGCCACCGTCGTAGGAATTGCGGCATTTGCAGCACCCGGCCTGTGGAATGCCATGAACTCTGTGGGTGCTGGAGGACAACAGACACCTTACCTGGTGATGTAAAAAGTCCCTTGCCATTGGCATCGTCAAGCTGGATCCCTGACATGGAATAGGGCAGGAAACGCCATCTTGTTCGCCATCATGACCTTTACCTGCCTGACTGGCAGTTTGATGGTGAACAGATTCGGATATCGCACGGCCCTGGTCTTTGGCACGGTCGGGTACGTCATCTACTCGGCCGCGCTGTACACTAACAACCGGTACGGTACTGTGTGGTTCATCTACTTCGGCTCGGCTGCCTGCGGTGTGTCTGCCGGCATTTTCTGGGCTACCGAGGGAGCCATCATGCTCAGCTATCCCGAGCCCGAGAAAAGAGGGCGCTATCTGGCCTACTGGCTCACGTACCGGAACAGCGGCTCCATTCTTGGTGGAATCATCAACTTGGCCTTCAATGCGCAAGGGTCTTCCACGGGAAAGTTGGATTGGAGGACCTATATCGTTTTTGTGGTGTTACGTGAGGCTACCGACGTACCCCTCATGACCCCCGGCTGATTTGTTAGAAAGAATGTCTAGGGCCGGCAGCATCCTTTTGGCTGTCTCCGCCTGAGAAAGTTCAGAGGAGAAATGGCACGCGTGTGCAGGTGACCGAAAGAGTCTCTGATGTCCACGAGCTGAAAGGGCTTGCCGAGGTATTGGTGCGAAAGGATTTTCTATTGGTGTAAGTCCCTGTACCAACAAACCCCTGGCTACCTTTGGACTGAGCCTAGAAGCATTCCATACTTCCATTACGTGACCTGGGAGCTGCCATACATCAGCTCGTACCTCTCACTTCACTTCTCTGTGCGCTCCCGTGCACTCGCGTCTCTGGTATCGGCCCTCGCACAGGTGGTTGCCACCTTGATTTTTGGAGCGTTCCTTGATTGGACACGTCTCGATCTCAACAAGCGGGCCAGATATGGCTTCATCTTCATGATGATTCTGATCGGCGGGTGCTGGGTATGGGGCGCCATTGTGCAGAATGAGTATACGCTTCACAAGCCCCAACTGGACTGGGTCGACACCGGCTTTGGCCGAGGATGGGCACTCTACATCTTTTGGCAGGTCAACTTCTCCTTGGCGTACAACTTTGGCTTCTGGCTTATTAGCTTCTTGGCGCGGAATCCCAAGGAGACGGCCAGGTATATGTCTGTAGCCAGAGCGGCTGAGGCGGCAGGACAGTGCATCAGCAGCGGCATCAGCTCGACGAGCGCCCCGGTAAGTTGATCCGTGAACAAGCACCAAACACAGCGATTCTAATGGCAATTTAACAGCTGATCTCTGCGCTGGGCGTCAACTTTGCCCTCTGGGGTGTTGCGGTGATCCCGGCTTGGTTCGTTGTTCGCCAGGTTGGCATCAGGTACCTGGGCCCAGAAACCCAGTCTCCACCGCTTGATAGCGACAAGCAGGAATCGGGGTAGCAAAAGCCACTGAATACTAGACAAAATTCACTTTATTGTGACGGGAGAGCCGCACAAAGGTAGAAGCCGAGTTTGACTCTGAGACTTTGCTCTATTCTATGCGTCCACCCCATCTGCAAGACTTGCGCCTGCATCATGGCGCGTACCATCCACCAGATGCAATCCCATGGGTATCACTGTAGTGTAGGGAACTCGCCTCTAATCTTACACGAGAGTAGCGGCCGACTGGCGACTTCTACGAAGCCTGAGTCTTTGCGGCAACTAGGATCTCCATCTGTGCCAGCCACTTGCGTGCAAACTCTTCCTCCGTGAACCGAGTCGCTGATATACGCGCTCTTTTCCTCACCGATAGAGGGTCAGGTAGAGACAGGGCCTTCTCGAAGCCCTGGGCAAATTCCGTCGAGGTGGTTGCGTGGAAACCTGATATGATGGTTAGCATCGGCCACAGAGCCAGATAGCTGATGTAGCCCGTAAAGAGGTTTCAGACTTACCAGTCGGCTGCCCCTCCACCGTGGTAACGATATCGAGTTTGGGCCCGCCGCTGTCGTGGACAACGGCGATCAGGCCGGCGGCCTGGTACTCGACGACGCCGATGCCAAAATGCTCGTTCCACATGCCGTTGACGCCAATGTGAGCTCTCCGGAGCCATTGCAGAATGTCGGGCCAGCTCGCGTCCAGCTGAAACGTGACCCGGTCCTTAATGTGTAGCTCATTCACCAGCAGCCTCAGTTGATAGACGCGCTTAGAGTCGTTGTCATCGCGGACACTACCCACGAGGACGAGCTTGGCGTCCTTGGAAGCCTCGGACCCAGAACTGACAAACTCGGCAAACGAGTTGAGGATGAGTGAATGGTTCTTCTCGGGGCGGAATTGGGCGATGTAGATGAGCACCTTTTCGCGCTGCTTCTCGCTCTCTTCCGACACGTCGACCTCTTTCTCCAACTCCCGCACAGCACAAGGAGGGTAGACGACGGCAATGGGGTGCTCTCTCTTTCGGACCGTGCGTTTCGGCCCCCACAACTTTTTGATGTGTGCCTGGGTCCAGGTCGAGTTCGTCATGACGACGTCCACCGAGGCACCCATCCAGGAGTATACCGCGGCGAAGGCCTTCCAGTAGTTCCTCTTGGCCAACCCCCTGAGTCCAACCCCCTTCCCAGCATTGACCCCTTGACTGCCCAGAGGAGAAGTCGGGTCGAGCGACTCGAGCATGTCGGTGGAGATGGTAGGGTAGTGGACATAGGCACCTGTCGGCATGCCCGGGAACAGGATCTTGCTGAGGCCAAGCACGAAGGCGTAACCCATGGTGTCGACCAAGATGTCGGGCACAAGCAACGAGAAGGCATCCCAGCCGAGCACGAGCGAGCCGAGCGACTGGCCCAACAGGGTAAAGTGCGGCCACGTCGAGGAGAGAACCCAGTGGCGAGTGGAAAGGTAGAGGAAGGTGATGGTAGGAGGGTGGATATGAATGCTGAACGTGTTCTGGAAGCCGGTCAGCCACAAAGCAGGGAGCAACACGGGTGCGGAAAGGGTCCGCTAGAGCTGACGTACCTCGACCCGGGCAAGCATCTTCTCCTTGGTCACGTCATGGTCGCCAGTGTACACGACACACTTGGCCTTGGGCCATCTCTTCTGCGTGGCTCTGATGGCAGCCCAGAGGACCCTCTCGCCGCCGCCTCCAGCATTACAGAACGGGTGGAAGAAGCCTACGATGCCAAACCATTCCTGGTCGCCCGTGTCGCCATTCTTGGACGTTCCAGCCGTCGATGCCTCGATGTTCTCCCACCCGTCGTCCAAGCTAGTGTTGCTACTGCTCTTGCCGGGGGGGTCGCTGCTGTTGCCGCTGCCGCTCTGGAAAGTCTTCTCGTCGTCCTCAGTCATCCGGACGATCATGGACCTGCGGCCCTCTGTCTTGCGCCGGAGATACCATCCCAGTGTCGTGCCGATCGACTGCGACAGAGCGCGAAAGATGACAGGCAGGCCGTAGGTCCACAGGAGGAGGGCGAAGAAGGGCGCGGAGGCGGTCGCGACGACGGTCCACATGAGAGTCGAGGGAGCCATACCGAAGGAGAACGGCTGGCTACCGGAGGGCGCGCGGCAAGATTCGGAGCAGGACCCGGGCATCGATCAGCGCAAGATGACGTCCCAGACCAAAGGGGGGGTGAAGGTCTCCGGGCGGTGGGTGGCTTATCCCTAGAGGACGGCGAAGAGGCACGGATGGGTGGGCAAGCTGGGCCTTGGTAGGCTATAGGGTGCGAGGTCACTGTGACCCATCGAATACTCTGGAGGTCAAGAGTGATCTCGTGGTTGACGTTGACCAGAGAGACCAGATTGACGTCCCACTTTCGTATGTCTCAACTGTCGTAATGGGTTCGTGATGGGCCGGCCAGCGGATCCCGGGTTATCTAGGTACCTCCAGGTACGTTCTGGAGCCTGAGGTGCCCAAGGTACTTTACTGTACCATAGGTACCTAGTCTGGGATGTATCCACTATTTGCGCATTGCTGTGGCTGCTGCACCCCCCCGTCCCGCTGACCTGGCCCCCTGCTCCCCGGGACGCCGGTAGCCTGTGGCATTGAGCTCAGCTGCGGCGGGACAGCCCGGTGACTGGGTGCCCAGGTGGGTGTCAGGTCCCTGGTGGCACCAGAAGGTGTCTGTTGACGTGACTGGTACTTTCTCATACCTACATCCAATGTTTCTCATGTTCATGTCTTGGGAGTTTCAACCGGTGTCTGGTTCTGTCTCGACTATGGAATGCTGTTCACTGTTTGGTTTTGCACGAGTTGCTACGACACGCACCTGAGGTACCGGAAGCCCTGGGCCAGGAACCCATCAGTCAGGTCGGTACGGCGGCCCCTCTGGCACAGACCACACCTAAAAACCACGGGCTCAACCCAACATAAGCAGGATCCATTGCATGGAATTCACCCATCAACCCAGCATCCGGTAACCACCTCGCCAAGTGTCTTCCGAGGAGCCGTGCAGTGCAGATGATTGCTACGATGAGATGAGTCCTAGTTCAGCATGAGTAAACATTGTCCCATCCGACCGCGTCATGGAGCGACAATGCTCAGGGCCGCGTGCAGGCCGCGATTGAATGCTCCTGCATCACTGCTGCTCTCACCTGGCGCCACCCTCCAGCCAAGACACGCTCAGAGCCGGTCATTTACTGGTGGCCAACTCCTGACAGGAGTTCAGACCGGCTTTGAGGCGGGCCTCCAGACGGCTCAGCATGTCATCGTCTCCTTCCACGGTGCCAGCGGTCTGTCCTGGGCCATCACAATCCCTCTGGTGGCCCTGGGCGTGAACCTCCTTTTCCGGCTCCCTTTCACAGCGCACAGCGACCTGCTTGCGCACCGCCGCTCCAAGGCTGTGCCGGTGTTGCAAGCGTGGCAGGCTCGTCTTTTGCGGGAGGCCGTCCGGGAGAAGGTGCCCTCGGACAAGATCAAGGATGTTGTCACCAAACGCACGGAACGCGAAACCAGGAGATTGTATGCCGCACTGGGTCTGCAATCGTGGAAGCTGTGGACCGTTTTGATGGGCGTGCCGGGCTGGATGATGAGTCTCGGGGCCATCAGACGGCTTTGCACGGGGGCAGGGGCTGCAGACCCGGCCGGCGCTGTAGCTACCGGCTCTGCTGCTCTGGGCCCGGCCGACCACGCCGCATCAGTCTCAGCCCTGGCCGATGCTGCATCGCACACTGCCCAGTCGACATTTGCTGCCGAAGGGATGCTCTGGTTCACGGACCTCACCGCTGCTGACCCCTACTATATCCTTCCGTTCTGCTTTGCCGCATTGACTGCCGTCAACGCGTGGCCGCAAAACAAGTCAACACGCGAGACGCTCTTCCCACGACTCAACCGCCTCCTGACAAGGTCACCAGCAGGAGAGTCTCAGCCGGAAACCTCGCCGGAGCCAAAGTCTGTGGCTGTATCGGCGGTTGGAGGGTGGCGCGGGAATATGACCAAGTTTCTGGTGTTTGGATCCCCCATGTTGGGCATCTTGACGGCGTCTTTCCCCGCTGCCATGCATCTGTACACCATCACCTCGGCATCGTCGACTCTGGTAGCCAAGCACATCCTGTCGAGGTTCTTTGTGACGAATGGCGGAGTAGAGGTATGCAAGCACAGAGAGATCCCCGTCATCCGGCCCAAAATCCCCAGGAAACCGATGCCAGAAGGGAGTGGCGTAAAACCTTTGGCATCGTAGCCATGGGTGCTGAGTTTATATACCGTCGCAAAACATGTACATACACACTCTCACACACACACACACATATATATAAATATATATTTATATGCAGCGCCCTTACCACAGCTGCCAGCTCGCGCACGATTATGAAGAGTTGTTTGTAACTGCCCCATCTAGGGTCTAGAAGGTGTATCATATTGAAAGACAGGGGAATGTACAATAGCTTATCAAGCCCGGTCCGATCAAAAATCGAACCGCTCGATGGCCAATACAATCAAGATATGTGTAAATGACCGCGTCGTAAACCACCCAAACTCCCAGGCCATCAAAAAACGCCAGTGAATGCCAAGTAGAAGCCAGCAGAGAATAGCAACAACAGTAACAATAATAAAATGGGGAAATCACGCTCTCTCGTCCCATCAGCAGAAGTGCTCTCGTCGACTTATCCCAAGAAGACGGCCAACAGGACAATGGTCAGGATGACGGCCAGGATCAGTAGCAGACAGCATGCCTTGCTCCGGGCATTCTTTTGGTACCTGGCCGCACTCCTGAGCTCCACATCGGCACCCCTCGTATCGTCGCGCACGTTGATGGCGTTGCTCTCAATGGTCTCGAGCTGTTCGCCCTGCTCGCTGACAATCTGCGCGACCTGGCGGAAGAGCACGTTCAGGTCGCCCACGCCCTCCTCGATCTGCCGGATCTCCTCCTCCCGCTCGGCGATCAAGGCATCCTGGAAATCGACCTCGTCCTGCGCGGCCAGGTGGATCTGCTCCTGCTGTTGCTGGTGCTGGTGCTGGAGGAGCTGCAACTCCCCTTGGTCGCCGCGGGTCTCGCCGGGCGACTCGGCGTCCAGGGCCGCCTTGGCCGCGGTGACGCTAGCGTTGAGCTTCTCGAGGGCGGTGCGCTGCAGGCCCTGGAACTCCTTGAGGCCGGTGCCGAACTCCCTGGCCAGCTTCTGTTGGCTGTACTTCTGCGAGGGCGTGACGTCGTCGCCCCACTGCTGCAGCTTCTTGACGCCCTCGCCGACGTCCTTGAACTGGTCGCGCGACTCCTCGAGCAGGGTCTGGACGCGCTCGCGCAGGCGCGGGTTGTCCTGGCGGGTACCGAGGCGGTTGATCTCGGTGCGCAGCTTCGAGTTGTTGCCCTGCAAGTGGAACAGCTGGTTCATGAGGTTCTGGGACAGGCGCGAGAACTCGGGCGAGTCGGAGTAGGCACCACCCTGGCGACGGGACGAGGCGCCGTTGCCGCCGCCGCCGCCGCCGCCGCCTCCGGACTCCATGGAGGAGAGCTGGTCGAAAGACATGGTTGCGTTATTATATCGGACTGCGCTCGCTGAGCGGGACGGCAATCGCAAGAATGGACGGGCTCGGTGTTGGCGTTGCGACGTGCGGATACTGTCGAAAAACGGAGGAATGAATGACGGATCACCGGGGCCTGGGAATGGATTGAAGGTCGTCGCAGCTTGTTGATGGGCTGGGGCCGGTTACGTAGGTGAGGGAGGACGGGCTGCACGGTCGGTTCCAGGCTGCACGGGGCGGGGTGGACCTGATGCACGGTGCACCGCCACACTGGAAGGCAGCTGCGAATTCGCGTTGATGTGCTAACTGCCTACCATAGCACTATGTAAACCGTTAGAGGCAACTTACAAAGTACTGGTAGTGTACCCTGTTGTGGGTTTGCTGCAGAAGTCCGCCCATCGATGCCAAGTTTCTGGGCAGGTTCCTCCAGGTACCTGTCGTCTGCGCTGAGCAGGGTTCGCAGTGCATAGTACATGGTACGCTATTTCTGGGTCTGATGTCTGATGGTCCAAGGTACCACCACGCCACACAGTAACGAGCCAACTAAGATACATAGTAAGCCCCCGGTCCCCGGTTGGCCAGGGCTACCGGGCTGCTAGGGCCTCAGCGCCTCAAGCTGCCACCGCGCGCGTTGCTCCAGTGGCACCCCGGTTGGGGAGCTCGGAACTTTTTTTTTATTTACTTGCTGTCGACGACGGGGCCCTCATCAGTCAATCCTTCGACTCTGCCTGCGCCGACCGACTTACACTGGAACCCAACCCGACCCGACCCATCCCCCGCGGGCAGACCTGCTTGCATAACCGTCGACGCCTCCGGTATACACGAGCACCAGACGGCGGCACGCGGCCCCGACACCAGACGGCCCCCCTTCCATCCCCCCGAGCCATGTTATAGCCGCAAACATCCGCAATCATGGCGTCTCCCGTAGTTCGAAGGGCGCCCTACAAGGACTTCCTGCAGCCGTGCACCCAGCGGCGCTTCGCCTCCGTCCTGGGCTGGCTGCTGGCCTTCTCCCTCGTGGAGGCCCTCTTCGTGCCCAGGCTGCACCTGTCGTGGTCCCTCTTCCCGCTGACGGCCGTCCGCACCCTGCTGGTCTTTGGCTGCGTCGTCTTCGTCGTCGTCCTGCGCATCGCCCACCCCCACGTCGGCATCCGCACCACCAACTCCCCCTTCGACACCTTCAAGCAGAACGCCCTCTCGCTCTCGGCCTCCGAGACCATCCTCACCTACACCCTGTCCGCCTTCCTCTTCAGCCAGGTCTACCTGTCGTGCGCCGCCGACTACGCCAACCTGCCCTGGGTCACCTACCACAGCGGCGACCGCGCGCGTCTCAACGAGCGCGCCGTCTTCTTCACCCTCAGCCTGACCCTTCTCGGCACCTTCGAGGGCGCCCTGCACCTGTGGTGCGACTACGACAAGCTCATCCTCGGCCTCGTCAAGGAGAACAATGCCGACCAGGGCCCCGACGCACCGTCGCCCAAGCAGGAGGATGCCATCGAAAAGTTCCTCAAGCGCGTCCCGGCCATGGTCAAGGCCTCCTTCACCGTCAGCGTGAGCGTCGCCCTGGCAAACTATGCTGTGCTGTACAGCTTCCTTCTCCGCAACTCGGCCTGGGGCTGGGCCATGACCTTCCTCCGTCCCTTCTACAATCTGCCCAAGACCAACATCCCGCCGGCCAGTGCGCCCTGGAGCGTCTGGATGCTGGGGCGGACCGTGCTGGCTGGGTTCCTGTTGTGCCTCCTCTTCGGCGTCAGCAACGTCGCCTTCACCAACTATCTTGCCCGAGAGCCCCTGAAGAATGGCCAGCCGCTGACCTCGGAGTCCAAGGACCCCAATGGCAGCCTCCTCAACGGACTCAAGAGCAAGAAGGCCCGTATATCGGTAAGTCACCCCGCCCGCGTCGTGAGAAATCCCTGTACCGAGGCTAATCGACCCCAGTCGTTCGCCATGTGGGAGCTGGCCCTCATCGCCAGGGACTTCGACGTCCGCCGCAAGGCAATTTTTGAGGATATCGATCGCAAGGATGGCCCCATGTGGTCCCAGATCTACGTCACCTGCCTCGGCGCCATCAAGGCGTTGGAGAAGCGGATCGACGATTACGGGAAGCCACCGGCGCCGTCTGCGACTGCTGCCGAACTCGCTTCCCAGACCAAGCCCTCGGCGAGGGTCGTCGAGCCCCCCACAAGTGCCAACATCTGGCAACCCGCGCCACCCCCAAAGACGCTGCGGGACTCCCTCGGCAAACTTGTGGCCGACGTGACCAAGTCCCCCGGCAAGAAGCCTGCCGGCACCCTGGTTCCCTTCGCGAAGAAGACGGTCGCCGATGTTAGAGACTCGCTGCTGACCAAGCAGCAGCAGGAGAACCTGAGCCGCGACGGTGCCGTCGGCGGGTTCCACTGGGCCCTCCAGCAAATGCTGGGCTGGCCGGTGCTGGGCTGGCCGTTCCAGCAACGGTACTCTCGCCGGGTCGCCACGGCTGTCCTCGGCACCCCCTACGGCGACTTCAGCCTCTACGTCAACTCGGCCTTTACTCTATCCAGGCTTGCAGTGGCCAGTCTGAACGAGGACAACTACGGCAATGTGCACCGGGACGTTCCTACCATCATCCGGACCTTGACCACGGTGATCAAGAAGCTCGAGATCTTCAAGGACAACTACCCGATCCATTGGACGGATGTCCAGGGCATCCGTGAGTGCGGTCACGTGGACGAGGTGTTGAATGCCCTCAAGGAGGCTCTCGGTCGCGTCGTCGTGGCGTTTGAGAAGTACAGCACGGACCTGAGGCTCAACCGTACCGATATCCGTCTCGCCAAGGAGGCAGCAGAGAAGCCAGGCCCTGTGCCGCTCCCTCCAGCACCGAAGGCAGGGGACAGCCAGCCAGAGATGGTGCAAGTTCATTAGTGGTTGGATCTATTGATGCTGTGCACGCTACCATGGTCCGATGCAGAGTCCCGGACCTGTTCCTGCGATGGCCGCCGGATGCCACAACCGCCATTTAGAGCATCGCGATGATCCCGTCCTCAGGAGGCCACGTCCCGTCAGTGCCGAGCTGGGGAGACCTGCTTTTTTGAAGGGGATGTGGATGTGGATGTGGATGTGGACAAGCGACGCGTGCCGTTCGAGAGACGGACCGGTGGCAGGACGGAACGAGACGCGAGAGTACGTGGACATAGGCAGACGATCTGCTGTCCGGATCACCGCCCCATTTGCGCGAGATCTTCGGTCTGAGCAGGTACGGGATGAAAAGGGACTAATAATGAGCAGCCACGAAAGCATGATAGAACCACGATAGAAGTTGAAACCAAAAACATGCTTTCCAGCTGGACCCTCTGATTCACCTGTGATCTGACATTGATCTGACAGAGCACTGGATATCGAGCATCAACCATGGCCAAAGATGTGATGCCTCTCACGTTTGTCGTTCTCGTCCGAACTTGTCACGGGCATATCAGGGCACGAACCATCTCAGTCCAGTCGGGCAAGGAAGCCGCACGGACATCTCCGGCCTCCCCCGGTCTGCCGGCCCGCTGGTGTGGCCTCATGATTGGATGGGTCCGTATCCCTGCAGGGAAAAGCGGGTCCAGATGGAGCTTCCGGCAGCTAATCTAAACAATGGAATGCGAGCTCAATGATGAGGCTCAACCTTTGCCGTCTCTTCTTCACTACCTGGGCCTCCGCTCCCTGCCGTCCCATCCTTCCGCCCACTATGCTCTAGTCCTTAATGCTCCCGTGGATGCGCATGTGTTTATTTGTGAGGCATGACACCTGAGTACCGAACATGAAATCTATAATCCCACCGATAGCTAGTACGATCCTCGGCTACCACGATCCCTACATGACGTTGCGTTGCGACAGCATCTATACGCAGGACTAGCACAAGGCATCCCACCAGGCACAGGGCTCCGGGCCACGCCCGACCGGCCAGCATGTCTCACCACCGGTCCTCATTCCGGAGGGTCCTGCACTGGATCTACAACACTGTTTACGTGCTCCTGTGCCTCCTCCTCGCCGCCTTGATCCTCATCACCCCCGGTGACGCCATCCGACAGGTCTTCCTGAACACCTTCCAGTATACCAATATTGTCATCATCGCCGTCGCGTACCTAGTCACGGTCCTCATCGTGCTGTTCATCTACTCGCTCCGTCTCTACGTCACCCGCACCGTCCTGGCCGGCATCCCCAAAAGCTGGATCCCGATCGGCAAAGGCCATGTAAAGAAGGGGGTCAGGGAGATGATCGCGCGGGAGCTGGGCCACAGTGCTGCTGTCGCATGGGCAGCGAGACCCAAGGTTGGCGCCGTGCCTGCCGCAGACCAACGGGAAGCGCTCTTGGGCGTTGTCGTCGAGGAGGACTCCAACGAAGTTGGCCGGGCCCAGTCGGCTGCCAACGACGAGAAGGGCACGCGAACGTCGGGCAACTGGCTCCGGCCGAGACGTACGGCTGCAGCTACAATGGAAAGCGAGATGGGCATTGCTCTGCCGCCAACAAGCCCCGTGTGGGGTCAGATCGAACACCCCGGCTGGGGCAGCCCCAACTCCCCCGACCTTGCCAATGTTCAGTACGGCGCCGTCCTGGCCGAGTTGCCGAACTTGATCGAGGCCAAGGCCATCTCGCTTGCGCCGCCCGCCCCGGACTCCTCAGACGTCAGCCCCGTCCTGGACCCTGAGGCCGTGGCGCTTCTGCAAAGGACGACAACCATGAGCATGCGGACCTACATTGGCCGACTGATCGACCTCGGTGTCCTGGAGTCGACCCAGAATTCATTCGAGTTCCTGGACACGTATGAACGAGCCCGTTTCTCAACAAGACCCTTGCCAGCGGCAGCATTCAAGCGCCTCATGCACCTTTTTGCCGAGCTCCTTCGCTCAGCCCAACCCCTCGACCGTTCAGTTGTCGATACCATGAACGAGATGGACGGCATGTACAGCGATAGCGCCAGCCGCACGGACATTGATGACGACGCACCGCAGAACACAAGCCCTACGACGCCTGCTCAGAGCTTGCCTAGTGTGAGAAGTCTCAAAAGCGTCTCCAGCCGCGGCTCCCGTCGCGGTTCGAGCCACCAGGCCAGTCTCGCATCCAGTGAAGGATCGACGAACGCTGAACGGTTACGCTCCCCGTTGCATCGTCCAGGTATGGCTACAAGGAACTCGTCCGGGAATACACGCGGCCGATATGGTACCGCCCCGACGACCCCAAGGAGCAAGTCTGGCCGATCTGGCACGGTCCATAGCCAGAACCAGGCGACAAGGAGCCTATCCAGGGGCAGCAGCGCCAATAGCTTTGCGCAGACGAGGCAGCCGTATGTTGCTGGTAGCGGCAGCAGCGGCAACAGTCTCAGATCCGTCAGTGGTGGGAGCGTGAGCCAGGGCAGCGTCATCAGGCTTGCCAGGCATGATGATGATACAAGTTTGCCGTACGTGCTCAGACTTACGGAATCGCCCTGACGTGTGGCTGCCAAGAGATGCACTAGTCAGGGGAAGAAACTCCGATCAGGGCATCAACTTTTGATACCACCGATGGTGGAAGGAATATTCTTGAAGTCATTTTTGTTCGTTTGGTACTTGCATCGGAAAGCATTGCGCGGCGTCCTGGGTTCAGCGGTTTGTATGACAGCATGGAGTTGGGGAACTTTCTATCAGGGCAAATACATGGCCTGGTTTGCCCCCCAGAATATCAAAAGGTGAAAGGCGGAGTTTTCCGTCCAATATTTAGTGTCTTATTATCGGACAATGTAATGTGTATTGCTATTTTCCCACGGCGTGTTCCTCTGCCATAGACACCGCCATGGGCATCAGGAGTAAAGGACGATGTCCGGTGCATCATACCGGGTAGCTAGCTAGCTAGCTAGCTGGGTGTTGATTGTGGCGACTCATGATCGCGACTGTCGTTCGACCTCCCACTCTCACAATCTGGAAGTGCCCAGTTCCCGTGCGTGGCCTTCTCCCAGCATTTCGTGACTGCGTTCCTCGTGAGGCAATTCATGTACGGGCTCCTGCTGCTCTTTCGACATTCCCTCGTCCGGTACCCACTGCCCGCCAATCCATCTTCCCCCTGTCCCCACCTCGCTGTAGTCCGGGGCTGGAGAGGCGAGAGCCGACGGAGGGTGTGTCATATGTAGCTCTGTGGCTCTTGGCTTCCTACGCGCGCGCATCAGTGTCAGGGCACCTATGCCCAAGATGGCGATACCTCCAACCCCGACCCCTACACCGATCCCAGCCTTGGCGCCCGTGGACAGTCCGGTAGGATTCTGTGCCTCCGCATTCGATGCAATTGCTGTGTCGTTGACGGTCTGCAGCACCGTGGGAAGTTCCCACATGTCTCTGGACGATCGGTACACCTGCGTCATATTACCGCCGCTCACATAGTAGAGCCACACGCGCCCCGAGTTGTCGGACGCCGTCGCGAACTGCGCGTTCGGGGCATCTGCGCGTGGCCATATGCTCGGATCCTGGTTGCTCGCAGGCCGCCATCTTCCTGCAGTTCGGTGGATCTGGTGCAGCTGCGAGTCATTGCCAATGTACCATAGATTTGCGGCCGAATCCTGATCAAGCGTGAACCCCAAGGCTCCCGGGTTGCCATCGTATGCTTCCAGGGTCCATGTGTCATTCACGTTCTCATCAAGGGTAAACTCGGTCTGGTTCGTTCCATTATTTGGACAGGATAACGTCACTGTGCCATTCGCGCGATCTCTGTGGGTGACAATCGGACTCAGGGGGTGAGGAAACGTCGCTGTTATCTCGTCAGATTCCATTTCCCCCCACTATGTCTGTGAAGGCAACACAATTAGACGAGCAAGGAGGTCATACCAATGTCCCAAGTTCCGTTTCCATGTCGGGATGAGATCTCAATATTTTGTTTGTCTCGGGGTGTTACTACAGTGATGTTGTCGGCATCCACAAATCCTCCACCTATTGCGTTTCCTTCAATGTGGTCGTTGCTCACAATCCCCAGGTACGACCAGGCGCTCGTGTCTGGGTCAAACTTCAAAGCTGCCGTGGCGCGGTCTTTATCATGGTAATATAATCTGTAGCCTGCCTTCTCTCCAAGAACAACAAGCATCAAACCGGTCTGTGGATGAACGGATGGAGCACTGTTTGAAATGATCCTCTGGCCAGTCGGTCTAAAATGACCAGTATCGTCACAGGTCCAAGTCGAATGGACGACTTGGTCTTGCTGGTTTTGATACGAAATCGCCGCCTAGGCTGCAGATGAGCAGGCATTCAAACTCCTTTCAACGACAAACTTGAACACAATATAGTCTCCAGAGTACTTCTCACCTGAGTATTTGGTTCTGCCCACCATCCTACGCCCGCCACAGCTGTGCCTTTTTTGGGGGCCAAATTGGGATCAATCGCAAACGCCGCAGACTCACTATTTGGAAAGATAGGGGTGTCGCTATCATAGTTATTGCACAAGCTGTAGAATATCTTCCCAGAGATGCCGTCCTGTAAGATCAGCTGGGGTCCCTTGCCATTCGGACTCCATGCAGACATGAAGCCGGCCGACGTCAAACCAAACAAAAGGCATACGACCACGAGCAGTACTATTCCCGTTGGAAAAGCCATGTTCATCCGGATTCGGGTGCCGCTCATCGAAGGTGTCAAATTTGGGAATATGCAGTGCGGCCGTGGAGACTGATCTTGAAGGAACTACTACCAACCGAACGTGCGGAACAGCACGAACCTGCTTTAAAACAGACCACAGGAGAGATACTAGAGGAAGAGGATTCCACCCCTCTCAACGACTCGTCCCAAAGCATCACGACCTGCAGTGAAACCACACAGTACCATGAGGAGCGTCGGCATTCCGGCCAATCGATATTGTAATACAGATTTAAGAGTCGCGCAAAGAGTATTGCTGATCCCTCTTGCAAGATCCACTTATGCTGACTCTGCAGCTGATGGTGCGCACTTGTCTCAAGGAGGCGTTCTCAGTATCACGCAAGGCTCTATATGGGAACGCCAGTTTTTGCACCATGTAGTGCGTCTAGCCACAATATGGCCAGTAGAAGATTGAGTTGGAGGTTCCATCTATAGGGCAGCATATGTGTACGCTGTTCTCACGGGTTTGGGCTACTTTCCAGCCGATATCTGCTTTTCTCCCAAGTAATCTTATCAATGCTCCCATTCACCAGAATCAAGGCCGCATTCGGTCATCAGGAGCGGCGAAGCGGACATTAGGTGTTAGTGGTGGGTTGCACAGTCAGCCGCCAAGCCCGTGGGAAAGGGAGTTCCCGCTAAATTCTCATCTTCTCTACCAGGCTATGCATATTGCAGAAAACTGCGAGCAGCTCTGGTTGGACGATGATGCGCAATACTGCATGGTGACATGTATTTGCATCTGGGGATATACCAGAGCCTTGTCTCTTTTACCGCACTAGATTGACTGCACATCCTTCCCTCTATGGATTGCTCTCCAGATTCACTTGAACCACGCAGAATTCTCCCGATCGACAAAGACACATTATATTGTATGCAAGGTCTGGCCTGCTGTCTACGCGAAAATGATCGTCCCAATCATGCCATATGCACGGTACCGGCGGGTGACTAGCTCTGGGCGATCGCAAAGAATTATGGTTCCCGATTTCCGAAGGAACGCACCTCGATGATGGTTATTTTGTGTTTTGTAGACCAATACCACATAAAGACTCACGGCGGTGTGATATCGTCATTGGAAGACTATCAACTGTTATGGGTGCTGGCTGAAGTGTTCTACATACATACACTGGTACTGGCTTCTGACTCGCCCTTGGATCGGTCTCTTCCAAAGTTTGGTATACTGGTCAAGCCAACTGTTATGTGTACATGCCACAGATGAGTCCAAGTGAGTTCGCTTTGCCAATTCAAAAGTCCATCTGCAACAAGCTCAAGGTGAAGTACTCCGACAGCATGCTTATGGTCACCAATTTTTTTCTTACGTCAATAGCACCGGAGTTTGGCTGAAACTATTGGGGAGGGAAGGGGTGAGGTATTTTCGGATGCATGTTGTTCTGCACATAAACTCAGCTTGTGATATCGTTATACTTCAATCAAAGGTGGACCTGCGCCGTTTGTGCATATGTCATTATTCTGAATCATCCCCATTGTACTGCATCCGGCAGCCAGCACGGGGAGATGACAATGGTTAGCTGAGCGTATGTAAACCGAGTTCCGTTGGAATTAACCGCAGGTATAGCCTGTTCCGCCATCGAATCAGTGGTATTCACGTGGATTTATCCGAGTCTTTCCAATATCGGCCCTCGATGTCACATCACCAATTGGTACTTACCAGAGGCGATAGGAGCAGCTCAGTATTTACTGAGCACCCCCCTACAATCAATTTCAACCGCGTTAACTTCAATGCGCCATTGCTTCTTGTTAGACCCTTCTCGCAAACCGAAACAATGCAGTGGAAGCATCTGGCGCCGGCCATTTGGGCCATTGTAGACGTTGTTTCTGCACAATGCTGCGCCACTGCAGCTATGATGCGGTTTCAATGCTCCCGGCTCGTCGTTGAACGCGTCGATCCCTTGGTATCTCCGGGACTGGAGCAGTCTCCTCATATCCACCAAGTTGTCGGCGGGAACTCATTCAACGCCACCATGGCACCAGTTGACTATGATCCTTCCAAGGAGTCGACCTGCACAACCTGTGATTACAGCGAGGACTTTTCGAATTACTGGACTGCGAATTTGTATTTCAAAGCTAGGAACGGGACATATAAGAGGGTCAAACAATTGGTTAATCTTGTAAGGCTGCCTTGCTGGAAGCCGGCTGCTCGGTTTATTGGTACCTCTTCTGACTGTTTATTCAATTCAGGGCTTGAAGGGTGAAGAAGGAATCACCGTCTACTACATACCCCCCTACGACGGCAAGACCAAGGTCAAAGCATTCCCTCCAGTAAGTGGGGTCATGAGAAGGACGTGGCTTTGGTACTGAATGCAGAAAGGGATTTCGCATGCTCGTGGGGGACTCTATGCTTCGAAAGTCCCAGGGTCAGCAAAAGCAACTCTGTCACCGTTGCTATACCAATCTCAACCAGGACCCCTTTGGAGGGGCTCCATGCGCCGACGGCAGTGGGATGGTGAGTCAACGATAGAGAGTGGTCCATCGCATCACCTAGCTGAAACCTCATTCTCTGTATCCCATTGGAACAAAATGGTATAAGCTTTGCCGCTCGCTGATATTTCAACTCGGTATCTAGGACACAGCCGCGCTGCCTTCCAAGGCATGTGATGGAGGGATCCGTGCCACCATAACCTTCCCTACGTAAGTCGTTACACAACCTTCAATGGTATTAGGTCGAGATTCATAGTCGAGGACACATACTAACGAATAACCAACATAGTTGCTGGGACGGCAAGAACCTGGATAGCCCGGACCACAAGAGCCACGTAGCCTACCCATCGAGTGGTAGCTTCGAGTCGGGAGGGCCATGTCCATCAACTCACCCTGTAAAGCTCCCACAAGTGATGTACGAGGTCATGTGGGATACTCGAGAGTTTAACGACAAGTCGCTGTGGCCAGAAGATGGGTCTCAGCCGTTTGTGTACAGTATGGGAGACGCAACAGGCTATGGGTGGCATGGCGATTATCTGTTCGGGTGGAAGGGCGATGCCCTCCAACGGGCGCTAGACGCACGATGCACAGGAAATGCCTGCAAAACATTGAAAACTCAAACTTCAGATGTCTCGACAGCTTGCAAGAAGCAGCAGAACATCAAGGAGGACGTGGATGGCTGTAAGTTGTCCCTATCGCTTCCTATCAATGAGGCATCAGCTAACGTCCCACAGGGTTCAAAACCTTGCCGAGCACCGTCAAGTAAGATAGCTCAGTGGCTTCAAATTGCCCAAGAGTCATTGTCATTTGGTATGCTAGGCAGCGAGAAACCCATGCATGCAAATGAGGAACAGAGCAAATTGATCTCCACAGCGTCCTCATGCTGAACCGCTTGATACGGTACCAATCACACTCGGGATAGGGTTCATCCATGACAGTCACGAGAAAATTTCATACACTTGCATCAGTCATGTTATTGTGCCCACACATGGCCTAAGGCTCGGTTGTTCCCCGACTCTGCCCCGAGTCCTGAAAGAAGCACCTCGCATGCTCACGTATATCACAGCAGCAAGGGTGATGCCGGTCTGAAGTTTATGAACCTATTTGGTGTATCCTGTCGTCTTCCCCCAAAGCAGAGATCCCACAGGTTTGAGTAGTGCAAAAACCGTCTTCGTCACCGGCTTCTAGGGAATGTCTCCGAATTCCGAATACAGAACCACATCCCGCCCCGCACCCCCCTGTCTGGTCATCTCATCTATCTCAGGCCGCCCGGTGGATCCTAGCGGCTAAGCATAGTGTCTGACCCAGCGCGTTGGACAGATCTAGACTGTATTTGGGGTTAGTGTCATCTCTCTTCGCTAGTCGCCGGATAACCGAGCCCTTCGTCCACCGCTAAACCATCCCATGCCCATTGGACATTCTAGGTTCCAAGAGCCTCTTCCTGACCGTGGATCGTCATCTTGACCAGGGGTTCGCGAATCATGATAACCCCAAGGAGTCTTGACGTTTCTGCTTTTATGCCATGACCTGGTCCAATTGGTGGAATGCAAGTGACCCTGGTCGCTACCGTGAGCCGCACCGCTAGGCCCGCATGATCCTGGGCGCGACTCTTCATCTCATCTTTCCATTCAACGCTCAAAAGCCCACTCAGCTGAAACCCTCCCAGCAGACAACTCAAGATGGAACTGTGCCCCACGCAATCTATTGCGGGGTATCGCCAAGGGGAAGGGCTTTGGGTATATGAAAATAGTCAGGGGCCATCATCTTCCACATGGATGCAAACCCCGGTTAGGTGGGGCCTCGCCTCTGTTGACTTGTTCTGAGTAGGTGTGTAAGTTGGTCAGCCTGTGGGTTCAGAGCCTCATGAATCCACCAGCAGCCGGAGAAGGAGGGTTATAAGAGGGCTGGCCGTCTTCGTCGAGAGTCTCGTCTCCTTCGTCATCAGACAACTCATCTGTCCTGCTTCCGTTCTTTTCAGACACTCATTCGTGCTTCTACATTCGCTACCTGCATTGACTGCAGCCGATCTTTTCATTCTTTCACGCAAGTCGACTCTATCGAACCGTTTCCAAACTTTTGAGCTTCTACTTGCCTTCCAACTTGACTTCAGTCACTCAGTTCAAGATGCCTTCCAAGTCACCCGTTTTCCTGGCCCTCGCCGCCGGCGCAAGCCTCGTCTCCGCCCACGGATTCGTCTCGCAGGTCACTGTTGACGGTAAGGTCTTCCAGGGCTATCCGGCTAGCTCCGCGCCGTATGAGAACCCAGCCGTCGACCGCATCGCCTGGTCCGAGACCGCCACGGACAACGGTTTCGTTGCCCCTGATGCATTCGCCTCTGGCGACATCATCTGCCACCGAGGTGCCAAGAACGCTGCCCTGACTGCCAACATTGCTGCCGGAGGTTCGATCGATATCCAGTGGAACACCTGGCCCGAATCCCACAAGGGTCCCGTCATCAACTACCTGGCCGACTGCGGTGGCGATTGCTCTACCGTCGATAAGAGCACACTGCAGTTCTTCAAGATTGCAGAGAGCGGTCTGATTGACGGCTCGGCCTCCCCTGGAACCTGGGCTAGCGACGAGCTGATCGCCAACAACCTGACCCAAACCGTCACCATCCCTTCCTCACTAAAGGCCGGCAACTACGTGCTCCGCCACGAGATCATTGCTCTCCACTCTGGCAACCAGGCCAATGGCGCTCAGAACTACCCTCAGTGCTTCAACCTGGAGGTCACTGGCTCCGGCAGCGAGCTGCCCAGCGGAACTCTTGGAACCGCTCTCTGTAAGTAGATTTCTGCATGTATCAGATTTGGCTTCTGCTCAATCACGGATAACTCGGTTTCATTCACTCAATACTGTACCTGGCATGATGGCTAACCTGTAATCTAATAGACAAGGCGGATGATGCCGGTATTCTGTTCAACATCTACCAGACCCTGACCAGCTATAGTAAGTATCATGGCTGCATCCGGACAGTCTTCATCCACCATACTGACGCTTTGATGTAGCGATTCCCGGCCCTGCTCTGGCATTCGCTGGCTCTGGCTCCGGTTCTGGCTCCGGTTCGGCTGCCACCACCGCTGTTACCGCTGCCAGCTCGACCACGGTTGCAGCCGCGTCTACTTCTGCCGCCGCAACTTCAGCTGCTGCCACCACTACCGCTGCTGCCACCACGAGCAAGGCCGCTACAACTTCGACCGTTAGCAGCCCGTCTGCGAGCAAGACTCCCTGCAAGAAGCGACGCAGCCACGCTCGTGACGTCAAGAAGAACTAAGGGTTACGCAATGGACGCGAGTAAGCCAAGGTCATGATCGTGATGGCTGGAGTTAAACCATTTCAACAATTTCAATTCTTGTATACAACTCTTTTGGCGGATGAAGCACGACCCTCGGCTTCAAGCTTTCAAAATACCAAGCTTGGGGACATTCCATGATGTATGAGTAGCTAGACAGCATGAATTCACTGTAAATACTTTCACATGTTGCCCCTCTCCGTCGGGAATCCGTACAGCTCCCCAAAACATGTAAAATGCTGTCTATACCCTTTATGCATAGTGCCGCAGGCCTCAACTCTTAGCAGTACTTGCACCAATAATTTGGTACATTGACGTAGCCATACCGAAACTATCCTACCACAACATCGTCAGTGCCTCATTGAGAAAGTGTATAGCCGTGGGCAGGCGTAATTGGTAACTGCGATGGGTTGATTTTCACACTATAAGGGTGGCATTTGTTCAGGTGGTAGTGGTGAGTAAACAAGATAGCTGGGTTCTCGAACCACCACTCAGCCGACAAATCCAGCGGAATACAAAACCATGGCAAGTTGCTGATGTACCGAAATTCTAGTACAAGTAGCACCTAGGATTGAGGCTGCTGGCGCTATTTTCAAAGGGTATAGTAACACAATTTTACGATATGATTGGGAGTTGTACGAATTCCCGTCACCGTCGTGGCAGGACTTATGACTACCACATACCTTGTTCTTGCACTTTGCTTGATCATCTACCTTGGTACTTAGCACCTAGGATAGAAGATTGTGCAGTGAATCACTGCTGGAGATCAGAATCTAGTTGCGGGTTATACCAAGAGTGATGCATCTTAGGTCCGACGTCAAAGTTCGTGTCAGCCCACAAGCCGCCTTGAAGGTGACGGGTAATATAGTACCAATGCATGATGGAGACGGTGCGGAGTATAGACATGCCTCCTGCGGAAACTAGTTCTTCTGGCTAAAATCGGACTAAGCACCAGACGGTGTGTCTGTGCCACTGCTAGTAGCCTCTGGTTTTTCGGAAGACCTGAGGCCCTTGTATACCGCCTTTAACTGTTTCCAACCATCTATGATCGGGAAGAACCCGGCGACAAACATAGTGCCCCAGACCCATACGATGGAGAGAATGATCCATGCTTCAAAGAAGCCTTGTCCGAAGATGTAACCGGAACCGTACATAGGTAATGGCCTAAGGTGGTCGTTAGCACAGATCTGTAGCTGCAGTATCGTACGAGGTCTTACCAGAGCACCCAATGGCCGATAAAAGTGGCTAACGCCCAAGCCCCCGCAATGGTTCCCCAATGCTTCAACCTGATCTTGTCTTCCTGATATGTCGACGCCAGCTCTGTGTGGGAGGCGAACTTCTCACTAGCTGTAGTAGTCGCCGGCTGGTCGAATGCCAACCGCTCGCTGCGGAACTCCTCCCATTTATAGTTGGAAGGATTGAACAAAGTAATTACCACCGAGTACAGACCAGGACTCAGTGCAGACGCAGTCGTACCATAGACGCATGGCAGGGTCTGTCCGGTCGACGCCACAGAGACCTCACCATAGAGTGCGTGGGCCGATCCTATCCACACCGCAATCCCGGTAGCCATACCAAGCAAGGGTGACACCACAGCTGCAGCTTTTGACTGCCTTTTCCATAGTATCGTGAAGACGGTCGGGAAGATTCCTGGGCAGGTGAGGACCCCCAGCATGTAGAGCGTCCATCCGAGGTCCACCTTGCCATAGTATAGCGCTGTCGAGAAAGCTGCGGAGAACAGCCCAAAGATAACCACACCGATGTGACTCCAACGGATGACGTCCCGGTCAGTAGCTTCTCTGTTGAAGTACTGGCGGTAAATATCAAAAGTTATTATAGACGACACAGCAATGACCTGCGCTGATATGGTCGAAGTTACCGCCATGAAGATAATCAGAAGTACAGCAGCTGCGCCGCCTCTGCCAGCGATTGCCACAGCGGCGTATGGCAGCACGAGACCATTAGAGACCTCGGTAGTCGACATACGACTAGGAAAAGTAGGAAACCGAGCTGTCCCCTCAAGACCGAGGGCGGCGAAACTCATTAGAGTGCCAAGGCACCACGGAATGGCAAAGTACGCAATGCCACCAACGATATATCCGGGCACCACGGCTTCAGGGGCGGCACTGAATGCTTTGGCAAAGAATCCGGTATCCATGATGACCAGCCCAAAGTTGGCAAGCACATGAATGATTCCGAATAGGATGGCCTGTCGTGTTAGTGTTCAGCCGCCGCGACAGGAGGGCGCGAGCTCACATTCTTGCTGGTCATAGTGAGATAAGACCCATCTTGATTACCGGCCACCGGATATGTCCGCCCAGCCTCAACGATGAGTTCATACAAACCTGCCGGAGAGCCGATCTCTGGCACAAGAAAGGTTTGAATCGTGAAGAAGCAGATAATGATTGTAATGACAAAAGTATGAAAATAATCTGTCAGGAACGTTGCTTTGATGCCTCCTACGAACGTGTAGAGGATAACGCCGACCGGAAGCAGGAAAGTTGCCGCAATTACATGCATGCCGGTCCTATTCAGTGGTTAATAGCAGTGGTGGATGCAAACTCGGGCACTCATGGACTCACAAGGCACTTATTGCAGCGCTTGCTCCGAGTAACATATTGGCGACCGCAATTATGTTGTTGATCAGACAAAGGGCAATCCACACAATGTGCCCGACTTTGCCATACCGTATCCTTACAATCTCGAGCAAAGTGTGCGCCTCTGGTATGCGCATCTTACAGGCAATTCCGAGGACGGCAAAAAAGACAATCATGGGCGAGCAACTGATATGACTGTGTTAGCGTGGCTTTTGACCAGCCGGCAATGGATACATACCCAGCAGCAAACCAGAATGGGCCAGCTACACCGAAATTGTAACCCACCAGAGTGCTCCCCAGCATCGCCGTACTCCACAGCCAGGAAGAAATCACTGCCGACGAGGTTAAGCCTGTTCCAACGCTGCGATTTGCGGTCATGAACATCTCGGTAGTTTTGTTATCTTCTCCAACGGTCCTCTTGAGGATGTATGTCACAAACACCATGACGAACGCGATCAAGAAGCCTATTCCCACGACAACGGCATAGCCAACCGCCTGGGGCAGAGGAGGCTCGACGGAGCCTCCGTCTCGTCTCTCAAGGGGCAACATTGCTGAGAGCGACTACACTGGAGTCCACGTAGACATGTAACCGCGAGCGTGAACTTGTGTCACCGGTCTGATGTGGACCACGGTTTATATCCCCATAGAACGTTCTAAACTCGCGTAAGCAATCTCGGTTGCCGGTGTGTCTTCCAGCCACAACCAACTACCGATGACATTTTCTTAGCTCCCATGATGCAACTGCACTAACATCGCCGATATCCGGACCGCGATATTCTTCTTGGGAACACCACGTGGGTTCTTAACTTATCGTGGCCAGCTGTTGATATCGTTCAAAGGCGAGGGAATTGATTGGTCATTGTCAAGAAAGCACGCGATCTGATGTGCATCCTGCGTGCTCAAAAAGTGGATCTCGACTAGCGACTATCACCACCCTGCCAATCACTGGTATCCCTTACCACCATACATTCTAGATCACTTCAACACTGCCTGGCGAAACTCTAATGATTGCGTCACTAATAGAAAATCTACTTGGCCAATGCTTGCTGCGAAGAATGTGGGAACTATAAGTCGACTGCCGGTATGAAAGAAAGCACGTGCAGCCCCATCCAGCGCATGGTCTTATAACACATGTCAACATTTTGCATCTAAAACCTTGGATGAAACGCTATACAATGTCGAACGCAGAAGCTGGAAAGGCGGTTTCGCCGAAGAAACTAATAATCAATGCCTTTGTTGAGTCCTGCAGTGGGCATCAATCTCCAGGATTATGGCGACATCCAGACGACCGCTCATGGGACTTTAACAACATTCACCACTGGGTGGAGCTGGCTAAACTACTAGAGAAGGGGAAATTCCATGGCATGTTCATTGCCGATGTACTGGTATGTATGCCTCAATTTTCCCTCTTGGACCAAGTGGAATCATCCTTGGCTGCGTGCCAGCCTAAGCTGACAATATGGATTGTAGGGTGCGTATGATGTCTACAAGGGTCCTCAAAACCCAGATCCGGCCATAGTATCAGGCGCTCAGTGGCCAGTGAATGAACCACTGGCCGTAGTCCCTGCAATGGCAGCTGCGACAAAGAGTCTCGGATTTGGTGTGACCGTAGCCACTACGTACGAGCAACCGTACCACCTTGCTCGCAGGCTGAGCACTGTAGATCATCTCACCGCCGGAAGAGTAGGCTGGAACATTGTTACTGGATATCTGGATTCGGCTGCCAGGAACCTCGGTCACAACGAACAGCCAGTACATGACAAGCGGTACGAAATTGCTGAAGAATATGTCGAGGTCATGTACAAATTATGGTACGTCTATACCTGAAACCACCGATACGGCCCACCACTAACATATGTATAGGCAGTCATCTTGGAGGGATGACGCGGTAAAATTGGATCGCGTGAAGGGTACCTATACCGATCCCTCGCTGGTTCGTCAGATCAACCATGTCGGACAGTACTATACCGTCCCAGGACCCCACATCTGTCAGCCTTCTCCTCAGCGTACACCAGTCATCATGCAAGCGGGAACGTCAAAGGCCGGGAAGACATTTGCCGCAAGAAATGCCGAGGCGATTTTCGTAGCTGGGCACAGCCCCGCTGTAGTTGCGAAGAACATTGCTGAGATTCGCCAGATGGCTAGGGACGATTACAACCGTGATCCAAGCTCGATCAAGTTCTTGGCAATGCTGTGCCCCATCATCGGAAAGACACAGGATGAAGCCCAGGCCAAGTATGATGATTTCATTCAGTACGGGTCGGAAGACGGTGCACTCGCCCTCTTTGGTGGCTGGACTGGAATCGACCTTGCAAAATATGGCGACGACGAAGAACTCCGACACGTCGAGTCGAATGCCATCCGGTCAGCAGTGGAGGGCTGGTCAAAGTCCAGTCCAGGAGTGCCTAAATGGACCAAGCACACAGTTGCGAATCACATCAAGATTGGAGGTTTGGGCGCCACGGTTGTCGGAACTCCTGAACACGTTGCGAACGAGATGGAGAGATGGGTGTCGGAAGCAGACGTCGACGGATTCAACCTGGCGTATGCTCTCATGCCTGCGTCTTTTGAAGACGTCATTGAGTTTTTACTCCCAGTACTCAAGCAGAGGGGACTGTTTTGGGAAGATTATGCCGTTGAGGGCGGTACATACCGTGAGAATATATATGGGAAGAAGGGCGTGAGCAGGCCCCCGGCAGATCACCCGGCATCTCAGTATCATTGGAAAGCGGAGTAGGCTAGTTTGATGCGCTATGAATCTCAATATTGGTCTTTGACCTATGTCATCAGCGATAATAGGAACTCGTGAAAGATCTTTTGACGGAAATAGAGCTTAGCCCTATAAAAGCCTTTCGCTAGTGTACCCAACCCACTGACATCCAGGATAGCCGTTGCGTGTTCTCGTGATGGGCTGAATTTTTTCGATATCATTTCCACTTCGACTTCTGATATTAACGTATCGTAAGCATGGCTTAGCAGGCTATATACACCCATAAGGTCACGAGAAGCAGTCGGCCGATCTAGTAACTATTGTAATCCCGGTGTGAGCTGGTTTTGCAACATTCATCTCTATGTTTAATCATCTCCTTTGATTATTGTCTTCCGACTGCCGTTGCAGACTGGCCAGCAAGAACGAAAAATGTCTTGATGCCTCAGCCGGGCTGTAATTCATAATAATTGGTACTATCAGATAGTACTCTGTGCATGATAGAGTTTGAGCCCAGCTAAACACCACCAACCAGGAGTATCACAAAAGCTATCATCGTGAACATTTCCCTTTTTTATGTCAAGAAGCAGTCTATCACACATCTTATCGATGCCTGTGGCTTTCTTCATATGGCTGGGAGTAACCACCACTTCGCTAGGCCAGAGTGCCAAGAAGACACGTTCAAGTCCTATGGCTTGGAAGATCTTGGGTCCTCAGGTTGCCATTATGACAGTCGTGGTCAGTATCTTCGCTATTGGCCTCCCGAACATGTTGGTCCAGTAATGGCAGCGGGTTTTCATTCGACAGTGATATTTGGCTTCGGGACGGTTTCTTGGGCATTATTTCCTGCCTGTAAAAAGACATTATCCGAGGCTCGTAGACGGCTATCTACCTGTGACACGTGATATGGGCCTAGTAATAAGCATGGTATATATACTGCTACAAGACCTAAACCTTCAAGTATTACCAGATCTCGTGAATTGAGCCTTCATCAGTCATGAAACGACCAGACGGGACGATGAGTTGGTATACTACCACTGGCACATCTGTCCAGTGATTGTACTCATGGCTTTGGCCTGTACACATTGTCGTCTGGGCGCGTTACGACGACCGCAAGAAAGGAAAACCTGACTTCAAATACTTGATAATTACAAATCTGACTCGTTATAACATGTCATCAAGTAGCAGCTCAAGGGACCGAGACGTGGTTCACGATGCACTTCCTTCGCCGCCAGGGGAAGTGTGTCATCCGCTCCGACCGCATGAACCTCTACGCGTACTGGCGAGACGCGATGACGAGTGGCGTCCCCAACGCCGAGAAATGGATCGCCCCCTGGACCCGCGAGACGGCTTTGTTCCTGCTCAACGACAAAGTCCGCCGCGACGCGCTCCGCGCCTGGAACTACAGCGCGAAGCCGTACCAAGGTGTGCACCTCGACCACCGTGCCACCATCGACAAGGTCAAAGCCGACCAGAGCCTGGACTCGAGATGGGCCTCGTGGAAGGCCACCACCGCCGCCTTCCGGGCCAACCAGATCGCCAAGGGCACCGCCGCTGCCGCCCTCGACGAAGAGATGGTCAACATAAAGGTCGAGACCGGCCTCGAAGGATCGTCCGGCTAGGCGGACATTCAAGAAAAAAATCAGCATCTCGAGCTCTATGGGCTAAATAGTCAATAATGCATGTTGCACCAACCACTTTAGATTTTGTGTACTCATCGTAGCGGTGTGAAATGTGACCCTTTGTGATATGTTCTTCGCCAGATACTCAACCCTCGAAGTCAAGTTCTGGTGGCCTAGAGGTGCCGTGAAATAGCATCGTCAGATACCATAACTACTGGAGAGCTATTCCGCCGTAGCCTGTGGTATGCCTTTGTGATCCATCGCATTCCACTGCGCGGAGTTAGGCCTCTCGATCTGAGCGTCGTTACGCCCGTCATGTATACACACGTGCGGCGGGGACAAGGGTGGTCATGGTACACGTTGAAAGTCATGATGGAAACAGGGGAAAGCTACAAAGCTGTGCAGTTATTCATCCTTCGCCAGTACTGGATATAGAGGGATCGTCATTCTACATGGCGGTCGCTATCGAATCACATCTACTGGCAAGCCCTATGGGTCCTTCCAATCGTTCAGTTGTGACACTTGATCGCGGGACATGGGGGACATTCAGGAGAAGCATCACAGATGGAATAGGTGACATGGATAGAAAGGAATGGTGTGTCACGTCTGGTCGAATGCCAGAGATGAAAATTGAATGCCTTCTGACTCCAGTACTTGAAGCTCAACCTTCGGTAAATTTGTGAAAGCCCATTTTGGCCCTTTCGTCTCTGCCTCCGCCTCCTTTCTCTCCTCAGCATCGCGGATCGATATCGAGTTAAGCCAACGCTTCACGTCCACGCCATCAACCACGCACCTTAATGATGGAGGTTGCGGTATCCTCCGGAATCATGTTACGGAAGATGATAAGCATCTTCTCTAGTCCCATGGTGTTGGGAAACGTGCCGAAATGAACCAGCGGCGGAACGGCGTGTACTTGGTGGCGTTGTCTAGTACAGCATATGAAAACAGGGCTGTATTCAAAATATTTGTTTGTCGATTGGCAATAAAGTCCGCGCAGTTGGAAGTCCGATTACGCCTGTATTACCACAGCCTTTAAGTGGTCCTGGCAGACGTGACTTGGACAATAGCCATTTCTATGCCGCCGAATTGCTTCAGACAAAGTAATGGTGTCGGTAGAAGGATTGATAAGGGCTCTATGGTTACTATCGAGCCAAATGACCGGTTTTGAGAGACTCACAGCACTGGATGCTTTTGAATGTGTCAAAAGTGTAGCTGTGGTTATATCCCATCTGTTGATGGGGGGGTTCCTTTCAAAAGTATGTCACAGATCTCAATTGACCATCTCACTGGCAAAATAGTTTGGTGACGCCTGGTATGAGATGTGACAGACTGGCCAGAAACATGCGGCATTAGGACACCGCGTACCACAACACTACGTTACTCTACATATATGTACCCGTTGATAGGAGTGAAGTTTGAAACCAGCCGCAGGAGCCCATCGAAAAGTGAACATGAAGCAACTTCCTGGCTCTCATTGGTGGGGCACTGGCTGAGCAACGGGTGAGCTGTGTAAAATCTTTCAGGGGCGGATTCTGCCTTTGTGGATTTTCGTTTGTCCCCTCCACCAGCGTCGAGCAGAGCTTGATATTGATGCCAGTCCGATATTCTGTCAGCACACCATCGATCCCGCATCCCGAAGCCATCGCAGAGCACCAAATACTATCCGAATATGGCGCCGTCCGTCTCAACAACCAGCGACTCGCAGTCGCATCCCTCGGAGAAGGCTGAGGTCACTCCCGAGCTGCGCATGCAGCGTCTTCATAACTGCTGGCCCATGTTCCAGGACGACGATCCAAACATCCAAGGCTACAGCGCCCTGCTGGTCGTAGCCAGAACTATATACAGCTATCTTCCAGATGCGCTGTGGCCCCCCTATGGCAACGAATCGCTGCAGATGCTGCAGGTCGCACGCAAGATGATCCACGAGAGGAACTGGGCGTCCGTGTCCGTCTCGAAGAAGACCGCCATTCACGAACTGGTGGATGCGCCGGGTGATCAGCCCGAGAAAATCACGTTTCTTGCTCTGATGAATAACGAACATATGATCAACAGGTTCTGGTCCCGCCAGGATTTTCTTCTATACCAACCACTCATCCTGTTCATGAGGCCGGGCGGCAATAAATGGGAGAAGGCCACGCCTTCCGAACCCCGTATAGTAGCCAAGCACTCCCTCGTCGAGTGGGATGGCTCGACTCCGCTGTCAGATCACATCAGTAACCTCTTTGGCTACTTCAGACACGAGGACGGCTCCGCAACGATACGGTTGTCGGCGATGCCGTTCCTCGTCCGAGTGCTCTTTACGCCGCAGCAGCGCCGGGGCACACCGCCCGACTTTCGTAGTGTACAAAGATTCACTATCCGCTCCAGGAAATGGGCCAGAACCGAAAGCGGCCGACCCGAACTGCAGCTGAACACCAGCGAGTACGTGTTGAAGGCTGCAGTCAAGACGAGATCGACCCCAGCTGGGGCCGACTTTGTGCGGATATACGGCGCCAAGGGTGAGAACATCCTGCCGCCCCCCGACGCCGAGCCGATTGTCGAGAATACCTGGCGCATAGGCCAAGAGGGAACCTTTGCCCTGTTCTATATCAAGACTAGCGATAGACGACCGGTAGCCCAGACGCGTGAGTGTGCCGCCGAGACGGCCGACGCCACGCTGTTCCGCATGGCAGCGCGAGACAAGCTGTCGACGAGCAGCAACGACTGCACCAGCAAGAGCCTCGAGAGTATACACCAGATCGAGCCCGCCCAGCCGCCCGTCGGCAATCCTGTCGTACGTGAGCCGAGCTCCCCTGAGCCCACGACCGACGCCGTCGAAACGGCGGACCACCCGTCGCTTTTCGCTCCGAGCACTTGCGCCTTCCCAGCTGCATACCCTGGGTCCCAGGATTCCGGTGCCTTTTCTGGGCTGCCAGTTTCAGTCGAGGATTGGGACGAGACACAGCGTGCGCCAGGTTCGGCCAGTCTTGGTGCTGTTGGGCTCGCCGATCGCACATTCGACAGCGTCCCGGAACTCTCGACTACCATCGCCGGGATGGATAGCTTATTCAACATAAACGCTACATCTATGTCTCAGAACGAGATCTTTGAGGCCGAATGGGAACGCAGCCGCTCAGCTTCCCCCGAGCTTGACTCGATAGCCATGATCCCAAAGATCAAGCCAAGTAGGGCGGTGGGTCCGGAGGGCAGATACGAGACTGCTACCCCGGCCGAGACGCGAGGACGTCAGGGACCCGATATCAGCGATTCTAGAAACCATAGGTCGCCGAGACCCAGCCGACAGCCATCTCCCGACCACGAGAGGCGCCGGATCGAAGACGCCGAGAGACGAGCCGCGCGCGCAGCCCAGGAGGCGTACGCGAAGGTGATGAGAGATGCCGGGGTATCCGAACCTCGGTGGCGCCAGAGCTATCACGGACGCAGTCCGTCCCCAAGCCGCTGCAGACCGCCGACCCGAGAGCACATGGGACCGCGTTCTCCGGCCGGCTTCGATCGCAGTCGTCGTCCCACGGGACCTGTGGATTATGATGAGAGGCAACTGAGCTATGGCGGTGAGTCTTATAACGATCGTCGTGCTGATGCTGCCTCAAGACCCTCAGGGGGCTGGAATCGAGGCCCCGGACGCCAGAGGTTTTCGAATTTCGACCAACCTCGCCGACACGACGTATACAGGCCGAGTAGCAGCTCCGGCTACGCGCGGTCGCCCGACTTCAACTCGCGACGTCAGTCTCGCCAGGACTTCTCAAGACACCGAAGCCGTTCACCCCGCCGGCGTGGCCACAGTCCGAATGATCGCAGCCGGTCACCCCCCTAATCGGCGGGATCGTAGCCGGTCGACATATTGTAGCCGGTCACCACCAAGCCGCCGTGGGCGTAGCCGGTCAAGACAACGAGACAGATCGCCTCGAGAGAGATCGCCTCGAGACAAACAAGTATAAAAGAATGACTAAGTATAATATACAGACAACTAAACAACCTTGCTACCTAATTCTGATGATGATGATGATGATGATGATGATGATGATGATGATGATGATGATGATGATGATGATGATGATGATGATGATGATGATTCCTCCATATAATTGTGCATGTCTACCTTTGCTCTCTCTCAAATCTGACAGCTGCTGTGTCCTGTGAATCTCTTACCGAGAAAATAGTGGCTGTGCATATAAAGACACTAGCCGCAAGGTCGTTCATTGCTACCGATGTCTGAAACTCATTTCTTACCATCATAAAACGATGAAAGAAGGCTTATTGCGGCTCCCGCTCTGAGATGCCGGAGAGAAAGGGCACCAACAGACATCATAGGTACGTCTCATGCATGAGTGGTGTACGTTCTTGTGTGTCTCGTATCACATCGCAATACAAGCCAGCAACTATATAGTTGCGACGAGACCATGGCATACGTATTGATCTTTATCCAGCTTCATACAGCGTGTACGGAAGGAACTGCCGGTGATGCTGTATTACTCTGTACTGGTACTGCTCTGCAATGCCTCACGGAGGATGCCATAGCAAGTTTAATGGCCATCCATGTGTAATGTGAAGCATCAGCTGATCGTCAGGCGAGGGACGACGCCGAGGTTCTATAATGCAGACACCGGATATGCCCGCCCAATCCCACTTTCATGTCTGCTCAGAAAGGAGACTCATGCGGCTCAACAACGATGACGAGACTTTCTGTATTGCTCGTTCCATATAGACCCATTCCAGTTCCCATAGATATGACCCAGACAGTCGGCGCTGCTGAGTATCGTCAATGCTGCCGGCAATTGATGTCTTTCTGCTTACTTGCGACATTGCCGGGCTTCATCTCTACAAGCAGTTGTATCTCATCCTGTATTAATGACTCCAGCTCTGTATGTCGGCTTGAGAGCGCGAATCACTGAATACTCTCTAGCAATCATACCGTCTCGCACAACTGCTGCCTACTATACTTGGCCGTCCGCGAGATATTGAAAGGCTTGCTGCTGATACACTCACTCGCCTATTTCAAGCATGTCGTATCTCAGGTGGCGCGCTGCGATTCGCTGGTTATGTGTCGAGGTACTGCTGTAACTGTTGAGGCCTTTCTCGGACACATCGGTGTGGTCTAGATAGGAGCAGATGGAGAATAAACCAATCTTCAGGAAACTCGAAAATGGAATCACTATACCGCGAATATTGCTGGCCGGGCTAGAGGTAACTGGCTTGCTGGCACATCCATCCGCCGTGCGCCCAAGATCACCGCACATATACATTCGGGAGCATTGTCTCTAGCATCATGATTGATCCCTCAACTGGAATCAAAGGTGCGATTCCTAGCCACGGCGTCGCAGCTGTCTCACTGGTCAGAGCTGATCTATACAATCAGACGGGAATAAAACAACCTTGAAAGACATTACTGGCTTTTCATCGCGCTCACAGGCGTATGATCGGAGTGACACGGCGAGAACCAACTGTGCAGTCCTCGTTTCGATCGCACCAGTGGTAACACAACTACAGGGCCACGGCATGACTGTATTCGCGCCAGGTACGGTTCCATTCAGTTACCGCTGCGACCGCAAGCTGTATCGCAAGCACTAAGGGCCAGCCGCAACTTGGTAATGATGCTTCGCGTTTGGCCACGCAGCGCAAGGTGAATAGCGAGTTGCGCCCTGGGTGTAGGGGGCTAGGTACGTTTTTGAGACTACTTCTAGTGGGCTAGGTACGTTTTTGAGAGTTGGTTTAGCGGGTTAGGTACGTTTTTGAGAGTTGGTGTAGTGGACTAGGTACGTTTTTGAGACCACCTCCAATCTCCCCTCTAGCTCGCCGCCTCCAGTGCCCTCTAGTGGGCTAGGTACGTTTTTGAGAGTTCCCCGTAGTGAGCTAGGTACGTTTTTGAGTCTCAAAAACGTACCTAGCCCACTGCAGATCGGACTCGATTGATACCAACTACACTACGCCAGTGAGAGGGCGCGCAGTGCAGCACTGCATTTTACGATAAGTCAATTCGATCACGCAAGGTGGATTGATTGATTTCATTTGTATCCGACTTTCGTAGAAGACGCAGGTTGTTCTCGTCCTTGGTGGATAGTTTGCTCTACCAAACTACAGCGCGACACTCAGAGGGCGCGCAACGCTGCACTGCACGTTGCACCAAGTGAATTGTTATATACCAACAACTCGATTGAATCATACGCAGTGGATTGAAGTGATTTGCATTCGACTTCCTAGAAGATGCAGGCTGTCCTCGTGTGCTTGGTAGATGGTTTCTCCTACCGAACTGCAGCACGACAAATGCGCGCCCAGACGTATCCATTGGACGGTCCTGGTACAGTTCTCTGCCGACACAACGGTCGCAAGGCTTCGAGACTTCAGGCGCATACAGGCCGTGACTTACATAAATGATATATATAGAGGCATCACGACACACTCCGTGTCCAGTGCCGTCGGAAGTGCGTATAGGTGAATAAGAGGAGTTTGCCTGAGTTGGGGCACTTGGTTTAGGGCACGGGAACTTCAGTGTGCTAGGTACGTTTTTGAGAGTTGAGTTAGTGGGCTAGGTACGTTTTTGAGACCAACCCCAGATCCCCCTCTAGCGCTCCCTCCAGCGTCCGCCAGTGGGCTAGGTACGTTTTTGAGAATTGAGATGCGGTCTCAAAAACGTACCTAGCCCACTACCAGCCGCCAAATGCGCTGAACTTCACAGCGACTGTACCAATTGGTGACACCCAACGACACTTGAATGTGTTCAGTGACCAAGTCGATACTCTGACTTCTCGCAGGGTGCTCCACGTTCCAACGTTTTGACTGAAGAAGTCGTAAGCTGAAATTGCGGATGGTATGAACTGGCTTGTAGTCCGAGGTTCTCGACAAGTCATGGCGGTCCGACGATGCGGTTGTTGATACATACTCGGCTGTGATCAAGCTTAGCGTCTAACATGTGGGTGAAGCTGAGTTGGCTTGAATCTCGGCCATATGGATTTATTCGCGCCTTGGGGAACTTTGAGCATTCACCATCAGGGGATGTTGTCCATGGGAAACTGCATCGCACTTCATCTTTCAATAGACGGAGACGCAGTGTGAGGCTACTATCAGAAGTTCTACTTGAATACTACAATGAATCTCAGCGCGGTTGATGCCGTGGCGGACATCGATCCGAATGCGGAATCAACCTGATAGACCCCGTCTATCATAACTCTAGTCGATTATTGTCGGTTGAAATCCGCCCGGAACCTGTTACAGCCGAGTAGTGGCTTATGGAATCCACCCACTCCTGGAACCTGGTGACATGTGCTTGCTATGTAAGTATCGCTGAATTGATTTCTAAATGAAATGGATGACTGCAATCATTGAGAGGGGTGGCTTGCAATTGTGCCCGTGGCGTCGACAGTTCTACGATAATAAGTCACGGTGCGGAATATATCCCGGCGAAATGCTGCTCTAGCTTTTGGTACCATTGTCACCGTTAACATTCCGGACTATCCAATCAGTATACCAAGTTAACGCAAGGCTGGACAACTCCCCAGTGATGACGTTACGGTGTGGGCTATCAGACTGGTCTCTATCAGGCTCTACTGAGGTACTATGTGAGTTGTGTAATCTTCAGTGGTCACAAATACGTTGGTAAGCCGCGGACTCCGGCTGTCTTGGCAAATACCTCACACTCAATGGCTTGCATTACAGAATTGAGTTTCGACCACCCAGACGCATTATAGTCTCTCATACTTGTCTCATACGAACTTGGGTTCCTCCTTCCAAGGATTTCCAACCACATTTCGCAATGACGTGTTGGACTATATACTCATGCACCGCTCTGAAGGACGATTAATGGAGAAAGTGAAGAAGGCTCCTGCTCTTGGTGATGACCGGGTCCAGGATTGTGTGGCGCTGAAGTGACAGCCCACGACTAAGCGGACGCAATGTAACTTGAGTGAGCGCCGTCATTCTCTGTTGACACTCATCCTGTCCGATGGGTCGTCGGAGAGATCTCATTACCGACACACATGTGCATATACCCTCAGGTGATCAGAGCACGCCGATCTAATCGATTTCTCGCAGGGGCTTATGAACTGATTTTAAGGTTCGGAGCTGACCAATTTGACGTGGTCTAGGGGTCTGGGGTCGACCGGATTCGACGCCCAGTACCGTAGATCGCAATTGAAACGGCTCGTTCGGGAACCGGGCAAGACTTGGCTAGTGCCGGTAGATGTGCCAGAGACCAAGACAGGGCCAAGCCGTGCCGGGAAATCTCCGCAATCCCTTCCACGATGAAGCTCTTCCAGGATCTTACTATGGTCCAACCGCCGGAGAAAGGGTCACGATCCCATCAATCAGTTACATCGCTTCAGAACATCAGCCCTAGGATTCTCGCGATACACAGGCGATCGCTGCAATGCCGTGACCTGCCAATGCCAAGAGGACCCTGCATGACATGAACCTGCCCCGTTACAGAACGGGCTCGTGGAACAAACCTAGACAAGGCGCTAGAAGGAGCCTAATCACGGCGAGACCGTCAGTTCTAGGCATAGCCATAGGAACTCACCCAGAAGCTCTGCTGCGCCCGTTCGTGTCTCCTGATTAAGTTTGCTAGAGAACGGCCATCAGTTGCCCAACAGTGGGGTGGCGTGCCTTGTCCAGGCCCTACTGGTAGTGACGGAGAGCCTTCAACGGTCTCCGTCTCAGGCGAACCTTGACTTATATATCACTCGGACTCGATCTCGTTTTCCCGCAGCGATGGTTCGACTCGAAACGTGACTACGGCCCAGTCGGCGCGACGGAGCCGCTCATTCATTTCTCTTCTTTTCGTTAGACTTGCGGCGCTGCGGAGGCTATTTGGACGGCTAATGGTGGTGATGCAGGCTGGGACTGGTTCTTGCCGATTCATTCAACGCCTGACTTGATCAAGGAAACGATGGTCAACCTTGACCCTAGTAGCAGCACATTATCACCACTTCCAACAGACCATCGCGTCGGTCTTTCGGCAGTAGCAACTCTCGGCATCGTTTCTTTCATTGCGACGTTCGCCCAGTTTGTGCATATCACGTGGAAGATAATACGATGGAATGTCAAATCGTGGCGGCGGTCAAAAGGCAAGCCAGCACAGGCCGGCATTGATCTGTCTCTAGGACTGTCCCAGAGACATTATGAACAGACAAAAGGGATATCTTCAGCAGACAAGCCATCCCCACCGACGCCGATCGATCGAGGTCGAACCACATCCCTCAACCAGTTCCTCTTCTTGTTCTACAACCTCATCATCGCCGAGGTGCAACAGTCAGCAGCCTTCCTGCTCAACACGTCGTGGGTTTCCTTGAATGGGATATTTGTCGACAATCCAGTCTGCTGGGCTCAGGGCTGGTTCATATCCAACGGGGATCTGGCAGTCAGCTGCTTCTCGACGCTCATTTCCATCCAGACGTACATGTCTGTTGTTCGGCACTACCACCCAAGGCAATGGGTAATCTACGCATCGGCTGCCAGCACCTGGGTCTTCGTCTACGGCCTAGCGCTGGTCGGGCTCTTGATGACCAACAACGGGGCAGCAAAGGGTGGCTTTTTCGTAAGAGCGACTGCCTGGGTGAGTCCATCTATCCCGTCCCATCGATGTGGCATGCCGGGTTCGAATCTGACTCGGGATTGCGTAGTGTTGGATCAGTGACGAATACGAGAACCAACGTTTTTGGTTGCACTACTTCTGGATCTTCACGTCCTTGGCGATCTCCAACACTCTCTATTTCCTAACTTGTTTTTCGTTGTTCCGCAGTGGCGACCCTGAGAATACTCGGGCTGAGGATGGTGACAGCTCACTACCGCAGAGAGCAAGTTCTCTTCTTCGGGACCTTCATATAGGGTTTTTGGTATATCCATCCATTTACATCATCTGTACTGCACCCTTGGCCCTGGGTCGGATTATGGAAATGTCGGGAACAGAGCCCAGCGTGGGGTTCTATTGTTTTGCAGGATCGATGATGGCGTCGACTGGATGGATGGACGTCATCTGGTTCTCCTGGACTCGGAGTGCAATCATATTCGCCGCGTCCCCCGATGTACCTGAAAGCGGGCTCTCCACCTTCTCTTTCATGAGGACTCCCCTACGACGGTACGGAAACTTTGTCTGGATTCAGGGGGCATCACGAAGCACCATGTTCACAGGGGATGGTCGCCGCACTCGACGCAGCAACATCTCGGATGGGAGGCACATGACACTTAAGAGCAGCAGCCAAGAATGCTTGAGACCGTCAAACATGGACGACATGGTGGTTCGAATGGATGTTGAAATGAGCATTGTCGTCGAGACCAATATCGAGCGCAGCTTGTCCGATGATGAGGGGGCCCAAGGAGCAGGAGTCACCATGACAAGGAAGCATGGTCCATTCGACACTAGTACTTACTAGTGATACGTATCCATAGGCTATCGAGCAAGTGTCGCGAGTGCGTGCGGACTTCATTATCCACTGGTTGTTCCATGTCAATTCTCGGGTGCCCTCATACGCTCAGCGCCATGATTCCCCATCGGCCGAAGCTGGTCTGTCGGCATCAACTGATCGACCGGTTCTGAGAACACTTCATCCGCCCTCAGACCACTTCAGAAGAAAAAGCCATCACCCGTGCCATAAGGCGCTTGTCCAAACGACTCAAGCGTTACATCGGTAACTGAGCAATAACTATGACTAAACCGTCATGTGGCGATTACCATCTCAGGGACTAAGTCTCATCTACATCTACACAGATATCTAGCAAATTGGACCATACCCGAAAAAGACTAGAAGTATCTAGATCTAGGTGCGCAAGGAAATAATGAGCCAACAGAGATATTGCAAGGCTGACGGACGACGAGCCATCAAACAAATGAGGCCACTGGGTACCCTCCGCAAGTAATCCGACCCCTGGACACTTTGAGCGTAGCATGGAATAGCTTTGGTTACTGCCTTTCCAAATCAGCGATGACCCCTTCCCTCCACCACCAAAGCGCCATCCAAGTAGCTCCTGGTCCAATGACGAACTGGCCTGCAACAGCATAGACCGACGTCTTCAAGGCTTGACGCCAGGAGATGTAGCCGAGCCGTCTCAGCTCCCACACTGTATATAGATTGCTCCCTATCAAGGTCGCTTGCGACATCAAAGTTGGCACTAGTCTCCGCTGTAAAAGAGACAGCAGCCATGGAGCCCAAGAAGCGATGGCGTTGCGAGGAACATTCTGGTACATCTGCGACAACTGTGCCGCCGCATGTGCAGCTCCTTGCAATCCAGCGATGAGTCCGTATACCAGTTTCAACGTAGGAACGTCGCCCTTGCGGTAGCGGTCGAAGTAGGGCTCGGCATTCTGCTTCGCCTCCGCCGTGTTGCGGCGTTGTAAGTATCCTTTGGCAGCTGACAGCATGTTTGTCATGATGGGAAACAATGGAGCGGCGACCTGAGCCAACGTTGTCCACTTCTGTGACGCGCCCACAGTACCACTAATGGTCCCGTAAACGGCGTAAGAAACGCCAAAGCATGAAACCAGGGCAGGGAGTAAGGATGAGGCCACTTGTGGCTTTACATAACGTCCAGCAGACTGGGTGAATGCTTGGTATGCACTCAGAAGAGAATGAACTGCGAGTACAGAGTTCTGTCCGAAGAAAGGCATGCCAGCAGTGAATAATGACGGGGCTGCGAGTAACGAACCCTGGTTGCCGATGCGATTACCCTCTACAGTGAACACGACCAGAGCGGATATGAGCTGCGAATTGGGATAGAACCCTCGCGCTTCTGCTGAGCCTCCGTAGGCATTGCGCCAGAGGCTCAACAGCATACCACCGGTGAATGCAGCACGCATAAATCGAGATATGGCAGGTCCAATAGGCTTTTCAGGGAGCTCGTCTGCGAAAGGGATGGTCCTATTGGGGCGAGGGACAGGCAGTCGCTTCAGCCTAGCTCCACCTATCATCGGATTGTTCAACTGATTGAAGAGCATCTCATCACCCATGTAAGGTGCCACCATGTCCCAAACCAACCTCGAGAGGAGCGGTTTCTCGTATGCGTTCAGAGCCTGCATCTCGTGGGCGGTTTGGACAACGAGATTGGCTCGCTCGATCCGAGTTTCTTGTGTCACAGAGAATATTTCTTCGATGTCACGGTCCTCCAGCTTGGCAAGGCCAGATGTATGGCGATCTCTCTTGTCCAAGATGGCGTTGACGAGCTCGGCGGCTGACTCAATGGCGGCATTCCCACCTTGTCCGCCGATAGGGTTCGGCTTGACAGAAAGGGGTCAGCAAAGCGAATCCTGAGAGGACGAGGAGCGCGGTACCTTGTGAGCGGCATCTCCAAGGATGAGTACGCGATTGAAAATCCACTTCTTGTACACTACCTCGTGCAACGGGGTCAGTGTTGACGAGATGCGTTTGGCGTAGACCTGCCCAAACGTTATATTCTCGGTGATCGGTAGGTCAAAGTACTCCTCCACGAGTTCCGCCTCATCCTCCTTCGTATACCTGGGTATGTTCTTGCCGTACTTTGTCTCCGGCAACTGTACGAAGAGGAACCAGTATACTCGGTCCCCGGGGCCTGACATTACGAGCTGACACTTCCTCTGGCCAAGCACAAAATGTTGCTCATCACCCTTCCATCCCGGAACGTGTTGTGCAATGCCGAAGCTGCATTTGTAGTAGCAAGGAACCTTGTCTTCTTGGTCTGGCTCGAAGTACCCGGGCTGGAGCTCATTGCCGAGTCTGAACATCTCAGATCTGACAACGCTGTGGATACCGTCTGCCCCAATGACTATAGCGCCGCGAATCGTATAGCCATCTTGGCTTGACACCTCAACGCCGCCGTCGATTTGCTTGATGTTTACAACGCGTTTGTTGACTAGTACTCGGTCTTTATGTTCGAGTTGATCGTATAAGATCTGTAGCAGCCACTGGCGATCGAATATAAGCCCTGCGTAGCCGTGTCTGCGGTTGTTTTCCGTCCGTCAGCTTGGAACTCGGCTTGAGCTAATCGACGTACCTCTTCTCTAAATGACCTTGCATATCAGACAACGTCATTTTAACCTTCCCATTCTTATCCCGCATGTATGTATACTTAAGGGTCCCCTGAGCAACGCGCTCGATCGACTCCAAACATCCGATTTGGTCAAGAATCCGCAGGCCGTTCGGGAACAGGCCAATGCTCGCGCCAACTGGGGGCGCGATGGCCGAGTACGCTTCTAAAAGGGTGTAGTCGATATCAAACTTTTCGAGCATATTCGCCAAGGTCAAGCCTGCCACGCCTCCCCCTACGATGACGACTTTGAAGTTGGCAGCCATTTTTCGTACTGCGACGATTCCGCGGCAATTGTTTGCTTGGAAGCGACATCATTGAATCCTTCATGGGGCAATGCGTGGGACATTTTATCGATGGGACACGGAGATCCGGAGTGAGAGAGTGACCGAGCAGTGGTTGATCCAAGGACCGAGCGTTGTGCAGTGTCAAATAGTAGGATACGCAAAGCACAGGATACCAACAATTATAGGAGTCGTCATGAACCCCGCTTACTCATCGGTCGAATGGCGGACCCCGGGAGTCGGCATACAGCTGGTCCTTTTCCACAGCGGATCATAATGCTACTCTACTCCCTCGTAGATATTGATTGTATGGCAGAGAACAAAGGAGAATTCGGCGTTCGTGAGAACTCCGTTCCGATGCTGGAACCAGTCATACCAATCTCGGTGATTACAATACTCTACCGCAATTGTGTTGCCCAAAACTTTGTTGTAGAGAATGCAACTCCGGATGAATTGTCATCGAGAAATGCCGGACTGTGTCAGCGGCGATGGTTGCTGCCGCTGCGTTAGCCGTCTATATGATTTCCTACGTATTCGCAGCATATCACAATGTGATATTTAATGTTAACATTACCGGGCTCTGCCTAGCAAGATGCGCGACAATTATGATCAGGATACTGCCCATAAGAGATAATTTACAGCTCAGGCATGCAGCCCGCAGTGCTCGCTGACAGAACTTCTCTCTTACTACAGGCATCCCGGTCCTCTACTCAGTCAATACTCGTGCACAATGGTGACGCAATCTAGTACGCAACTAATTGGGAGAGAAGCTCTTATGAGGACACCACAAATCTACTGCTAGTAACGAGGGAGACATTTGAACGGTTATGGAGGTATCCCAATTCTCAGGTGTTTTATCAATCAGACTGCATACGACCCAAGGTGAATGAGCGATCTGTACCTGGTACCTCCAACAAGGTCGTTGCCAGAATGAGGAGGGGTTTCTTTCAGGCTCGTCGCGTGCGTTCGTATGCCATTGCTCCACAACGGTTGAACTTTACCATCCGCTCAAAAAGATTTGCTTTCCCTGCTAGCTGATTTTGATCAGAAGTTGCGCACGGCTCTCACTATCCTAAGCATCACTCAATATTTCAATACCCGGCCTGTATGGCTGGCCTAGACCGCGCACCTGGGGCGAGGGGTACCATCTTAAGGTGCTATCGGCACACGAGCTGGGCGCGGGTGTTCTTGGTCTCGTTGTTCTCCCTCGTGTGCTCTTCAAACAGGGCATGACAAGGTCCTTTCCATGACAAAGTTCAATCATTTGAAGGACCTCTACAAGCCTGTTAGCCAATGCTCGGAGAAAGTGTGCCCATCTTTCTCTACGACTCAGGCAATATGTCACGCTGCTCAAAGGGTGGAATCATCAATGGTTTTGTTAGACATTGGCACCACGGCAGAACGACAAGTCGTTTCAAATCACCCACTGAAACTGTTTCCATACATCCTTGAGTAACTCTTCGCGTCAAATGGCGCTTGAACATTGTTCTCGCAACTAATATATGTGCGAGTGCACACAATCCGGGTTTATGTCGGCCTATTAGTGAAGCTATAATTAGTACACGCGACGAACCCCGGCTTGAGATTTATGAATCCAACCATACAACGAAATTCGCCGGCTACAGTCGCTGTTTAGGGTCGCCTTTGTACTCCCTGGGGGGATATTGTATCAAGATAACATTATTACTTGGTCATATGGAATATACAAGTGCCGACATCATCATCTCAAGAAACGTTTTGCCCTTTCCTCAATAGCTCTGGATTTGAGACTTGACCTGGCTTGGTCAGAGGCGCTTCGTCCTGTTCCCAAGGACTACATTCAATGTCGTCCGCGGAACTCAAGTTCCGACTTGCCGTATCATGCTTGGACGAGTTTTTCCCTCGCATGTGGATGTATGTCGAGTGCCGAGAGATTGCGTACTGCCGACGTGCCGACTCGGAATTCTGTGCATAGCCCCTCGGGCTCGAAAAGCTGAAAACACGAGGCATAAGTCTTGCCATGACCGGGCGGAAAGTTGGTAGACAGGCTGCGATTGTGCCAGTGCTTAGCTCGACGAATGTCCATATTGCAGCCAGTGCATTGTCCCACGTCGAGTCCGATGATTGTGCAGCGGCGCTCAGTGTCTGGATGCGATACGCAGAGATCGCACAGGGGCTGTTTCACCCATAAAATGTTAGCTACAAGAAAATAGCAACTAAGGAAAGGAGAAATGTTGGATCTATAGAAGAGGAACTCACCAGAGAGCCAGAGCAAAAATGCCTGCTAGGAAGATTTTTTGATTCTTTCGCATCTGCAATCGAAGGATCGACGGTATTGGCATGACAAAGCACGTAATATCGGTCGCCATGTTGATCACGGCGATTGATAGCCACAGTGCCAGTCGGTTCATACAGGTTCCAGGTGTGTCGGGTTCCCAAAAGAGGCTGACCGGGACACAGATGAAAGTGAGCAAAAATCCCATCACGACCGTCCACACCGACAGGCCAATCATCATAGCATAGCTGACGGTGTAGAAACGAGTGTCTTTGAATATGCGGCAGTATTGCAGAATTATCGAGATTTTGACGAGGTAGATGGCGACGCTGTAGGTGATGGTCGACACATAGAATGCCTGAAGCTGTGAGCGTAAATCCAGACCCGATATCGTGGCAAGACCAACCTTCAAGTACGGTACGACATCTTCTTCCGCAACCGTTGATATATGGGTTCCCAAACCATAATGGCACTCTAAAGTCGAGGTTAGATCGTGACCCGCGGGGACTTGTGGCAAGAATCTTACCGAGACCAATGGCAACGGACGTTGCGAGAAGGAAGACCTAGTCATCGAATGCGCGTCAGAATGGTCTAGCTCCCGACACAAAGTCTTGTAAGAGGTTGAAGCTCACCAGGCCGCCAACTATCACAGCATCATCCTTGTCGAAAGCCCGGAGGAGTATGTAACGGGAGTACACCCTGAGAAGCACCGCCGCTGTAGATAATATCGTTCCGACCGTTAGGACTACGACAACCGCCGTGGTTCGTGACTCGACGGGGTCCGACTGGGCTCGGGTTACTAGTAACATGGCGCCTGCGTGTTGGGTGGTTTCAAGCATCGATTGCCCGACATGCTATCCGGTTCGGCTTGGGTTTTGGTGCCACCGTACGTTTTGTTCCAACGAATTAACAAATGTTGTTGCTCTTGACCATCTTGAACTTCAAGGGGCTGCCCGCTCGACCGGGTGTGGGACACACAGCTTTTAAGTGTTCATGGACCTTGGGTATCTGCAGCGATGTTGCGCTTGTGACAGGCTAGTACCTCGCATAAGTCAAAGCATATTTCGACGCCAGTATTGTTAAGGAGTTTGCTGCAGGAGACTTGCCATCGAGCCGGCACCGTATAACTCGGACCGGCTCTGTAGCCCCGGAGGGCTATTACCCCTCTCGGATGGCCTCCGGAGACCAATATCTGCTAGTCATGGCATCTTTCATCCCAAGCTTACGTCTCCAAGGCGGCTAGGGTGGCACTAAGAGCTGGGGCTTGTTGAACGCATCCTGTCGGAAGGCACTTGGCGCTGAGCTACTACGTATGTGGAGAATATTCCCCAGGATGAAGCCCCTCGAGCTAATGCATAGCACCTAATAGGTACCCCGGTGTGAAGAATCATACGACTCGTCCACAAGTGCTGCTACAGTCACACCCACAGAGAGATTGTTCCATGATAACGTGTATACAGAGCATCCACGCGGACCGCGACTGTGCCTCCGGTATCAAGACTGTTCGTGGAATGCCAACACAAGGAACATAAACGATCAAGCCGGAGCATATACGCTTTAGGTTCACGCGGCGTGACGGAATGATAGAATAGAACTATTTGTTTCCGCTGCAAAAATAGGTGCTTTGTTCTTATTTCCGCGGCCGGGGCTGGTATTGCCCTCGGGTTGTCGCAATCAACAAGGATTCCGTCGATCCCGGTGGTATAGATCTGGGATCTGGTGCTTTGGCCTCTTTCAGGCTCCTGCTGTCCACAATTACGCTCGTCGGGCCAAGGGCTGTAAGGGCAGTCAGACAGTCCCGTAGTGGGAAGTGTGTTATCAATGTGGCAGATGGTTGCAGCGCTTCACCGTAGCGTTCGACCCTCATATGTTCCACAGTGTCCAGCACCACATCGCAAGAGCTGGTGAAGGATATGCAGGGTGCACCGGGGTAAGGATTATTCAGTCAAGAAACCGGCTCAGTGCAACGGGATTGCTTGAAATGCTGGTAAGGTGTGTGTCAATGCGACGGACCGCAACCCTGCGTCCCGAGTCAGGTCGCTGCATGTTTGGCATGACAGACCAACCAGCAATGTTACAGTTCTGGTGGTCTCGAACTTGTGTGATTGACCTTTCAGCTGCACTGGAGCTTAGCCCTTTCGCGTTGGGGCTGTCAATTCTGCAGATCCGGGTCGATAGTTGGAGGTCCCGAAGCCCGCCGCTAACCCAGGGGGGGATCACTCAATCAAGTTTGAACCCTTGCGGCTGATACCCGACCTGAAAAGGAGTTCGATAAGTGATGCTACGAGGACGCCGTAGCAAATGCAACGAAGTGTTCTCATCTACCAGGCACTATTGACGGCACAGCCTGTAGTCTGATTGCTTACGCGCTAAACAAGCACACGAACTGAGGGAATTGGCTAGCCAGGACCTTCGACATTGCAGCTACGACAGCACGAGGGGCTAACCCATTGTACCATAGTAATCGCAATCGCAAAGCTACAGGGGTCCGGGTTTCCGCTCAGCCCTGCGACCACACTGAGATATAATCCTTGCTTATACTCGGCCGAATTTTCCGCGATGCACCTACCTCGATCAAATCATCTTGTTTCACAAAGTTCAAGATAGATCACTGGATAAGATCGCAGGCTCCCTGGGCTCTGCGAATCACAAGCCATCCAAAGTAATCATATCGTTTTGGTGCGTTTCGCCGAACTGAAACTATGCCACTGGCGGCGCCTGTAGGGCTTGGTCCAGTGCTTGAAATCCACCGGCGGGAGATCAACCACAAGCTCAAGCCTCGACGGAGGGACAGAGTTATCTTGTCTTGACGGAATACTTCGAAAAGACCCGTGTAGACCCCAGATCCGCCACGAGCGGATTGGGAACCAAGACGCCGAAACAATTACCACACAATGATACCTGAAGGCACCGTCAGACCGCCGGCCCAAGGGTACCGGAGAACTAGCAGAGCCGGTAAGCCTGCAAGCGTACTTTACCAGAGCCACAGAAGATACTACGCCCAAGTCCAGACTGATCTACAAGCCATCGCCAGTGTGGCCTCTAGGTTCGATGCCCTCTTGACAGTCGGATCCGGCACCAGGAACCGAGTCGCAGAGTAGGGAGTATCGGGGAGAGCAAGGAGAGCTCTAGTTCTCTCGCAATCACGGCTTGAACGTCAGTAGCGTGACTAGTCGGTGGGACCGGACAGGGTTGGGGTCAAAATAGAGTTTCGCTTAGCGTAGCGAGCACTCATCACAGCCACGACCGTCGCATCCCGGCCCCACGCCGCGCGGAAGGTGGGGTGTATACTGTGGTTTGTGCGAATATTCGCCGACGGTCGTCATTTCTCCTGTCCTCTAGCCGTCTGAGGGTTTTCGATAGAAGTCTCAGTATTGGAAAAGGCTGAGATATGAGATTCTTTATCACATCTCAACCTCCCAATCCAAGAGGCCATTGCTGTAGGCCGTCATATTCACTGTATAGTAATCCTATAACAATAACCTCTTAATTATTAGGATCAGCGTCCAGACGAAATGCGCAGGCCCTGGGCGCTCGAATTGGATGTCTCGATCCATACTGTCTCTCACATACTTAACATGTGACTGCGCTCTGTTTCTGAATATGCGCTCCTCCCAGTTCCATGGCCTCGAAGGCCACAGGCCAACATAGGTAAATAACTGGTAGCCCCCACACCCGGCGTACAACCGGGTTTCTCTATTGTCCACCTACAATAACACCTCACACGAGCTTGCTACTCGTATCTGGGCAGTGATTTGAAGCAAGCGAGACTTGACCTGGATGTTGAAGGCTTCCTTGTCTCAGATTGTCTGTGGTCGTTTGCCCGTTATGGAACCTGACAAATCTCGAATGAAGGTGACCGATTGAGTACGTACCCACTCTACCAAGTATGGTTATCCCATGCGAAGTGAGGGGAATAGAGGTACGACGGGTATCGGAGACAGCAAGCAATTTGTCACCCATTTCCGCTCCCCCTGTACAACGCTGACCACAATGGGTGGTTAGCAGGCATCAGCCTATGTAGTACACACAATACCTGGCGCGCCTAAATCATCCCATCACACTGCTATCGTAGGCGGAACGTTGTATAGTTATTCTAGCACCTTACCAGGTCAAGCCTTGGAACACATATAAGGAATAGCACATCGGATATTTCCCTATAAGCTTAAACCTCGCTTGGCGCATGCATGTCACCCATCCGAAGGTTGTCTTGCATGTTGCACAGACTGCAGTGTGACACGTCAAAGGACGTGCGCTATACTCTCTTGACTCAAAGAATGTATCGATGGCGGAAAACTCGCCACGCACAATCTCATGCAGTTCGGTTGCCATGCCTGTAAGGAAGGTCTTCCCCTGCGGTCAAAGCGTCTGCAGCCTACATTTGTTCATCTTCAAAACCTGCCAACTTTTATCCCTCAATATGTTGCAGTCACCTTTGGCATGGCCGTTTCTATCGATCCCTGCATAACCTCATCCTCTGGTATGATTAAACACATTGACTCCTTCGCTTCGCCATGGTCTCCATCCTGTTAGTGGATATTCATAGTGTGGAGTCTTCACTTTGATGTCATCATCCTGATGGTTGCCAGCTTTCTCGCTGTCTTCGAAACGTTCGTCGGGGTACAGCTACACCCCCATCGTTTCTCGGTAGCTTCGAAGCATACGCGTATGATCCGCGGCGCTATAGCAAACCTCTGCCAGGTAGAAAGTACTCTTCGAACCCGCAGCAAACTTGATCGGATCAAAGCAGAATCGCAGCGCGCGCCTCTTTGATGTTTCTACCAGATTGGCCGAGCCTGTGTTGGGAACATAATCCTCCATATCACGAAATTTTACTCCCTGGAATTCGAGGAAAATAGCTTCTTTCGTTCAAGGGTGATCATTTCATTCAACTATGATTATGACTATAGCCGCTTGTGCCACCATCCATGTACTACAATTTGACATCATGACAGGAAAGTGCTTTCGGATTATTATGATGCGGGGTTAGGCTATACAACGCTTAACTCCATCTCCGACTCAGCCTCAGTTTGGCCATGAAGGCCAGCCATATTCTTTGCCAAGGTCTAGTTTTGAGGTTCCTCACTTGACGAGGTAGACCACCTGGGGGGATTGTACGATCTTGTTTGCTACCGGCAACCTCGATCGACACTCTCTTGACTAAACCCCGTACTTCAAGATGTGATTCAAGTTTGTGATAGCAAACCGCACGAAGGAGTAGGCCAAGTTCGTATATAAACAACATACTTCAAAGTGGCTCAAACTCAAGCGTGACGCATGCTCTATGCCAAACCAAGCCAGCCAAGGTCCGCGGTATCACCAGGTAGGCAATCAACTGCCAGATGACTTCACCAGTGAAGCCGAAGCCACAGTAGAACGCCTTTTATTTTCAGGTCAGAAGTGTTTGGTTAGAAGCCCGGAGGAGCATGATGTATGAAGACGAAAGCGGCGCCAAGTAGTGAGCATCGCCTGCGATGTTCCTGCGTAGAACACTGAACTGACCCGTGCAGCCAGTACAGTTCAATAGAGCATGTGGTTCACTCTACCTACATATCTCCATCCATTGCGTGGACATTAATTCGCAATCGTCGAACCATTCAAGTCCAAGCTCCAGTTCGGACTTGGATGTTATTAGTTCTGTGCTAAAAGTGACTGCGATTGCGGAGTAGCAAGTCTGCGCTGTCAACCGAATTCTGGACTGGAATGCCACACCAAGAATTGTGGTGCACGTAAAATCTGGAATGGCGCTCGCAATGGTTGTGGTTGAGGTTCAGATTGGCAGTTGGGCTAAAACTCGGACTGGAGTTTCTGCAACACAATTTGCAGTGCGTCTAAAAGTCCGGAATGGTGCTGGCAAACAATTGAGGCGCAGGACCCAAATTCCGGAATTGAGTTCTGCACCAAAGGCTGCAGCGCGATAGAAAATCCGGAATGTCACTGCATGGGTGGTGCTGTACTAAAAACGGGACGAGCGTGGAGCGTGGGCGGCTCAATCGTTGCCCCACCACAATCCGGAATAGAGGATGCCCTGCGACAGACAGGCCTTAAAAGTCGGACTGACTTTTAGCACTCTTTTTTGCAGTGCATCGCGAAATCTGGACTGGACTGCGCCAGCCAAGCTACCAAGGTACTCACCTTAGTACCATTTGCAGCCTGGCCAAGTCCAGCCCAAAAAAAACCCCGGACTGACTGCAGCGCGCACTCAGATTCGCAGCGCACACGAGTACACTACAAATTCCGGACTGGGGCCGTGCCAAGCCCCAGCCCACTGTACCCCGGTTTGGTTCTCACCAGTGCCGCATCACCTCACCTCTGCAATCAGGAATTCTGGAATTCAGGGCTGAACCAACGTAGCTCCAACCCTTGGGTATATCTCGACTTGCGACCACCAACAGCAACTTCACCGGATACAGGCCGTATTCCATATTCGGCATTGGGGACGGTGCACGAAAGGAAGCACGTAGAATGCATCAGTGGAACTTTGTCAAATTAGCTATCTATTTATCTAAGAACACCTCGTCCGACGATTGAGTTCCCACATCATCATCGTCATCATCATCGTCATCATCTTCCTCTTCTAGCGCGCCTGGCTTCCTCAGCAAGATCCGGTATAGCCTCTTGAGTTTCTTCAAAGTCCTGATCTGCTTGTGCAGGGTCGCAAGGTCATCGCTCAGAGCATTTGAGATGTCCTCAGCCTTTTGAGCGAGGTCAATCACGTTGTCCACCTCTATACTGAGAGACTGGATTGATACTTGGAGTTCTCGCAGGTCGTTCGAGAGCTGTTTGCTTGGAAACTCGGCACATGCTGTGACGTCTTCGACGAATTGGTGCCTTGCCTGAAGTTCGTCCAGGGTCGCGCGGGCATTGTCCTCGAAGAACTGATGCGTCACGAAAACATATCTCTTGCACGCCAGGAGGGTGTCGACGTCGACAGACCCAGACTGCCCACCGGCGCCGATTACATTGAATCCATCTTGGAAACAGTAGGAACTGGCGAGGGCAGTAACAAGGACCTCGGAAGCACCCAGGTGTTGATTGTCCCAGATGTGAGTGACGGGCTTCACCACCACCTGAGGGGTGAGGTGTAACTCGGCCTTGATCAGACACAAGGTTAATGCCCACGTGTAGGTGGTGAGGCTGAGATGGCTTGGGTCAAACGGGTCATGTTGTTTCATACGCACCTTTAGCAACTTGGAGCAGCCGACCATCAGGGGCCCTTGTCGGTGGTAGAGGGTCTTGGACTTACCGTGGTATCTCGATGGATGGAGGCGCTGCGTGAAGCTGAGTATCAGAAATTCTACTCGCTTGAGTGCATCGTCATTGGCAATCCACCTCAGCGCATCCGCCGCTTTGGATGGTTTGGATCCGAATGCGGAGTCAACTCCACGAGCCCACTGGTCGTAAGCCTTGTGCTGTGGAGTTATTGGAGATGCTCCACGAACCTTTTGGAACCTGTAGCCAACACAGTACTTGCGTAAGGCGTCCACCAGCTCTTGAATCTCGATGGCGTTAAGGAAACTGCCATTGCGTCCAGCGATGCACATTGCTGCGACGTAAGTTCCTCCGCCCTCGCCGGAATAGTGCACTGGACGGGGTGGGTCGTTCTGGTTGTTCAAGAAGTCATGTGCAACTGTGCCTACGATGATGCTCTTCAACAGAGTTCGGGGTATGGTGTGTAGCAGGATCGACAATGCCATCTTGCGCTCTCGATCCTGCAAGATCTTTTCCGCAGCACTTCTCGCTTGAGATATCACCCCGTTTTGGGCGATCAGTGCATCTGCATGTTTGGTAAGAAGAAGCGACAGCTCACAGTAGCTTACGTTGTCTTCAAGAGCTTCGTACATCTCGAGCCGCAAGCCGCTCATAAGGGGGATGACCTCATTGTCGGGAATGGGTGCCATGATTCGGAGAACTCGCTGAACTGAGAGATGGCGCCGTGCGGTGTTTACACAATCGAACTTATACTCCAAGCTGAAGGCGGACTGGGAAGAGATGTATGTGTGCCTGCGGTGGGTCAGATGACACGATGGAAAAAGGGTGTTCGACCCTACCATGACAGGAGCCGAAGTGCGCCTTCCTCTTATGCGCATGAAACACACAACCTTGACCACTACAGGTACAAGAACCTCGATGCATGGCGTCCATGCTGGTAATCATCGATGTCGCTGATAGAGATGTTGAGATAAATATAAATCATAAGTGCAGGCTGCAATGACACTCAAGTTGGGTGGTCAGGCGGGCAGCTACAGTACAAGGGCAAGGCGCGCTGACTTACACTCTAGTGTCATAGTGGTCTCAGTTCAATACATGGGTGTGAGGTTGGGTTCGGCCGGGCCGCAACCGCTGCTGAGCTTTTAGCCCGCCGGGTTGCTGGAGGATTCGGTGCCGACATCCGCCATGGCCCGGTTTGGGGGCCATGGGTCAAGCTGGCTAGAGTAGTCGAATAGAAGTCAACATAATTACTTTCAGAGGGCACACATAGCCAGACTGGCGTGAAAGCTAAAGAAGATTTCGTCATATGAAACCATGGAGTCTCCGTGATGGGCACACCAAGTACCACTGAAGGGTCTGTCTGGGCAAGGGGTGGGTGTGATTTCTTGACCAAAGACCATGACGACTGCGAAGAGAGATGGAATGACCACCATCACCCACGGGGCCCTGCAGCGACAATTTCAAGGCGAGTAAGCCAGAATCTATACTTCATTGTGTCCTACATATATCGAGATTGTACTTTACGGTTTCCAAACCCCAAGTGATACGATCAGAAGTGCCCATCATGCAAGATCCCGGCATATATGATCAGGCGGCCTGCCGTCCAGACTGTGATGTCTGTCAAGTATTGAAAGAGTGTGTCGCCTCTAACCTGACCTGGGAGCCCATTCCCTGATAATCCTGGCCACTTGTAACTTTTCCAAATTGAGAAGTGTGTCGGAGCGACATCACCTTCCCCTAGGTGACGCAACCAGCCTCGCCCTCCTCTACCAGGGAGGGGCCGTTCGTTTGACCTATCTTTATAGAATATCGAACCCAGATGCCATGCAAGTGGGTAGCGCGTATGGCAGCCCGCGCAGGACAAGGTCAGCTCATCTCGGTGTAGAGTGTGGCGGCCGAGGCCTGGCCGTCTTCTGGGTATTTCGCATGCCTTCATCGATGTCCTGTTGCAACAGGGTCGATCGCTGGGCGCTACAAGCTCGATAATGTGTCGAAAGGACGGTCTTGCCAAATCCGGTGTCAGCCCTGGAGCAGCGTACCGAGGTGGCCCTAGGAGGGGGCTGTTGGAAAACCTGGCACCAAAACAGGACAGTCTTTCACGATCCAGAGCCGCCCAAGGGTGCCACCAGTACATCTGCCGCGATCGGTATGTCCAGAGGCAATCGGCGGGGTAGTTGTGAGTCGGTTGAGTCGCTCGCTTGGTGTAAGACTTGGTCTGGCGTGTCCGCGGTGGTCTTGTTAGAGAGCAATGAGCCCGATCTGGGATCCCTTGGGGCTGGTTTGGTGGGCCTGAGGCGGTCTTGGGATGGCCGCGCAATGAAAAATGATCAGAATCCATCATTTTCAGCTCGTGTTGAGGAGGTTGCCGAGAGGCATTGCGTCGATGTGTGGCCAAGTCAGGTTGCGGAAGTAGGCGCTGTTGAATCTCTTGATTGTCAGCAGGAAAAATCGTAAGTCCACATGTTTGACTTGTGGAGTTTCTCAAAGCTTGAGAGTGCAGAAACCCAGTTGTGACCGCGGGAGTCGGTCCAAGTATTTACCTTGTGTGGTGCCTCACCAGATTCTTCATATCCACCTATGGCAGCACGACTTTTCAAAGCTGCCACAACCACGCACGATCCCATCACCACCATCATCACCATCACCATCACCATCACCATCACCATCACCATCACCATCACCATCACCATCACCATCATTAAACCATGCAGCCAACACATCTGCCTCGTGGCAATCAACCCATTCATCCCTCAACCGACCTCCGATGCCACCTGGATGCGGTCGTCGCAAACTACCTCCTCCAGAACTCATGGCCTGGAGATACTGAACTTGTCGATTCATGGCCTGGTCTGAGGGCCCTCATAATAGTGCTTCGTCACATCCTCAGTTTCCTACCGCCATCGGAGAGATCATCAGCGCCCTTCTCCCAGTTGGTTACCCAGAATCCTGTTCTCAAGCTTGCCTGGCTGCATGTGACCATCCCACCTACCAAGGAGTACGAAACCTTGCACTCTCACATCAGGTCACTCTTGCACAAGCCCGGCCAGCCACTCCCAACCCTTCTAAATCTGCTCCAGAGTGATCTCATGAGAACTTCCCTCCTCTCACGTAAAGAGTTTCTACTTTTCCATACACAGTCATACTTACTGAGACCCGGCCCGTCACAAGCATGGCAGCCAGCAGCCACATTTACCCCCAAGGAGATAGCTGACAAGAGCATGATCGTCTGGGATGGCTCCAAGCCCCTGGCCGACATGATAGCGAAAAAGTTCGTGTGCTTGGCATCCGACAATGGGTGGTTCTATGCCCAGTTTTGCAACTTTCCACTTTTCACCTTTGTCCACTACACCCCATCCAGCGATGGTAGTCCCAAGTTCACAGACATCCAAACCTTTCAGTTTTCTGCGCGTGCGGTGACTTCGACTCCTGACAACCCAAGCTCGTACATGCTCAAAGAGGTTCGAGTATCGTATACATTGATAGCAGTGGTGCGTCTGGGGTCGGATGATGGCTCCGTAGACTATCCTCGACTCTATGCCCTCAATGGTGGCAACATCCCTTGCCCAAGCAACGCCCAGAAGAGCATGGGCCCGAACAAGTGGAGAGTAGGCCATCCCGGGAGCCAATATGTATTGCTTTACGCGAGCACAACGATGCCATTTGGCATGAGACACGAACAAATCCCGGAGTATCAGGAGTTCCACACCCTGGATGCCGAAGCCATGCAACAGATAGACATGCTCGGAGATCCAGCGATAGACTATGAGGAAGCTGTTCCTCGCGGCGCCGTTACTACCATTCAGAATACAGGAACCCCCTCCGTACCCCCTACGCAGCATGAGAAATCGTCCAATCCTCAAATGGAGAAGCAACCAGCCGTCATAAAGCACACTACCTTTCCTCAGGCATCCTCTCAGGCTTCATCTCTGGCTTCGTCTCGAGTTACATCTCAAGCTCCAGCCGCCAAGCTAGATCTGAGGCTGCCCCCCAAGCCCCCAGCAGCAGAAGAAAGGCCAGAAGCATTACAAGAGCCGGCCATGTCACCGGATACCTTTTTTCTGAACCCCTCGCAGCACCCGGCGACACCCCCTGATCGTGAAGGTGACCCTGGAGAGACAGCGTCTGTATTCGATCAGGAAGAGCTGGATGATGACTTCGACATACATGCCAACCCGTTTGGCTTCCCCAGTCTGGAAGATACCGGCGGACCCGGAGCAGTCGGCCCAGTGAACAATGATGTGCAGACGTCCACTACGCAATCATCGCAGACAGCGCTGGGTCATGCTCCTTCCAACCCTTCGCCAGCTGCTCAGTCTGGCCAGAACGCCCCTGCATTTGTACCCGCACCCACGCCCACTGCATCTCAAGCACGCGCTGTATTAGGCCTGCCGGCGACTGTCAGCCCTCAGAGCCCACCGGGCGAAACGCCTCAAGGGCCGTCTGTTCGTCCCACGGCTAACCTGGTGACCATGACCCCAACCCATACCCAGCAGCAGCAGAACCCGCCTGCTTTGAACCAGAGCTTCGAGTTCAGCCAGTCTGCCACCGGAGGCTTTGGCTTCGGCGCATCACAAAACCCGACCTCCCTACCGATGCAGACCCCCAACAGTGTTCCGCAACAGCGGCATGGCCATCCCACGATGCAGGTTCCGCCGACACCCACACCACTCGCGGCACCTAGGGCGGGAGTCCCAACTCACCATCCGCCCCATCCATTCGTTTTCAGGCAAGGCCCGAGCAACCCTATACAGCAGCAGCCGGGATTCATGCCCAACAACCCACTACAACCACCTCATCCCTTCCAGGTACTCAGCCTTGCACAACAGCAGAATGCCGTGCCGTCGGGCCACGTCTTTGGGCCTCTCCGTGTTCACAGGCGAAAGGCCGTCCCCAACTTTGGAGTTCAGGCAGCCAGTCCCTACACTATAACAGCACCCACGAAAGACGGCTTCATCAATTGGGACGATGTAGAATCGTCCAGCAACCAGAATCACAAAGGCGAAGAACGACAGCCGACCCCACCGCCACTTGGTGGCGACGATCGAACACGCTGGAAGGAGGCGGAGTGGCCCAAATGTCAAGACATTCGCCCAGTCGAAGGCGGTCCTCCCTTGGATGTTCCAAGCATCATCACTCCCTTGGTCGAGGTGGAAAGGGTTGCATTTGCGCCGTCAATTTTCCACTGGAGTGCTTCATTAAGATTTCCCGGCAACATCGCCGAGCTCGCATATGAGTTGGCTCTCCCTGTACTCGCCAGTTACTGAACGTCGCCCGAGCAGAACAGTGCACTCTCCCGTGTGTGCCCGTAGGTAGAAGTTAATCAATAGACTTGCTAGCATCTCTCTTATTAGACTCCTGCGTAGTTCTCACCGTGTTGTGCATGCTCTCGATCCGTTACTGTGACGTGTGATGGAGGGTAACTGGCGATATCGTCTACCAACTCCCATTCGCACCGGATCAATTCATGATGCGTGCCAAGCTGCCATATCGAGTGCAGGACGACTTGTAACATTTTGGAACCTGATCGCATGGTAGCGATGGTGATGGCACATTTCTGGACGTGATCGATCCAATGCGACTGCTGGTGATTGAAAGCAGCGAACCACAGGACCAAGTGGTCCCTCTGCAGGTATCTTGGCACCATGACCAGACGCAGCGACGGAAAGGTTGGCATCTGGACTGACTTTGTGACGTCCCTCGAGTCTGCCGCGAGCGTGCTAGCTTCTGGGAGTTTTAGGCACACCTGGATCGTCCAGCCACCCTGGCTTCACCCAGAGGTAAACTGTGATTACACCGCTGTCACCAGCACAGGCATCTTGAACACCATTACAAGCTTGTACGGTCATGTCATCACTGGGCGCTTATCCTTGTCAATGTTCCAGATCCTTGAGAAGCTCATAGGGGACTGCAAGGTGTTGCAAGAGAGTATTATTGATAACGCCTTTCACCTACTGATCGAGACGGCTACCGACAAGATTGGCACGGATGGCATCGATAGTGAGATGTTCCTGATCGGTCTATACCAGTTCGCCGTCCAAGCCAACAGTCTGTGGCCATTTCTGTCCAGGAAACCCGTCATTGCGCTGCAGAAGAAGCTTGAGCCGAGGCTATCTTGGGAACTCCTCTGTGGTCCGATGGCCCATGATGATACCGCCAGCCTGGCTGCCTTGTGCGAACGGCAAGGGATTTATGATAACGAGTTCCAACGCGGACTCTTCCTCAACCTTGACCGGTTCATGTTCATCGACCTGGAGTTGAGGACGGTCCGTCTGATCAGTCCAATGAGGGTGACCTTTAGTGATCTAACCGCTCGTCTGCTTGCTCCAAATAGAGACGATGACATTGTATGGCCTATCAAATCAGCCCAGGATCTTGGTTGGTGGTTGCAAAATGGTAATCAAGTAGAAAGTCTGGTTCAATTGAGTAAGTGACCTCTTGAATGTATACCTCTGTGTGTGAGTATGTGTTCATATGCAGTCTTGCCTTGCGTGATGTCTTTCGAGTTCTGTTGCGCATGTGCGTCTGTGTGCGTGTGCCGTGTCTATCAGTGACATGGATATCGGTGTTTGTCTGTGCCGTGTCTATACCACGTGTGTATTGTTCGTCGCTGATTACCCGCCGTATCATTTCGCGAAATGTGCGTCTCATTCTTGGGTCCGTGTACCAATGAACGGCAGGTTACATTGCAATTGAGTGATGACTAGGAGACTGGAGTTGATCCTCGATCAACACATTTCGAGAGGAATTCAGTCAGGTTGAAGAATGATACCAGGGCGAAGGAAACTTCCATTCCGTCCTTGCTCGATTCAATTCAGCATGATGCGACTGCATTGATACAGGCATATCCTTCCGATGGCACGTCGTTGGTATGATGGTCTCGAGCTTCCTATCATCTGTCGACACATGCACAACATGGCCCGAGCAGTTCAAGCATATGATTGATTCTATCTACCCCAAGGAACAAGAAAAGTCATCGGCGCAAAGGGAGATATGGGACTCAAAGGTTGCATTGGAAGGATGGATGAACTTTTGATAGCTGGGCATATTGAACACGTGCAGTATACTCAGCTTGATCCTGGAATTGGTCAACACCTTTCTCCGTGTTCAAGCAAGCCTTCATCAGAATATGGAGGACTATGCATCAGATACAATCTGTTCCTTGGCGTCACTGCTGCACAGTTTCGTTTCACCCACCGCGTATGTCTGGCAAGGGCCCTCGCTGACCCAGCCTGATGCCGGGTCCGAAATTGGGGATCACGTACACTCTTGAAGTGGGTCTATACAAATCAATTGAGTCTATTCGTGACTTGGATGAGACTGCGGATTCTTTCTTGACTATAAGAATCCTTGTGGTATTTCTGGCGAGAGGAGTTCATGGGTCTTGGTAGTGCGTCGACCCTTCGGCACGAGCTGACGTCACCACGAATGCCGCGACGCATCTATAATCCCTCTCGTATCCGCATTGCCGTAGTAGCCCAACAAGGACATCGCATACCAAATCAGATTCCAGCTTCATTCAGTCGCTCTACATGTTTTGGGGGGCGCAGTTGGGTGACAGAAGCACGTACCGCCGTCTGGTTAGTGATGCACCGGACCCCATCCGGGGTCGCGCTTTCCGGGCACCGGACCTGCCAATATTCAGACCGCTTACATGACAAGTGTTGCCACCTCGGATCTAGGCGGACTTCTTGCCGAGCCAGATCTCACTCCTCACTCACCTTACTGCTTGTACCACCTGTACCACCGCACGCTCTATACGCATCGTACTACAGACCGCATACCCCCATCATCCTATCACCATCCTATCAGTATCCAGCTCGATCTCTTATTCCCCCAGTCTCACCATGGCCTCTATCCTATCCTTTGAAGACATGCATCGTCTGGTTTCTACCAAGCTCCAGTTCGTGGCGAATCTCCCCCATGGCGATCAAGTTGAGCCAGAGTATGGCGAGAACCTGCTGTCGCTTCTTCATAACACCTGCAAGCAGCTCCAACAGTTGGAAGACGAGTTGAGACGTCAGCGAGAAGCACTCGCACTTGAGAAGTCTCAGCTTGCGACAGCAGAATCGCAGGAGCTTCAAGATCTTACCTCCCAAATGGCGCACCTCAAGACTGGGCTGAAGGATGACCTCCAGCAGTTTCTGCAAGCGCAGGAACAGCGCACCGCTGGCTACCAGGAGTCCATTGAGGCCTTCAAACAGAAGGCTGTGGCTCATAGTCGCACAATCACCAAGCAGCAGGCAGTGATCAACCAGCAGGTGGACCAAATTGAGAATCTAGAGAGCGAGATCCAATTGGAGCGCTCGGAAAAGCTGGTAGCCATCAAGGACCTTGAGCAGGCACAAAAAGAAACCAAGTCCTGGAGGAAAAGAGCTTGGGAAGCCGAAAAACGATCCATTGTGCTGGAACGGGCAAATTCACACATAGTTCCGCCTGGTGGCAAGATTGGCAACACGTCTATGCTGCCGATGTTGGGAGGCTATGATGAAAACTGACGACAGTACTTTCACTTCTTGTCTTGCTTTCCCTCGAAATAAGTAGGTGAACGAAGACGATAAATTCCTGTACACTAGAGTAGATCAATTCGCAATAAATTGACTGATCTTTCCACCGTTCCCTCGTGCCTTTGTTTAACTGTGCCTGTGTCAAATTAACACGTGATGTAAGTTGATGTGATGTTTTCTATATAATTCTGTGTAGAATCAGTACAAGAGAGATGATAAGATATACGTACGTATATATATAGATAGATAGATAGAGAGAGAGAGAGAGAGAGAGAGAGAGAGAGAGAGAGAGAGAGAAAGTCATGCTAGCAGATCATTGATACATGATGGGTGCGAGGTAGTGACTCACGATGTATCGTAGAGGTTCATCTCAGCCTGGCGAAGAAGACCTGGAATGGAACCCTGTTGAGGTTCTCTACCTCATTTCTGCATCACGGTCCATCCGCAGTCATAGTCAGCTTACCATAGGTATCCCCGAGTTGCCTGAAACGTAGCTGCATATACTCATCCTCGTGAACGATATGAGTCTGAGGTGCTTAATTCGACTCCTTTTACAGGGATTTCGATCATCTACGAATTCACTCCATTCCCTCTAGGCCCAAAGATGAAAACGCATTTCTTTATTTGTTATATATCAATGTTGAATCGTTCCTTCATTTCGCTGAAAGCACTTCTCGTTTGGTAGGCATTCTCTCTGTAGCAGAGGACCTTTCTAGCGGCCTGTCAACTCATCCTTGCGCTTTTGAAGCAGATGGTAGTATTTCTGCATGTCCATGGTCTTTGTGGGATTGCGATCTCCCTTGAAGCTCCCTGTTCCATGGCCGTCGAAGTGGACCTTCCAAGCTATTCACAGTTAGCACTGGGCATGCAATTCTGGCCAGGTAGGTAAACTCACTGCTGGCATCAAACGCAAGGTAAGACCAGCTGTCGTTGAGGTACGCCTTCTCGCTCCCTACGCGGATGGTCTTGACCTGGCCCATCTGACCCGGCGCAGGTCGCAATTGCTTGAGATCTGCAGCCAACTTTACCAGCCCAGTCACAAATGCCAGCGCAATGTCCTTTGCTACGCACTCGTGGACACCATAGCTGTATGCCGTGACGGGTTCGGACTTGCGGCGAGGATCAAACTTGTCGGCGTTGGCCACCTCCTTGGGGTTCCGCCCAGCCTCTCCCTGTGTACTATTTAGACTTCGTCCTGACCAAAGGGCAGTTGTCGGAATCATCATTGCTGGGGCAACTCAGAACTTACCAGCATCACGACCACGAGATCTCCAGGTTGGACCTTCTGGCCCTGAAGCTCAGTGGCTTGCGTGGCGACACGCACAGTGCGCTGCGAGGTGGTGAGACGCTGTGCTTCGACAATGTATGCGTGCAAAGTATCGTGGTCATCCTTCTGCGCGAGATTCTGGACTTCGGCCCAGATGGCGTCATTCTCGGGTTTGAGAAAGAAGTCCATGACCTCATAGAACTAGATAGCAGTTAGCAACACTTGACTTGGACGCAACCTCACTCCCCATATATATATACTTACCGCTGTCACCGGTACGCCAACGCCACCGAATGCTGTAAGCCACAAGGTGTCGACAACACGTTCAGCCGAGATACCTTGGTTTAGCAACTCTTCAACAAACTGGTACCCGCATGACCGGAGCGAGTCCTTCTTGATGGACCCCTTGCGAGTGGTGTAGTTCGACAGTGTGGAAACGATGCCCAGGCCGTAGCCACGGGAGGCCGAGACCTCGTCAACCAACTTCCGCGTCGTCTGGGTGATGGACGTGACACCCTCCATGGCACGGCGGCGGCGATTCCAGGCCTGGCCAGGATCGTTGTTGTTTGCGCCCCAGGTCCGGATATTGAGAAGGAGGCGGTACAGCTCAGCAGTGCCAAGAGTGCCCGATGGGTTCTCATCAGTTCGCAGATCAAAGTAGAAGAGGTCAGCAAGCAACTGAGCGTTCAGCGGGATGGCAACATCACGTATGATGTCGATCTGGTGCAGACCCTCCTTGAGTTTGAATGCCTCCTGCTCCATCAACTTGCCACCAACGCGGTCGATAAAGGCATGCACGGCCTGGTGAAGCTTCGGCAGCTTTCCAAGAGCCTTCATCACGCTGGCACGGTGCTCGCGATTGCGAGGTTCATCCCCTGCCAGCATGAACCAGCCCATATCTTTTTTCACGGGTAACATGGCGTTGAGCGCCTTGAGCCACGGGACAGCAAACTGCTTTGGGTTGTCCAAGGTCTGCTTGATGGCAGCGCTGGATGTGACAATGATTGGCTTGGGAGGAGCCTTGGGGTCATCCATGGTGTACAGGTCAATCGTGCCAATCTCACGCGCAATCTTCTCGTTCGCCTTCTTCGTGTACATGGGCTGCATGACAGCAATTGAGTTGAACGGGAACCACCCGGGGACGCCACGTTGGATGAGCTTGTACAGCATGGACCCGCCGAGGGTCTTGTAGTCCTGCTGTACCTCATTGTAACCCCAGCTTGTCAGGTTAGAGACGGTGTAGTCGAGCGTATTGAACCGATCAGAGCGTACGAGCGTCACGGCGTCAGAGAGCACAGCCCGGCCGACGGTGTAAGTTGGGCAGATACCGGATCCCGCGTTACGGACAGGCTTGGTGTCTTCGATCATCAGGCCAGGATAGAGCTCGACCATGTCGGGATGCGTGTAGAGCTGCTCGAGGATTCTTGAAATCTCCTGATTCGAGTTGATCTCGGAAAAGGAGTCGTATCGCTTGAGCCCGAAGAACTCGCGGAACTCATTCAGCGACGCGACCTGCCACTTGCGGGCCTGGTTGATGCCCAGGACCTCTACAATCTTGAGGGCTTTCGGCACCATGCGAGCACCAAAGGTTCCGGCAGGGTCCTCCATGGCCTCCTTCAGAACGCGTACGAGGTCCTCGTCCTTGAACGTTCCGTCCGCCTGGCGTTGGAGGCCGTCGAACGTGCGAGTACTCGGGTCTTTGGGGATCTGCTGTTCGAACCGGAGGAGTGCCTGGCCTAGATCGGCCCAGCTGACGTTCTGGAGGTCGTCCGGGTTACGACCTGGGAACAGCTTGAGGAAGAAGCCGTTGATCCAACGCTCGTCCTTCTGAGATATGCACGAGTGGAACCGGTACAGCAGATTGAACTCAACACTGACCTGGTTGCCGACACCGCGTGGGACACCCTCGCCATCGTACTGCTTGCCGATCTCGACACGAGGATCCAAGGTCCAGTCGCTCTTGGAGTGGTGCGTGTTCGTGATGGCACGCAGGTAGTCGTGTAGGCAGATGTTGATATAGAGACCACCGACAATCAGTCGGGCGGTGTTGAACAAGTCGTGGTCCTGCTTGGCCAATGCCTTGGCTCTCTCCTCCGGGCCAGCTTCAGGTCCGGCCACCAAAGAAAAGCGCCCGTTCTCGTTGATCTTCAACAGGATGTCGCAGACATAATTGTGGAAACGGCTGTAGAGGACCAACATGACATTGACGCCAGCAGGCTGCCCCAGAAGACGCTTCTCATGGAACGTATCCGGCTTGAGACGTCCCTCTTTCATGGTCCGAATCTCAAGTTGATCCTTGAGCGACGACCCGTACAGGGGGGCCAGGTCCAGGTAGGATGAAGTGTCCGACTTGTTCATGTCTGTTCGACTAGTACGGAAGATGTCGTGGATGATGATGGATGCGTGGTAGAAGAGCATGGACGAGATGCCGGCCGAGTTCTCCTGGAAGCCTCCCTCCTCGCGAGCCATCAACAGGTCAAAGAGCAAGCCAGGGTCGGGCTTGACACCATGGAGGTTCTTCGTGTTCCGGACAGATTTCGCATACGGCGTTCCTGCGCGGCCCAGGTTGGGCTCGAGGATGTTGTTGAAGCTGCCATCAGGCATTCGGTAGTGGTGCAGTCCATCGGGTGCTTGTGGCACTTGCTCCCGTAGGACGACGTCACTGTCCGGTACTTTGAACTCGATGGTGTCGTAATGCTGAGCTTTTTCTTTGGCCTCATCACCCTGGGGATTTACGACATCATACTTGACATCGCCACCAACGTAGCTCAGCGGCGGATGCTGCAGGTTGCCCCAAAGCGTGTCGATAAGCTTGCTAGTCAATTGCACCCGGGTGTTCGAGGTGGACGGCAGAGAGGTAAGGATTCCAATAAGGAGCTCAGTAGTGCTGATTAGTGTCAGTCATCAGCGGCTAAACTCGTGGTAATTGGGACTTGCCCTTTCTTGTCATCGAGCGGTTCTCCCTCCTGCAAGAGTCCCTTGATGAGACCTACAAGCTCTGGGAGGGATACTTCTTTTTTGACGCCAGCGCCATCTTTCAGCAAGTCAGTCGCAACCTTTAGAGGATCGGCAAAAAAGTTTGATGAAGATGACTTCTTAGCATCTGCGTATGTCACGCCAGCCTGGAACTTTTCATTTGTGGACATTGTGCTTTCTGGTCTGTTGTTGTTTTCGTGTCATTCAAATCTCCAGACTCAAAGAGAAGACATCTTTCGTTTGTCTGTTTACAACTGGCCATAACTATCTATATACGGCTTCCCTTTTCCCCGCTTCAGATCTCGTAACGTCTAATGGCTCTCCTCTGCTGCACGCTGCCGTGGTGCAGGAGATGAGAATGTGTGTCTGACTTCAGCTTCTTGATCACCAGATATCGACAAACACACAACACCTGATTCGCCGAGTGGTGGCTCACCGCTGTCTCGGTATAGCGGGCTCATGTATAACAACAAGGGACGTCGACTATCGATCAGCGCGGAATGGCGTCCCGAAAAAGCAAAATCAGAGACACGGGTTGGACCGTGTTGATGCTCCGCTCCTTTGCAGTTTCAAGGGACCTCTGAGCTTGACTTAAAAAGCAATCTATGCCGCAACTTTGCTCGGGCTACTGACATTGAAGGAACTGCTTCTCGTGCCTTGATAATCCCCACATCCTGAAGTCTCCTCGAGTCTCCAAACATTGGAATGTCGAGACCTATATAACGCGTATATAGCGAGTATGCAACTCCATTCCCAGTGCTTCGGTAAACAAGCCGAACTGAGATTGGCGGTCTAGATATGACCCGCGCACTGCTCAAATGTCAATTCGATCCCGTAAGAGCTTGCTTTGATTGGGGTTCAAACAGATCGCGTAATTAAAAGAAACACTTGCAGCGATATGCAGATCTGCCAAGATCTTGATAACCAAGCAGAGCAGCATTGCTGGGCAGGTATGGATAGTTTTATCAAGACATGTCTCATAGAGGTTTCGCCGTCCCGCGGGGGCCTGCTGTTGTGGCTGGCTGGCGAGGGACGTACAGGGTGAATGTCTACGCAATATTGATTACTATCCACACTGAGACAATTATTCTTGGCAGAATTCACTTCAACGTGGGATTGATTGACCTTGAAGATCAGCGACAAGACGAAAATATCATATGTGCTACTAAAAGAAATTCCCTTCCACACCTAGGGACGAAGACCCTGACAGCCCAACAAGCTTGACGACTGACAGCGGCAACACGAACGCCGTGTAATACATCAGTGTAAACCATCTATCTGACTGTGGAAAATTGCCAGCATGGGTGACCTAGGAGAATGTCCCCAGGAGCCGAAGAAGCTGATCCTCTGCTTTGACGGCACCGGCAACACGTTCAGTGGGTCTAACGCTGACACCAACGTGGTCAAGATTCTTAACAAGCTGGACCGCAATGATCCTCACCAGTACCATTATTATCAAAGTAAGTAGCGACATCATGTGAGCCTCTCCGTGACTTACACTGTCATCAGCTGGAATTGGTACCTACGACATCAATGAGAAGTCGGTGAACAAGACGTGGCTGGGCGAAATGCAGAGCTCAATCTCCCAGACCATCGACCAGGGAATCGGCACAACCTTTGACGCACACGTTATCGCTGGGTATCGTTTCCTGATGCGTTACTATGACTCGGTAAGCATGATTTCTTTATTGTGCCGTGGACGACTCGGGGCTTGGAGCTGATATACAGGGTCCAAGGGTGACAAGATCTACATGTTTGGCTTCAGCCGCGGCGCATTCACTGCCAAGTTTCTGACGCGAATGATCCACACGGTGGGCCTGCTCTGCAAGGGAAACGAAGAGATGGTTCCCTTTGCGTATCGTCTATACCAGCGCTACCTGGCTGGAGAGATCAAGGACTACCAAGCCGCGCATCCCAGGGCGGCCGGTGGTGCATCTGAGAGCAGCGGCACGAGCGACGGGGACCAAATACTGGATGGGAGTGCAGAGGACGAACACGGCGAAGACTACAGCATGGCACAGGACGAGATCACCGCATTCAGCAACACCTTTTGCCGCAAGGAGAAGCGCCCCAACTCGTCTGGGCATGTGGAGGAAACCGACATCAAGGTATACTTTCTCGGCATCTGGGACTGCGTCAACTCGGTTGCGGTGCTGGAGCAAAACGGGCCGCTGCCCGTACCTGTGAAAGGCACGGCTCAGTATGTTCGACATGCCGTAGCTGTAGATGAACGCCGCGTCAAGTTCAAGGCAGCGCTGCTTGCCCAAGACCTGAACGGCAATGGCCCGAATGGTGAAAACATCAAAGAAGTATGGTTTCCGGGATGCCATGGCGACGTTGGTGGTGGATGGCCCGCAATCCATGCGGATACCACCACTGACAAGGCTGCGGCATCGACAGAGAAGCCCGGGTGGTGGCAACGGATCAAGAGCTTTTGGACGACCGAGAAGCCACAGGGCGCTAGCAAAGATGTTCGCCAGGATCCCTTCCAGATGAGCGACATTCCGCTGGCCTGGATGATTCGCGAGCTGGAGTTGGTCGGCAAGGAGGATCCTTCTGCCGCCGTCAAGTGGTGCAAGAGTGTCACGGGTTTCAAGAGCCGGTTCAACAAGACGGGGAAAACGCAAGCTCTCAATGCACCAATTCACGACTCGCTTTTGTTCGGGCGGGGGACTGGTTTCTTTACGGTGTTGCTATGGAAGTTCATGGGCAGGTACTCCCAATTCCCGTCTCTGACCTCGAGACTGACACCAGAACTTGCAGAATTCCTGCCCATCATTAAGCGATGGGAGATCGAAAAGGATCAATGGGTAAACGTCCGTTTCCCGCTCAACAAAGGTGCTACGCGTGACATCCCAAAGACTGCTGTACTTCATGAATCGCTGATATGGCGGCTACGCAACGAGGCATCTTGCTATCACCCCCCAAACAACCATGGTGGGTGGGGATCGCCATGTTTGAAACCTGACAGCGGTCCTGTCGATTTCGAGCTCCTGGATGACGGGCTCGATAACCCTCATCACAAGACGTACAAGATTCGGAAGAATGACTAGTCATCGCGCACTATCAATCAGTCCCGTAGCACAAGTTTGACGGGTCCGGAGAGGTATGATCCGTGTGACGCTCCAAATTGGCAAGGAATGCTCATATACATCAGGTACATACGGAGGACATATTTTGGGGACCATGCCAAGGGCGGGCTTTCGGTTGCAGTCTCGTATATCGCTTAGCATGCGTGAAGTATAGGATATATCGTCGTTCAGCCATCTGATGACCGGCTCTTGTGGTTCTCTTCGGCGTCAGTCGCTCCCCACCGTGACTTATTTCTAGAATCCATTGACTTGTAGTGGAAAACATTCTCAGTGCTGAGTAAACCACAAAGTAGAGCCTCGTTATTTCGCACTCAATCTTGGTCTGTGTCAGAACAGACACCGTCGTTGCCTTGTAGATCCGGCATGGTTCCGGCTAGTCGGTTTCACTAGTAGCGAGCGAGTTGAACTGTTCTTCAAAGTCGGCATGACGAGGTCGTCATGTGATTGCTGGCTTGTCACCATTCGTATACGTGCGAGTATGAAGCACCCTTGGCACCCGCGAACTGCCATGGACAGAAAATGGTGACTCTGTTGTTGTAAGCGGATCATCAATCTTCAAGGAAAGGCAATGTGCGACTCGAGCCCAGTTGCTGCAGGAGACGTTCGCGAATGACGGCACAAAGAGTTGTTTCATAATCTAGCGATCTATTCGTAACTCGCAGCTGGAAGACAGTACAGCTCGTTAAATACAGTTTCACGTGGCAATCATCCTTCCAGCCCTGTGGAGGAACATTTCTCTTGGCAGCGCAACAAGATAGTATTTTCGCTCCCTTGCAGTAGAGAAGACGTCAAAAGGAAATTATCAGGTCGAATGTTCCAATCATGGTCGTCCTTACGCCTTGCGATACCTGGCTAGTGGCAATGTGGCTGGAGCTACAAAGCCAAAGGATGTTACACATACTTAAGGAAAAAAGCCTTGGAGAGAGATGAGAGAAAGCACGTCATATGAGTTGAATGATTTGGCACCATTAGGTCTTTCAGAGGAGAGTGGCGCACAAAAGTCGTTGCCAGTGTAGTTGATCGGGTGTTTGCTTCTTTCAGAATTTCAATATTTTCGTACCAGCGGGTGAATTCATCCACTGGGGTAATTTGTCTGTATCTTTCGCCAAGAAGCATCGCCACCAAAACTCTCGGGGGCTTCCAGCCATGATGTCGGATGTGTTGAATAGATCTGCGACTGGGCTGCGCGGTGTGCGGCTGAAAGAAGAACACATATTTTACCAAAGGAGTCGGAGTTTGATAAGGCCTGCCGCCCCCCTTTCTCTATCATGTCGCAGATCCTGCTTTCTGGTCATGGCGGTATCCAACTTCCTTCCATCGCTTTAATGGGAGATTAAAGACCTCAGAGAGCATCAAGATGGGTTTACAACCGCTTCCGAGGCCGTGGATTGGCCTCGCATTGATCTCGCTTGCACTCATCTGGCTCATCCGGCTCCTCTCCTCCTCGCACAATCGCCACGCTATAGACGGCGTGGTACCTTCGATGCCAAACGACGTTAAACTCACGGACAAGCCTGCAGAAACTCTGGTACCGCTTACGTCTCCATCTCGCGCTCCTCCCGCTTATGACGGGCCCCCGATCCCTCGCAAAATATGGCACATCTTCTTCCCTCTCAACGACGTAGTTACCGATAAAAATGTCAAGTTCGTCGCTGACTGGATCAAGAGTGCCCCTGGATACACCTATACACTCTTGGGTGCCGAGGGTGGTTCTGCCCTAATGGCAGCGTATTATGGATCAGAATCCGAGCAATTCGTCCTATTCAACCAACTTAAAAACCCGGCGCTCAAGTCTGACCTCCTGCGCTACCATGTGCTGGCTGCAGAAGGAGGCTACTACGCTGATGTTGACACCCGGCCTCTGCTGCCAATACAGGACTGGATAGATTCAAGTCTACGGCCCAAGGTCCGGCTCGTATGTGCGCCCGAGTTTGACGTGGGGATCACGCCTGAGGAGAATCCTCTCTATAACATACGTTTTGGACAATGGGTTATCGCTGGAGCGCCGGGCCACCCGGTCCTGCAGCGCATGGCCCGGCGGGCCCTGGATGGCGTGCGGGACTTGGCGAAGGCGGCGGGAACAACGCTTGACCGTGTGCGGCCAAACAATATCCAGGTGCTCAACGCTACCGGCCCATTGCCATGGACTGAGGTCATCTGGGACTACCTGCGCGAGGTGGACCCAACTCTCCTGACGGACTACAGCTCCATAAGCCAGCTGTCTGAACCGCGGCTGGTTGGCGATGTACTGGTCATGCCCATCGTTTCTTTTCGTGCGCCGACAAAAGAAGAGGCCCCGTGGTTCGAGGAGCATGGTGACCACAGGGTCTTGGAGCATCACATGCAGGGCACCTGGAGGTTTTGGAAGCCACCTCCAGAGTAGTCGTTGAATGAAGACAGTGCTTTGCAGGATATCCATAGACTGTTGGTTATAGACTGTTCAGGGACATTTCATAGGTGTTTAGACATGAGAACGAGGCAAGCGAATGAGGATTTTTCTAAGTTGAACTTTCGAATGAATGCTGAGCTTCAAAGATCACACTCGAATTGCAGCCCAATACTTCGAGGAGTCTACCACGAACGAGATCGACCAGCCGATGTTTGACGAAAGCTGACTGTAGACTCAACTCCAGACAGCGCAGTCCAGGGGCTCCAATTGGGTTCTTCAATTCTCGTTAGATCTATGAGTTCCAAGAACCTGTCATGTTGCCAGTCAGTTAACCCGGACTTGAGTCACTAGCCCAGGCGAGTTGTGATCTGTTGACAACAAAGCTGTGTCAGACGGTACTGGCTTTTGACGAATGGACTGGAACCCGATCAAAGAACTAGGTGGTCTGCATTGTGACAGCTTGTGCCATCATGTTCAATGATGGGCTCACAGGGCTCCGCGATGGTCGGCCTCTGTGAGGTTCTGTACCCAACCTCCGGTAGGATCATTCTGGACTGGCATTCCAACTGCTTGGTGTGATGATATCTTCTTTCACGTGGCGCCCTTCTATCATGTGTTCACACTCTTAGCCATGAAAGGAGCTCCTCAATTACTAGGTTACTTCTAGATGTCACTGGAGAAGTTGGGCTAATGCGCGGAGGTAGCTCGAAAGAGTTTTGCTGTGCGGCATGGAGGATACCTGAGATCTTCCCAAGCGCTCAAGCCATGTAGAACAGGTTGCTGATAGGAAATAGGACAATCCAGTTGCAATCGAGATGAAAGATTCGTAGTGGATGGCGACCCTATGACCACGAGTGCTTTCTTATCGAACATAAATAGTCATCTCCTTCCGGTAAATGTTTCGGTTACCTATACGGCCCATTCTCAGCAGCCACACTGTTGAGTCTGCTATTCAGCTTGATCCATGGGAGGTCCCGTGGCAAGCTACGTTTACTTGTGATTGCAGCAGAGACGTAACATGTGGACGTGAGACTAGCTACTTGAAGTTGGTGCCATGAGTCGCCAGCGCTCTTCGCAGTGTCGCAACCGGTTGAACTGGTTGGAGTTGCCTTATGATTGATTCATCACATCGCAGTGGTCGGTTATATTGCAGGGAATTGGTAGTCCTATACACGAATGGCCACGAAGCAGAGACTCAGGGGCATCATGGATTGGCCAAGGGATCAATTTGTGTACGCACTATCATAGCGTGTATCTGTTGCGGTCTCCATCAGTATACTCCGGCTGTATGCGTCATCATGTTATAACAACATAGATCGTGTTCCTAGCACCAGCCAATCACAAATGTTCCAAGCTGCTCTTAGTCCTCTTGCCAAAGAGCAGGCCACTGCGAGGTCAGATCAACGTACAGTCTGCATCCCCTCATCACAGACCTGGTATTTGACTGCCCAGTGATCCTCAATTCTCTTGTTGCAAAGGCTCATGAATATCTCAACACCATCAGCATCAGCCCCCTTGAAGTGCGACTCTTAGCTCGTCACCCATCCTCCAATCACGGTTGAAGTCGACAAGCCCAAGGACATACCACCCTGGACGCTGCAAATTCCTCTCGCCGAAATCTTCTTGGGGAGGGAGAGGTGAGGCCGCCTGGCAGAGCGGCGACTGGGCGTTCTGGGAGCACAAATTGTTACGGTCAACTGCCCAATCGCGCCTCCGCCGGCACCCAGATCGAAGGAAAGCTTCTTCAGGGTTGGCAGCTTTGGGACCATACGAACAAGCGAGAGGACCAAAGGGCCAAAGGTTGACGGATCGGGCGTATCGCGGAAGCAATTCTGCGGCAACTTTCCGTCTGCCCTCAGCCACTCATTCTTTGGCACGAAATCGGAATGGTCGGAGTGCGCCGAGTTGAAAGATGCATGCGAGACATCTGAGTCCGAGTCCTCAATGTCGTCATCTCCATCTCTTGGATGATCTCCAGTGTTGATCCATTCACCGCTGGGTGTAGTTACTGAGAGTTCGAGATGGAGTTCGGTCATGGTCGAACTGATAGTCTCTACTCCAGTCTCGGTGGCGTCGAGAAAGGCAATAGGAGAGAGAATCCAACATCCACCTAATTACAAGTTGGAAAGAGCGGGGAAACATAAAAGACGTTGGACCGTTAGACTCATATCATCCTCTTCTTCTTTCTCGCAGTATGATTCAAGCTCGAAGTTGTCTTTGCATAGGTTGCCATCCTCTAAATGGATCTTCAAGATTTCCACAGATGGAAACCGGGTCTTTGACAACAGCTGGGCCAGCGCGGACCTGAATTCCTTGCGCAAGCTTAACAAACGGCGCCCAGGCATCAAAAACCCCCATGTCATATCTTGAGCTTTGGGTAACGCAGCGACGATTATTTCTGCAGTTTTCGGGTGCAGAGACCTGCCGTTCTCCGATAGCCACCTGAAATCGAGCTTGGATACATATCCAACCTGGGGTAACACTCCCAAAGATAACGTGCCTTCATCGACCATCAGAAATTTCCAGAAATTTCGAAATCTCCAAATCTCCGGCCCACCATGGTTGATTTCAATATCATCGAGCACCTCAGCGTCGTCCGAAGGGGATCTTGCCTCGAGAGTTGTGGAGACTTCATTGCCTTGACATGCTCTGAGCCGGTCGAACAGGTCGAAGATGCCTTGCGTGAAAGCAACTTTGTTGGCGGCAGCCTCGAGACTGCTCTGCAGCTTTTTAAGCCGCTTTGCACTGACCGGCGGCAGCACAACTTCATAGACAATGTCTCGTACAGACTGCCGCTGACGCTTCCGTGGAACACCCTATCAAACCTCTTCAAGCAATCCTTAGTACTGTTAATTCGGATTTTAGAGGCCATTACGCTCGTTAGGACAGACTGTGACCCAGGCTCGGACAGATTCTGATCGCTCCCGTGGAGCGACAGATCAAAAACATCGCCCTTTGCCCCCATTTTGTCCTGTTGAAGTCTGTCCATCTGTATCCTGATGACATGTTTCTTTACGTCACGAGACGGCAGTTGCCCTCAACGCTGTTTCAGCTCAGCTTGACCGAGTCAGCGGGGCTGGTAAGATTTGCCGTACGAGTTGTTCCGTACTGAGTACTGTGTAGGAAGCGTGAAAGTTCCACCTCTATCTGAATGACTGTGATCCATTTCCGTAGTCTGGATGTTGACATCGTGAAACAAAAGAACGAAATCGAGATTCCCGTCTTTATCTCGATAAGACACAGTCTACCGTGGTTCTAATCACTGTCACGTGAGTCCCTCAAGGCGGCTGGTCGCTATACTGGTATGCTCCGGGACGGGTTCATGTCGTCTGTGCCCCCACAAAGAGGAGCACTTGATAATTCAAACTCGCGTGGAAACATTATCACTAGAGATATCCTTTCATCACTGCTCAGATAAGGCGCCGGCACTATAGACTGACTGGGAGCCGATCGGAAGACTAACTGGGATTCCAAACCTGCAAGCCTTCGAGCGTAATATTCCACACTTAAGCTACCAGGTTACAGTGAGATCCCAGACGCTATGCGGGCTGCCTGCCTGTACATGTGGTGCGATGGTCGAATCTTGACTTGGTCTTTTCCTGGTTCAATCTATGTGGTATGGCCCACCCTTGCAGGATTGGCTCTTTCCTGCTCTGATGCAAGTGAGATCCGTCGCAGCCAACCTTACTTGCGTCGAAGATGTGTCTCCAAGGCCGGACAACCACTGCGTAAAGTCTTGCCGATGGCAGTGTGTCGTAGTACGATCTGACATGTTTTGATTTTGAATCTGTTTGGATCTTCGAACGATGTCAAAGACTCTCATACTCCACACCGACACAAGGCTCCTCTCACTGAACCAATGTTGACGAATCTTCCTATATCGGACATATTTGAGCAGCGACAATCGCCAGGTCACTGTCACGTAATTTCCTTGCCATTCCACTGACCTCTCTTTTCGGGACTGAGCTACGAATTCCATCTACTGCTTCTTTCGACGGACCAGTGTGACACTGCTCATAAAGGGAACCAGTCAGCTGTGGATGCTGTCATGTAATATTTCTCTCAACACCACGTCTTATGAAGGACGTTAATAGAGAACGGAACAGGGAGCCGTACGGGTTGATGTCGATCGTGGTAGACACAGTGTCTGGTGAAGATAAAGGCAACTCCTATCTACGCTGATCGATCCATGGAACACCTGACGCTCCTGTCTACATATGAAGACAGTCCCCTGTCGACAATGAACTACAAGGTCTGCCTCCTTGCTTCTCTTCACGTGGAGTTGTAGGCATGGACGAAGGGTCTTCAAGGTAGATATCGTCAAACCGCATATCTGCCGCCGCCAACACCTCCCATAAAGGTGCGAACTGTCTCATGAGGATCAATGAAGATTGTCATATAGATGTACTGGCACCGTTTAAGTGTCGGTGAACCGGGGTCGCAATATGTCATGTGCGAAAGCGTATCAAGCGTGACAAAATCGACAACACATACCTGATCTAGAACTGCTAATGGTCACATGTAAGAGCTGGACGTGGGTATGACTTCAAGGTTGATACTGGTGCCTGTCACACGGATACCGAGACCACAAGCAGTGACACCCTCCTTATGCCGATCACTCTCGGCGATCAAGCCGATGATATGTCCATAACTGAATCAGAACCAGCAGCTGCTCGGTACCAGGACATCGCCAGGTAGTGATGCTAGATCTAGATATAGGTTTGAGCACCTGCGTAGTTGACTTTCAAAACGAGCCAACTACACAGCTTTCCCTTTTGTTACCTGCCTGTGCCATAAGGAGCATTGAATAGTCTACTATACTTGAGAATAGTGAACACTGGCTGTTTCTTCAGACTCAGCCCTTCTTGCTCAGGTTCAATTTCCTCTGGTCTGTCGCCGTTCAAAAACTTGAACTTGTGATGAGCATAGTTGTGATCTAGTCGATTTGCTTTGGTCTCGGCTCGGATGACTTTCTTTCTCCATGGCGGCTGCGATGTCTTCGTTATTACCTGCTTGGGATGTGGCGAAGAACGATGTGGCTTGATGGGGATGTTTGACTTACTATGCCTGCTGGCTGCGATGCCAGCTTTTCAATTGCGTCATCCACCAAGGCGTCTGCCTTCTCTTTGATCGCTTTCCAGACGAGAGCATCGAGAACCGCCTCGGCCTGATGGTAGAGCGATCTGTGGAAGGGGTAGAACATGTAACTTGCACATGCCTGATCATCCAGGAGGACGGATATGAACTCATTCTTGATGGTGTATTCGAGAGAGTAGACGACAGCTGGAAAATCATGCGCAAGCAGCAGCATTTCCGCCTGAGACGCAGCTTGTCCGGCTGTCCTATGGTCCTGGTTCAGTCTCTTTGTGGTGTCGCCCAGCGAATTGTACACGTCGAGCATCAACTTAGGATTGTCGCTGCTGAGAATCTTGTCAGAAGCATCCCTGACTTCTTTGACCAGCTTCTCGTCCATGGTAAAATAGTCGAAATTGTATTGATTGCCAGGAGTATAGCGATCGTAGCGTATAGGCTGGGAGAAGTCGTTGCAGCGAATCTCGAGACGTCCTTGCGGAGACCTCGGATTTTCTTGCAGCAAAGGGCCGAGCTTATCATGAAGCTTTTGTTCTCGGCGGTAGAAGTCTTGCCATGCCATCTCATATCTGGGAATCGTGTACTGTCAGCATAGCCATCCACCCCAGGCGGCTTCAAGATTGCGGACGACTTTTCCATTTACCTTGTCATGAGAGAATTGGTCTCAGATGTACCAAATATGAGATTCTCCAAGTTTTGACTGGTCGAGAACCCTGACTTCTGGTCTGCTGGCAAAAATCCTCCCCAGGAGAATGCTGCCAGGTGCAACCACTGTCTGTATCAGGATCATAGCTCGACTTGGGGCATCCAAACACGTGCTCACATACCTCGCTCGAGAAGAAACCAGACGACATTCGTTGCTTTTCCCATTCCAGAGTTGTCGCTATCTACAACAGCCGTTAGTTTCGCAGGAACTTGGCCCAAGGGCTGTCATCTTACGTCGCTGGCCGAAACGCCTCCCATGACTGCGGCTTGAGTGAGCTGAGAGGCACGCTTTCCCGCGGCTGCGGCCATCTTTGCCTGCCCTAGCGTGATGTCGATGGCTGTCTGGCCGTGTAAGAAATTGTACGTTTTTACCTGAGAACCCAGGCCTTGGAGACGCTTGTCTTTGAGAGCTTTGCTTATCTTCCGGCGGTTGAACTCAGCCATAGTGGCCTCGTCATCTTCCTTCTGCTGCAAGTTAAGTCCGTACTTCTTTCGTTCGTCAAGGCTCAATCCGCCTTGAATTTTGAGGTCTCGCTCGCCCACTTTCAGCATGAGATTATTCAAGGTGTTACATGTGTCTCGATCCTTGAAGGAAATGAACTTGCGGATGGGATATGTCTCTGTTTTTGCCAGCATCATCATGTACGAGTGCCAGTCATCCTCGTGAATCCAAGTAACAAAGAACTCGAAAGGGTCTACTGACATCTGCACAAGGATAAGATTGCGGAGCTGAGATCGTGGGACATGGGGCACGAGACTCACCAAATTATACCCCGGGGGCTTTTGTTGCTGGTCAAATTTATGGTCATAAAGCCTCAATTCCCATTTCCCGTCGTCGCTGCCTGGGGTCATTTTGTTCTTGATGTTGGTCTCATTGGCTTCCTGTATCAAGATCGAGAGGAACTCGCTGACTGTCCTATCGAATCGTGATCTTATCAGGCCTTGGCGCTTGTCCAGAGGTTGAATAAGGAGCGGCTTGTCGAGCGGCATATCACAGTGACGCGTTGGCTTGAAGGACTTTCCACTACCCAAGCCGAGGATCTTTCGAACATGTGCTGTCCAACTATCAGATGTGTTGCGGTAGGGATCAACCTTGATGTGAAGATCATCATAGCCACCATTTTGCAGCCTGACCCTAATTTTGGGTTTTTGTTCCTTGCTCGCATCGGACAATGTCCAATCGCGGGGGATCTGGTCAAGGAGGTATTCATCAGTCCAATTGGAGACCCTAAGATCACTGGTCAGTCAAGGGCCTTGCGGAGGGGTTGGAAAATTAATCATACTTTGGCGGAGCTTGGGCCGAAGCATCATCATCATCATCATCATCATTGCTCTGCGTGAAGCCGTTGGCTAGAAGCGAAGAGCCCAAGTCGAGAACAGTCTTGAGAGGAACGAAGACGAGGCCGGTGGCCTCGTCTGTTGGACCCACTTGGAAATACTGCTGGGCATCAAATGCAATGGCTCGGGACTTTTCTTTTCCAAAATACCATAGGCTTTCTGTGCCTAGCATGTGCCGGTTCCATGAGGTCGCCGCTTTCTCCTGATTGCGTGTCAACATTGTGCTGCGAGACAAGGAAGAGTGAGGAACTCAGATTCTGGAGAGTTCGTCAAAGACGTTGATCTACAGATGTTGAATTGAGGTCAGACGGGTAAAGGTAGAGGCATGCGCACTAGGTGAGCCGAAATATATGAGAGACCTCTTATATCAGTCTCGGATATCGCAGCCAGTCAATGTGCTTGCGTACGCACCTCATGGACACTTGTCTTTCTGTTCATTATCATGGGTTGACAAAGGTTCGCGTTCTAGGCTGCTATAGGAATCGATACAACCTTTTAGCGATGACCTTTCTCGTCGTACATGCATGCTAAAAGTGGGGCCGATATTATAGAACTATTGCTCCACTCCAAATTGTGGCTGGCTGATGCATGGCCCAGATCATACAAGTTGTGTGGAACAGACCGCAAAACGGCTGCGGGCCGTGCGGATCATGAGGATCGAGTTTCGGGGTCCCCCGCAGCTGAAAACCTCTGGCGCAACCATCGCAACCTAAATAAGCAATAGCAAAGCCTAGACTGTGAAATTACGCGTCGTGGGAAGAAGAATCCTCCGACACCAAGAGTCTCGATTCTTTTCAGCAACATTTGTTCCGTTTGCTTCGGGCGAGGCTCTCTGTTTTCGGCCATGTTCCTCTCAGCTGAGCATGGCTCCATGGCTCGACGGGCGTCAGGCTCTGGGCTATATGTCTTGTTCTGCATGGATATTGGCTCTAAAATGTGATAGAGGCTGACACAGAGCAGCTTGGCAAGATATTCGAGCGCGTATCCCAAGCTTCGGGCAGTCACTCTTTGTATTTGACCTGTCGGTTGGAAAGACATCTTGTTGAGTACATCACTTCACCCTCAACGTCCCATCGCCTCCCTCAGGACTGCCAGTGTATCATATCATAGTCTTTCCCCAGTAGTTTGAAAGTAATGACATGAACACAAGAATTTCTCTTTCGACTTGTCATAAACTTTTACATTTCCAAGGGCCATGGGTTCTACTATGGATCTCGACAACCTGAAGCGCAAGCGCTCCTTCTCCAGCGATGAACACGATGATAGCCCACCGCTGAAAGCATTGAAACAGCAAGTTGTTCGGGGAGATTTCCAAGGACTGAAAGGCGCAGCATCCTCGCTTTTAGGTGAAGCAGGTCAACAACTCCTTCAGCTCGTCGGACAGGACCGATCATCCCCTGGGTACGATATTGGGGGGGCCTGGGTCACAAACCTCCGATCAGTCGCCTTCGATGCCAGTGGCAATGAAGTCCCCTATGAGCTGTCACCGGACAAAGGTCTTGGCTCGGCTCCTGGGTCATGGCAACACGGACTGCCCACTCCAGATCCTTCGCCCTGGCCCAAGGACACCGACCCTTTCCTGAAGGCTGCGAGCCTCAGTTCGACCGTCGCAGGCACTCCAGCTGGCCTGGAGAGCTTGTCCAACTCGGCCTATGTGGGCGACATGAAGCTTTTCGGTCTCATTCCATCCAAAATTTATCTCTATGAGCACGTCGGCAGTATTCTGCACCCGTACAATGAGGAAATCAGGATTACGCCAGATGGATCTCTCTCGCTTGGCACTTTCATGCCCTCGCTCAAAGGCAGCGAGTGGGATATGATCGCACTCGAGAATCCCATCCTCGGCTTCCAAGAAGAGGTCATGTTGGACGGAATCACGAGCCGCATGAACGGGCTCTATTTCGAAACCGACCTCGTCTTCCGAGGAGCCTTGCAGCCCGTGTCGGATTTCCTCCACGAATTCTTCCAGCAGCAGAAACCCGCCATTCGTTTCAGCGCTTGGCTGGGTGAGACACGCGACTATGCGAGGCCTTTATCCCTTCCTTCCTTCGTGCTTCGCGGCTCTCTGGAGCATGTCTCGGTCAATGTGCTAGACATCTTGACGTTTCGACAAATTGGTGTCGAACTAAGTGGCTACAAAACATACAATCTTGACAAACGCGGAAGTAGCTGGCAGTTTGAGTATGGCTTCTTTGGCAACCTGGACCTCAATGTTCCTGGCAGTGTGGTTCCTCTGCAGGTTCAATACTATCTCCGCAAGTCGTTCAACGGGTGGCTGCTTCAGCTCCGCCTTCAGGATGACGAGTGGAATGACATCTTTGGCATCAAAGACCTGAAGGCAAGCTTTCCCCGATATTTCCAATCAGTTCACAATTGAAGCGATGCTAATCTTCCGTCCGCGACCTCAGCTATCCGATGTCCGATTAGAAGCTCAGATCCGTACTTCCTCTGAGCAAAAGCAATTATCAGTAGGAGTCGAAGCGAACCTGCAGCTGAGGAAAACCAAATTCGGCGTGCGTGGTTACTATTCCAAAGGTATTTCTCCAAGTGTGCCACCGATACTACTTGACAACTGTGCAATCTGACAGATCCTCTACTGTTTCCAGATTTCTATTCCATCGAGGCCTATCTAGGCGATTTGACGTTGCACGATGTCGGAGAGATCTTCCATGAGCTCATCGGGATGGAGATTGATGGCTTTTCTCACGATGTCGCGCTGCGATCCATGAGTCTCTGTGTGTCCTCGGAAGGATTCACGCTCAGAGGAGAGGTGACGGTCAACGGCCACACGTCCACAAGTGGCTGTTTGGCCTTTACGCGAGATGGTATCACCGTCCAAGGTAGTGTTGGCGACATCGAGTTCGAGCATGTTATCATCAAGGCCGCATCGCTAGACGTCTTCATTGCGAGCAAGCTGGATACTCAATGCGCACGGGCATCCAAGGTCGACATATTCGGCCATGTCAACATCCATGGGGTGGAGCTCAAGGCCGCACTGCACACGGAGAAAGCTCAGGACGGAGAGTTTCGCTGGACCATCTATGGTGAGGTTGAAGGCGATGTCACGACAAGCAAGATTGTCCCGGGTCTCAAGGACACTTTCCTGGACATCTCACTGAACAGATTGGCGCTGATTGCCTCAAATCACGAGGCCCCATTGGGTTCCTACAAAGGAATCAACTATCCAGTGGCCAAAGGTTTTCAATTCTGCGCCAGTATTGACAGCATTCCCGAGCTCGAAAAACTCATGCGCGGTAGCGTAAAGGGCATGGTGTTCCGCGCGGCACTGGTCAACGGACAATTTGCGTTGAGCATTACGTTCCCGGCAGATCGCACCATCACTTTTGGCGACCATGTGTATACTGGCCCGCTCATGATCGAAATCGCAAAGTCGGACCTTGAGTTCCATTTGATCCTCAAAGCCCTCCTCAACATCAAGGTCGAGACTCAACCCAAACCTCTCCAGTTCTCTCTCGGTCTGAAAGCTAGCTATTCCGGCGCGGCAGCGTATGCACAGATGTTGACGGACTGGACAAACCCGTGCAACGTCGGCAAGCAGGTTACTGTTCGGGGCTGTGCCCTTGAGTTTGGCATCGTTTATTCCACCTTCTTCACGACGGGTATGCCGGGCGCCATTGGTCTAGCTGGGCAGATCATGATCGGAGAAAAGGAAGCGAAACTCGCCATGAAGCTCAGCCAGAACCCTAAGGAGCAGATCCTCGTCGCAGCCGTCAAGGATCTCGGCGTTGTTGACCTTGTCAGATTCGCCTCCCAAATCTGCGAGCATGAGTTCCCAGAGCCAGATGACTTCCTGCATTTCAATGACGTGCAGCTATACCTCTCCACTGGCGCCTCGATCGGTGAGACCTACTACGCACCGGGTGCGTCGCTCAAAGGCGACATGACCATCTTTGGCAAGAGAGCCAAGTTTGACTGCACGATCGGCAGTATGGTCAAAATCATGGCTACCATCGAGCAATTTGAACTGGGACCTCTCAAGGTTAGAGGCTCCACCAGCGATGATCCTATCGTCGATATTGAGCTCTCCACGTCGAAGCAAAAAGTCCTCATTGATGGTGCTGTGGATCTCTGGGCACTATCAGCCGCTCTACATCTCGAAGCTGAAGTCTACCCGAAGCCCAAATTTGAGTTCTGGGTCGATGTCTCGCTGTCCGACCGGGTAAAGTTCAAGCTCGAAGCGAAGCTTACCGGTGATATTGATTTCAGAGATCTTTCGTCGCTGGCAAATGCCGATTTTGCAATCTATGGCCTGATGGAGCAGCATATCCTTGACAACATCATCGACATGCTTGACAAACAGATCAACTCGATGCGCGACCACGCAGATTTCAACGAGGCCAGGCGGATACTCTCAGATAAGGAGAATGAGTTCAATGCATCAGTGCAAGCCGCTAGCAGTCAACTTGAAGAAGTGAAACGGCGCTGGGAGAGCAAGGAACAGGACCTCACCTCGGCGTTGGAGCGCGCCAGGTCGGAGGCGCAGAGCTACAAGCAACAGCTAGAGGACAATCTTGCTACAGCGGAAAAGTCGTATGCCAGCGCCGTCGTCGCTGCTATTGCAAATCTAGATCAAGTTCGTCACGATGCTGCCGTCACTGTCCACCTAGCCGAAACAGACCTTCAGCGAGCGCAGTCACAGAGCGAGGAGGCAGTCCGCCAGGCACAGAGCGACCTCAACGAGAAGCGCATTTCCTTCAAGTTCATGTTTGGAAGCGCTCGCTCTGACCTAGAGCAGACGAGGAAGAGTGTTGACCAGGCTATCATGGCCAATGCTGCGATCACAAGAGAGCTGGAGGACCTTGACCATCGCCTCAACGAGGCGCCCATCCTGGACATGCCGATGCTCCTGGCAGAGCAAGCAGTCAAGGCTGCAGAGCAAGCCATTACGGCCGCAGCGTTGGAAGCCGCCAAAGCCATTTTCGAGGCTGCAGAGCTGGTCATTCAGGGGTCAGAATACATCGCTGCAGAGGCTGTGATTGCTGCTGATGAAGCATCTCTGGATTCCCTGATCGGGTCAGAGGCTGCTTCATTAAGTACCGCCAAGGCCGCTTTTGAGGAGCTCAAGTTCCGTCAGGAGGAAGCCGTACGCTGCGCAGCTCAGGCTTTGGAGGATGCCGAGAAGCGCTCTCCTGAACTAGAGACATCCACACGAGCCAAAGCGGTGCTCGCTGACAGTCAGACTGTGATGGACTCCATAATCTCGCCCGCGGAGAAGGCCTTCAACGGAAGGTTCAAGTGCACAGAGTATCTTGCCGTGGCCACAGCCGAAAAGGCCCTCGCAGCAGCCCAGAGCAATACGGTGGATATCGAATTGGCCCGACAGGCCTGTGAGCTGGCGGAGCAAGACTCTTCCAGCTTCGCCAACGACATTCTAGAGGTTGGGCTCAACATCGGCAAGTGGATTGCCAGTGCTGCGGCAGAGCTCATCAACATCACCAAGATTGAGTTTTCGGGATCAATCTCGAGCCTTGTTGCGGACGGACCACCCTTGATCGTCAATGTGCAAGGTAAATTGCTGGGCCAAGATATTGACCTCCACATCAACTGGCAGCCTCACTTTAATTTGGCCAAGTTCATCAAGGCGATCTTCAGCGATCTATGGGAGATGATCAAGAATGCGGCTGGCAAGTTCCTGGAGGAGATTGGCGCCAAGATTGTTGAGTTCGTGGAAGACGTTGCCGAGGCTGTGGAGGAACTTGCAGAAGATATCGGAGAGGGAGTTGAGAAGGCCGCTGAGGCTATCGAAGATGCCGCCAGCGATGTAGCTTCCGTCCTAGACGATGCTGGAAGTGCCATAGGCCATGCTGCTGACGACGCGGCCGAAGCCATCGATGATGCTGTCAGCGACATAGGTTCTGCCTTAGATGATGCCGGCAGCGCCGTAGGCCACGCTGCGGAGGATGTGGTTGACGCCGTCGATGATGCCATGAGCGATGTGGGCTCGGCTTTGGACGATGCCGGAAGTGCAGTCGGCCACGCAGCTGACGATGTTGCCTCAGCTTTTGGAGATGCGGCCAGCGATGTTGGGCATGCCGTGGACGATGTTGCTGGCGATATCGGAAACGGCTTCAACGACGCGGGCAATGCGGTCGAGGATGTTGCCAATGACGTTGGAAACGCCTTTAACGATGCGGGCCATACGGTTGAGAATGTTACAAATGATGTTAAAAACGCGATATTCAATTTTTTTTAACGGATGCAGTAGGCGGGAACCCGTGAGCAAGAAGCCCTGGCAGAGCGGTTCGCGTTGAAACGAGGAACTTCAAAAGGTCAAGATACTTGATCTAACAAGATATCGGAGGAGGATGGAATGTCTATATACCCGAGGTGGCGATGATCCCAGCTTCAATTGATATCACGATTCTCGTGACATCCGTACACGTCATCCTGATTGGACGAGCGTCTTGAACCGTACCAAGCTAGGTTGACGTCTCCTAGTTGTCTCTGAAGCAGAAAGATATAAAGAAAAGAATGAATGTAATTAAGAAATCACCTCGCAAGATGGGTAAGTTGCCAACGGGAGGGCTTGTCTTCCACGGAACCGGGTTGCTGAATCCGTCATTGATATCGAGGTCCGTATTCCGTTGTAAGGTACAGGATGAGTACAGTCACGTATCACATACGTCGAAAGGGTCAAGTTGGATGCCCTATACATCTGGATGGCATGACTGGTTGACCCCTTACTCAGGGGTATTGCCAATATCAAGCGTGACTGTGAATACCCGCTGCGTGGTGGCCGCCCCTATTTCTATCGCGTTCCAAGCACTCCGCCATCCCAGATGAAAATCTCTGGCCACAACGTTGTTGATGTCTCTTTGATGGGGGGTCCATTGGGTCATTCGTGTCCGGCATGCCGCCATCTTCACGGTCAACACCTTCCCATGACGATCCCCTAGATACATACAACCACGCCAGGAGTGATGCGAGGCACTGAGAAATCAGTCGATGCGCAGACAGTCAGGAATTCAGTACTGGAAACGACAGCCCGTGGTCAGGCACGACACTTATTTGTGAACCAGAGGCATCCCATATCCTTTCACCCGAGGTTCACACCACATCTACTGCCGCGACCAGTCAGGTGGAGGTGACCGTAGGCTTGAAGCAACTGTTGTTCCTCTTGCAAAAGGATGTGTGTGTCTGAGTTACGAGTGTGACCCATGGGAGGGTTTGCGGCAATGCACTGTCACGTCAGAGTACGAGAAACTCGTTGCATCGAGTCCGGGACCCTGGACGTCATCTGGCAGAGATGTCCAAAGCCTGACTCGCAACGTAGAGAGTTCATGACCATGTTTTAAATACCATCCGAAGCAATCAACAGATCAAGAAGTGTCTGTTTAAGTCATATATTGACTGCAACCAGTTGCGAATGAGGCCGAGTCGGGACGGAACCTAATCACAAAGAGTAACATGTCACTACCTCAACCACACAACAGCATCATCGAATCACACCGCACCTAATACTCGTCAGAGAGGAGAGTCTACATGGCCACCACGATCTTGTTAAGCCTGACTGATAACATGTCTCCTTGGCCATTGTGATGCCCCCGCCTTAGAATGAATATAGAGAGTATATCAATACCAGGTTGAGGACACGCATGTATCATGTCAACTGCCACTCACTCGCGGCACAGTTCGACGTGCGCTTGTATCAAAAGCAGGTTCGACTTCTATTCTATACACTCCTGAGTTGACCAGTCGCGTCCAGGATCTGGCACAGAGAGACCCATCACCACGCACACAGGAAACAGACAGGCACCAGATGCACCTTACCACAGCATGGCGGACGGCAAGCAGCGCTTCATCCGATCATGCCGTCAGATGAACGACCAATTCAGCTGCGCAAGTAAATCTATATTCATTTCGAATGGTTACATTTCATTGCTGTACGGACTCCTATTGACGGCTGTTGTCCTGACCTTTGGTGTAAGTGGTGTGGCCCACAACTGGCTTTACCCCGGAAACGCTGTGCGGTCGCATCGAATGACAAGCCATTCAGATCACATCAACCCAACGGGAGTAGCTATTTGGTATCTGAATCTTGCCGATTGACAAATGAAATGACAATTGTCGGCGCTACGTATGAGACCAGACCAGGTCCGGCCCAGCCATCTTGTAGGCCAGCAAGACAACAGAGAGCGCTGGATTCCTGCCAACTTCACCACGGTCGCGTTTCGCATGGAGCGATTGGATCTGCATACAACCAACTGGAATCAATAAGAGAACAGGTCTTATATCCGTCACATATCAGGCCAGCAAGATTGAAGTGTGGTGACTGCCGCATGATTCCAGGGTGTGTGGATGATCCCCCAGATATGCCCCCAGACCCCCTAAGCCCCCCCAAGCCCCTCGCTCCGACAGCCAAACCTCACTGTTCCTGCAGCGGGTCTAGCGCATCCGATGCACTGCAGCCACTGGACTCAGGGGCCGCCTACAGTCATGTCCGGGCACACTACAATACATGACGACTACAACCGATGGAACGATCCGAAAGGTATCGTAGATGTTCAGTAGGTGTTCCACAGCGAGAATCTGCAGTTTCGATCAAACCACACCTTGGGGTGCAGGATTGGTTGAGGGCTATCTGTTTACACCAAATTTGTATGGATCAAAGTATTATTTTTTTGTATGGGACTCCCATACAAATCACCGAGCAAACTAATTTGATCGGGTGGGGCCATACAAATTGTATGGGCAGACGCAAAAATTTGATCCCATACAAAATTGTATGGCAACGGGTGGTCAGCGCCTACTCGGCCACAGCGACGTTGCATACTGAAAAATTGCGATAAGAAAGAGATGGGAAGGTAGAGAATCGATCAGGAATGGTCCTGAATGCGCGAATGTTTGATTTGAAGCTTGCATTGAGGTGATTCTCGCGATGCAAGCCGGGCGACGCGAGATGCCCACTGGCCGTGTCCCGCCACTGATTTGTATGGATCAAATTTTTTGATCTTCCCATACAAATTGTATGGCCCCACCCGAGCAAACTAATTTGCTCGCCCAAATGTATGGCACTCCCATACAAACTAAAAAAAGTTTGCTCCATACAAAATGATGGCTGGAGGCTCGCATCGCGACAGCGAACAACACAACAACGCCGTATTCAAATCGGAATACAAGACGTTCAGAAGGTTTGCAAGAGGCTGTTTCAATTGTCCAAGCGGAGGTTGGGTAGAAATCGGTTCTGAGGTGGTGGCAATCCGTGCGTATCTGGGGCAAATTAGTTTGCTCGCCCAGATGTATGGGGCTCTCATACAAATTGGAAGAAGTTTGCTCCATCAATTGTTAGTGCACTACTTACACCATGACCGCTGAACTTGGCCCAGAACTTGCACGCGTAGCCAACGCACACCATCGTGGAACTCGATGAAGCTGTGGTTCAATGAATTGCAGACACATGACCTGCCGTCTTGCACGTTGAAAAGGTCTCTGAAAGTGAATGGTGTTGTCAGAGGTGGGAAGTTGGCTGCAGAGGTAGCTGAAGAGCCTGTAACTAGTGACTACGTTCCCTGAACATTGGGGCCCCAGTGCTAAGCGCCAGGGTGGCAGGGCACCCAGTCCCAAGGCCCAGCAGCCAACCCCCTTCCATCATGTCTAGAATTCGATTCTCATGTCTGGATCTGGTGGCATATGGCCTAGAGAGCCTGCCGACGATGTCTTGTTTGGTTCCGATGATGTGGGCGAAAACGCGACCGTGGAGAGTTGTATGCCTCGGGACTCGAGCCAAGTGGTAGCTGAACAAGGAATACAGGAAGATTCGACACCGACCCCGTGAGTGATATAGCTGTCCAACAAGGCGAATGACTTCGTCATTTTCAAATATCACTATGCTCCAAGTTTGAGAGGGATTGAATCGCTTGCAGTCAAATGCGCCCGTGGCGAAGATGCCGGCTCCCTAGGCTAGGGCAGTGGACGGCGAGCGGCCCATGCATGTAAGTGGCCACCCCAGGACTGCACATTCAGCGCGTCGCTCTTGGAAGCTTCAAACTGCATGGAACGGATTCGATATAGCAGGAGAATGAGTTCCATCCGCATGCGAATCAATTCGGATCGCCTCCCGTGGAATGCGACGGGGCCGGAAGTTGGGCGGGTAGAGACGCTGGAGTGCCGGGGAGAGGTAGCGCTCTGGCCCCCTGGGGCTCACCCGCGGGTCAGCCAACCTGCCAGGCCTGCCTGCACACCAGCCGCGGGTGACAAGGCGGCTGAAAGTGTCGTCTCTTGGAGTACATTCAGTCAGATCTCTGATTCGACGACTTAAACGTCCTCCTACCAGAATAGGAAACTGGTGGCTGAATGTGACCAGGAGTGACCCGCAGTGTCTGTGGGATCGCCGGACCTGGCGCCGTGTAAGTGACTTCATCGCACCACTACAGCACCGCGACACACAAGTTGAGACTGGAAACAGTGGCTGACAACTCGCTATGGGCCAGAATATCAACTCGCAACATCATCTCCGAAATGAATTGCTTCATGTAAGGTGCGGCAGTGGTGAACTTGGCGAGGCTCTCCAGTGCACAGCTCCAGCGGGCCTCACAGCGCCGCCAGGCCCCGACGCCCACTGAAGGTCAGCGCCCCAATCACTGCCATTCGGGGTCCGAAGATTCAACATCACAGCGCAGCTACACATGATACAAGAAGATATATGAAGGGCTCGGAGTGATTCTGTGGTCTTCATACATCTATTGGAACCTCTTTTCCGCGAACTCAATGCGCTGGAATTGACCGCCGCAGACCGGAAGTTTGTCCTGACCCGCTGGCTCACCCCCCTCGATAGTTTGCTCCATACAACTAAAAGTTTGATCGGGTGGGGCCATACAAATTGTATGGGAGACCCAAAAAGTTTGCTCCACCAAAAAATAATTTGCTCCGTCAGATGAGGCAACGGGAAGGCGAGCCTCTCAACTTGCTGCCAAGCGCAAATGACACTCTAAGTGTCTCATCTTGATCTCAATCTCCTGGGAAATCGACTGGTCTACTCAGATTTCTCATCCGACGTCTCGTTGTGGTGCTGCGCGTCTCTAGAAAGTTTGATCGGTCGGTTGTATGGGGATCCCATACAGATCAGTAAAAGTTTGATCCATACAAATCTGCTGGGCGCCCAACCACCCATGGCCATCCACTACTGCAACTGTATACCATGGACTCAATCGACCGCAGCCACGCCGCATCAACGTGCATCGGCTCAAACGACAC